GAACTATGATTTTTATGAAATGCAAATGGAGGAAAATCGTTCATCTAACAAAAAATGTGGTGATAAAGCGTATTTTAGGAGGATAGTAAAGCGATGAGTTAGTTTAAAGTATATATTTACTAATAAGATTTGTATTATAATTGCCAACGCATAATATAGTACTAGTTATAATAATCCATCTTCATGAGGTAAATTTAAAAAGCACATCATGGCTTATACTATTCAGAAATCTCAAACTAAGTTTTTGTTTGATTTTTTTGATTTTTGATATTTTAAAAAGGTGAATTTTTTTGGTGGATTCGAATTATCCAAAAATGACATGGTGATAATTAACTAAAATTTTATTGTATTGATGGTATATTGTAACTGTTATAGTTATATTTTAATTTAATTTTCATACAAACTTTACTAGTGAATGTATATTTGATCTCTTCTCTGTGTACTACAATTTTCCAAAACACACTCCATAACCATCATTTGTTTGTTAGTCCAACAGGCCCAAGTTGAAAATAAAAGAGGCGAAAGAATTTAAAAGAAGCAAGCAGTGTGATTTAAAAGAAGCGAAAAAACTTTAACGCGTGGAATTATTAAAATTCTGAAAAGTGCAATTGATTACTAGAGATTGTAGTTTGTATATGGTATAGTTAATCACTAATGAAAACTGATTGTTGTTGTTCTATAATGTTTTTACGTTGTTTTACCATAGTTAAGCTTTGGTAATTCTAAACATTCACCGCGATTACTTTTCTGAATGTGTGATTTTTTGATTTTTAATTTTTTTCTGTTTTTTGATTTTCTGATTTTCAAGTGATTTTCGGAAATATGCTTTTCAATGTATTGGAATTTTAGATTTTAGATCTTGATGAGGTAAAGAATCAAGATTCTAGATCAACATATATCTATTATCATACGTTTTATGAGGTTCTATGATGAGTTTGATAAGGAGTGGCATGGCTAGACATATCTTGATTGTGAATACGATAGATTACTACTAGTTACAGACCATAAGGAGCGAAAGACTCCTTGAGAAGAATTTCAGTATACTTACTCTCACTTCTCATTTCAGAGTTCTAGATTACCAGAATAAACTTGTATATCAAAACTGAGGATAACGCGCTACAAGTCATCATGATCATATATTGAACTCCTTGGAAGTTGGGTACCCCATGACCACATCTAAATGTTCATTTTCACATTGTTTTAATGACACACGTCAACCCTTAAGTGTGCTTAAAATAGTACTAGCTATGGTTGATTGTTAAATTAGTAAATAGTAAATAATAAATACCCCTGAAGTCCCTGAATTATGATAATTAAACGTCAGATCATATTAATTTCTATTTTAGTACTCAATACCCTTGTCAAGGGGCCTCCTAACTCCTAACTATTGCCCTATCAAATACAGTCTTCTTTATCCTCAAATTTTCTTAATCGATCAGTTGCCATGGAAGTTTTGTTTCATTTTATTACTTCTTGGAAATTCATAGTTATATATAAATAGCATATACGCGCTTTTGTAGTTTTTAAAGCATAATACAGAACACAGAACTAGGCATTTATGAACTACTATCAAATTCCAAAAAATTCTATGCAACCACTTTATGATTTTAAAACCAGATTGACTTTGAAGTTTGACAATATCGATCCATGTTAGGCTAATTTGATAGATGTTAATACCTTGATAGAAGTGCCACTTGAGACACTGGCTTATAAAATGAGAAGATTAGCTTTATTAGATCTAAAACAAGTTTTGTATTTCCAGTAACTCAATCACTCGCCGTTATGATGATTTTCAAAGAATTATTACGTTACGGATACTATCGATGCATAATTATGCTTATTTTATGTTTCATACATATACCTTAAATTTCGCTTAACGTGTTGGTTGTATACCTATTGATTTGATCTTGAAGTATTTAAACAACTGTTTAGTCTCAATATGTTATCTTTTATATATCTAGAAAGGAATATCATTCTTTGATTTACATATAAAAGGTTTAAAGTTTGGCCGTTCATTTCAAATCTTCTCAGATCTTAATTCTCTCATCAGTTAGTTCAAGTTAAGATTCAATCAAAACACCAAGATTCTTGGAAATTTATACTCAAAAGTCTTATTATAGGTTGAGAATTATAATACAAATCAGTTCAAGTCAGGTATTGGGACAAAATATCAATATCTAGTATATATATAAGTTATATTTTCCCAAATTCATATTCAATGGATTATTATTCAAACACATCTACAATTCATAGACATACAATATAGATCAATCCAAAATGTTATTCAAAACTTCATCAATAATAATCACATTACTTTCATTCTTTACATTTCTTCAACCAACATTAGCAGATGATCCAGAAACTTCATATACAACATTAACATTAACAACAAATTCTAAAACAGTTATAACAACTTCAGAATTACCACAACCAACATTAGTTTGGGCAACTGGATATGATGAAAATGGTGAATTACGAACAACACAATCTACATATACTCAAACGTTTGCTAAATTTTGGACAAAAGTAAGTGATGTACCTGCTGGTTCTATTGGATTAGGTTCAATTACTGGTACTGTTGGTACGGTGAGAGTTTATCCAAGTACAACTGTTTCAAATATTAGAGCTAAAAGATGATTCAAACCCCCAATTTTCATATTTATTTCCAGATAATCATTTTGCATAGTTTTGTTTTCTTTGTTCTTCATTTCAATTTCTTGTTTTGGTTTCAGTTATTCATTCATCAGTTTAAATTTCGTTGTACTTCTCAGATTTGAGAAGTTTTTTAAAGGTTTGGTTTATAATCACTAGTAATAATAATAATCAAAGGGTATAATAACCAAATGCCTGGCCTTTATAAGATCTCCAGAGTGTAGTAATGATAAGCTTCAGAGTCCATGATAATGATTCAGCATTCAGCATGGATGTATTTGTAAGAGATCATCTTTGAGTCGATCCACCATAATAAAATCGAACTAAAAAATGACAGATTCCACGGGCACAAATATAATTTCTAAAGATAAGCACAACAAACATGTCACATAAACAAACAATAACATCAAAGTGAAAGTAAAGTACAGATTGTGTTGATAATGTCAAATACTAATAGACTAAGTTTGAGAAATAGTAGGTCAAGAAGTACGTCATCGTTCCAACAAATCCCTGAAGATCAACAAATTCAAGATAATCAAAGAATTCAAGAATTAAAAAATGATACAGTTTTAAATAATAATGATAACAATGATTCAAATATAAGGTCTGATCAAAATGATGGATGGAATAGTTTTCTGAATTTTGGATCTGAATTTTTGGAAAATAAAGGTTCAGTTGCAAGAGATCATGTATGTATTACAACTCACCCTCATGGCATAATAAAATATTGATATTAATCATTACAAACAGATGGCAAATGAAAGAACTTTTTTATCATGGATAAGGACATCAATGGGTCTTGCAACATGTGGAGTTGGTATAGCACAATTATTTAAATTAAATACAGAGACAGGTCATAAAGGTAATGAATTTTTAAGAAAAATTGGTAAACCAGTTGGAGGTGAGTAATTAAAGAACTTTAACTGAATACCAGAGTTTCCCATACTAACAAATATATATCAGCTTCATTTATATTAATTGCTATAATATGTGTTATAATGGGTCTTTTCAGATTTTTTAGTACACAACATTATTTAAAACAAGAAAAATATCCAGCTGCAAGATTATCTGTTACAATTTTAGTATTTTTAGTCTTAGCCGTGAGTATAATTAATAAAGAGATTATATATCTTATCATAAGTACTAACATTATAACAGGTTAGTATAGTTACTTTAGTATCGGTGTTGTATGTAAATTCTACAAGTTTTTAAAATATACACCAATTATTTATATAGACATTTAATGTTAGGTGAAAGTACAAAGCCCTAATCCATCACGTGCTTCTCATATAGGGCTTCATATGTGTGGTGTATGGATGTAGCTAGCCTCTTTTAAAATCCAAAAACACACAGAAAAACAAAACAAAAAAAATTGTTTGATTTTGAAATTTCCTGGTAATCGCCACACGGAAGCGCACTGGCTCTCTGCTTAGCTCCGCGAATGTCTCTGTCTATCTTTCTGTGTAGGCTGGGAAAGTTAAGATTTCTCCCAGTGAGAACTAGGCAGACTCTCTACCTAGAAACTCCCAACTAAAACATTTTGTCGCCCATCTGTCTGCCTGTCTACGCTCTGCCTAACAACACTTTCTGCCTAATTTGATATTCCCAGCAAAAGGCAACACCGACACTGTGAAATTTGACAGAATTCAGTCACATTTGATTTCCCACGAAAGGAGAAAAAAAAGTCAAAGTCAAAAAACTGAATTCTACAATTACCATTATATAGTTAATATCAACACAATCAGAACAAATCATTCAAAATGGTATGTGAATAGAAGGTAGAAATATGTGGGAATGAAGTGAATGAAAGGAAGAGAATCATATGAATAGAGAGAGAAGATCTGTAATCACAAAAGAAGAGTGTTATTCATCTATGTTAAATTTTGATCAATGAAGAAAAAATAAAAGTGGCGTTAAGAGACATCAACTACAAATGAATTAAAGGAGTAGAAAGAAAGGGATCATTTCACTGTTAATCATCATATTTCAATGTATTCAAAGGGTTTCAAGTGTCATACTTTTTAAATGCAAGATCTATAAGGTCTATAGTAAAAACACTAGTAAAGCAAGAAAGTACTATGAAAATCCAACAACACAAATCACAAATGAATATTTAATCAATCAAGACTCCTCACTAATCATTCCCACCAACTATGATTTATAATTGCAATATACTAACAAAGTTTCTTATAGGGTAAAGTTCACGGTTCTTTAGCTCGTGCTGGTAAAGTTAAATCTCAAACTCCAAAAGTTGACAAACAAGAAAAACCAAAAAAACCAAAAGGTAGAGCTTACAAACGTCTTTTGTACACTAAAAGATTCGTTAATGTTACTTTAGTTAACGGTAAAAGAAAAGCTAACCCAGGTCCATCTTCAGCTTAAGTTTAATTAAAATTTATAAAAAAAAAATCTTATATATTACAATTAAATTTATCAAATAAAATTCAAAAGAGATGTACATTTTTAGCTTTGTTTTCACACAGGTTCCATAATGATTCATATGTAACAAATTATTGTGCTGCCTATATATTTTTCGGAATGGTTTTAATGTTATAACTATTTAAAATTAATCAAATTGTAAAGTTATTGTAATGTCTATCATTCTCCCACCTTTCGTATCATGATATTCTCAGTTCTTGAGCTCTAACTTCTGATTAAGCTTGTAATTTATATCAATTTACGGGTAGTATTATGTATAGTGAAAAATCTCGAGAAATCTAAGCGTGTATAAACTGAAAAAAAATTTAGACGCATACATAAATGTCTATCTAGAACCTCTATCATCAACCACATATCCAACCCACCCTAGATAACCAAATGTCAGATACAGAATCCATAGGAGGTGATCTTTTCCAAGAACCAGAAGGTTATTACAAACCAAAACCAGCTGATCATTATGCTAAATATGAACGTAAAACTTCAAAAGAACCTAAAACTATAAATCTTAAATTAATTGGTTCATCACCATTATGGGGTCATTTACTTTGGAATGCTGGTATTTTCACTGCTGATTATTTAGATAAACATTCTGATGATTTAGTTAAAGGTAAAGATGTTTTAGAATTAGGTGCTGCTGCTGCTTTACCAAGTATTATTTGTGGTTATAATGATGCAAGAAATGTTGTTTGTACAGATTATCCAGATGTTGAATTAATATCGAATATTGAACATAATATTAAAACTGCACCTGGTCTTAATCAAGAGACAGTTACTGTTGATGGGTATATATGGGGGAATGATTATGAACCTTTATTCTCCAAGATTAGAAATGATTCAACTCATCAAAATAAAAAATTTGATTTAATTATATTATCAGATTTAGTTTTCAACCATACTGAACATCATAAATTATTGAAAACTTGTCAAGATTGTCTTGAACCAAATGGGAAATGTCTTGTTGTTTTCTCTCCTCATAGACCTTGGTTATTAGAAAATGATTTAGAATTTTTTGAAACTGCAAAAGAATATGGTTTTAAAACTGATAAAATTGATTTAGTTCAATGGAAACCAATGTTTGAGGAAGATCAAGAGACTGCAGAGATTAGAGCTAGAGTTTATTCATTCTTTTTAACATTTGATAAATAGAAGTTGCATATTTAGAAAATAAAAATCGCATAGTGTATAATAATAGAGAATTTGAAAATACTACATTAGTTGTAATCAATTTTAACACAAAAAAAAGTAACGAACGAATAACATTAACATATACATAAAACATAACATAAATTAACCAGAAACAAAAATTTCAACAAATAGTTCATAAAAAAGTATAATCAAAAAGTCATAAATAAAAGAAATCAGATCAATAATTATATATGATCATGATGAACATGTTCAAATCTTTTAGCAAATTGAGATTCAACTGATTGATAATTACAACCAATTAAAACATTATCACCTTGATTAAAAGCAAAACAAGTTGAACCTGAAGAACAAGCTGAATTTACCCATTGACCCCAATTACAAACTGAATATTCACCATTTGCAGAGCATGCTGTAGATCCATGTTCACAATCTGTTGGTTTACCATCATATTGACCTGATTTATAATTTTTATTTAAACATTGAGCTTTTGAGATACCTGATAATGAAGAACATTCATCTGGGATTTTTGATGGTTGATTACCACCAGTTGGTTGAGCAGATGCTGCTGTTTGACTAGTAGAATCTTGTGCTTGTTCTTGTTGTTGAGTTTGACTTGATGTTAAAACACTTGTGAATGAAGATGGTGAAGCTGAAAAGGTATTTGTTGTGACTTCTTGGTATGATAAAGAGTTTGAAGATTGTTGAACTGGTGCTTTATATTGACCTTGATCAACTGAAATTGAAGCAGCTTGAGTTTGAGATGAAGGTTGATATAAACCATTGTTGACTGATGAAGTTGATGCTTGATATTGACCATTGTTGACTGATGAAACTGGAGCTTGGGCTGATGCAGATGGTTGATATAATCCATTGTTAACTGATGAAGTTGAAACTTGAGCAGAAGATGGTTGTTGATATTGACCATTATTAACTGATGAAGTAGAAGTGGAACCTGCATTAACACCAGTTGAAGATGAAGCAGCAACAGTTGAAGATGAAGCTTGACCTGAAGAGTTTGAATCATCATTACTAACACTACCACCTAATGAAGATAAAGCTTGTTTAATTGCATGAGCAAAAGTACCACCATTGACTTTATTAGTGAAAGCTTGAGAAGCATCCCATAACATAATACCACCAAAGTTTGCATTTGATCCAACGGTAGATAATGTTGTTTTAACAGTGGAGATATCAACATAACCTGAACCTGCAGCTGATTGAGCACCAGGTAAACCAACGAATAATTTAATATTTTTATTTGGTGAAGTTGATTTAGCGTATTTTGCCCAAGTATCCCAATTGAATTGTTTATCTAATGAACAATAATTGTTATAAAATTGGATGAAAGCGAAATCAATATCAGCTTGTGCTAATAAATCACCAACACTTTCATCTGGATAAACACATTGAGGAGCAGCTGAAAGATAATATTGTTTAGAACTTGATGAGAATTTTGTTCTTAAAGCTTTAGCTAATGCAACATAACCTTCTTGGTTTTTATTTTCAATATCAAAATCAAAACCATCAACTGCAGCATCACCAAAAGGTCTTGTATCAGATTCACCTTCACCGAATAAGTTCCATAAAGTATCAGCGAAGTTTGTACCATCAGAATCACCAGTGAAACCATAATCACCATTTGCACCACCTAAAGCAAGTAAGATTTTTTTACCCTTTGATTGACATGATTTAATATCTTGACCAATACTTGGACATTTCAAAAGACCATTTGAAAATTTATCAGAACAAGCTGAAGATAAATCTAAAGTTGGGGTTCCACTTGAACCTGGGAATGAACTTAAGAAGGATAAAACAACAACGTCAACATCACTGGAATCACAATAATATGATAAATCTTCTTGAGATCCAGCAGAAGCTTGACCCCAATAAACAACGACATTATCTTTGGAATCAGCATCGAAAGCTGTAACAGTGGAAGCTAAAGTAGCTAATGATAAACCTTGGAAAATCTTTGAAAATTGCATGGTTTAATTATTTTGAGTGTATAAGTGTATAAGGGTATCTAATGAATGTTTAATATATGTTTTGAAAGAGTGTTATAAATGTATGGAATATAATAATATAATGAAAGACTAATAGTAAGTTGGTATTAAAGGAATGTGAGTGTACTAGTCTTTGATTGTATTGGGTATCTGGTTTTTAATGAATGAATATGGGTTGATGAGTATCAAGATGAAACCTTAAAATGCAGGATACTTTACCAGATATATATACTTGAACTGAACCAAAGATGAAACATCACATAACCATGGCTGGTGTATGGCGACAAGGGATGTAAGGTACTAAGCATCCTGGGTATCTTGGAATCCTAGGGAACCCAAGGGATCTCAAGTGTTCCACTGGTTCCAATGCATGGTGAAATCTCCAGAAGGTCTAAGATTATACGTCAATCTTGAAAGTTTAAAGCTTGCAAAATGCCCGATGATCGCGTTTTATTGTTTATATTTGTGTGTCCCATACCGGTGAATTTTAGCATTTTTGCGCTGGCTAATTACGCGTTTTGTGCCTGTTGGACTTCAGAACTTGATGAAATGCTGGTTGGAGCTGAAAGAAAAGCGGAACAACCAGAAGAGTACGAACAGAACAGAGAGAATAGTATGAAGAGCAAAGCATTAGCAGAGCCTCAAAGCATGGAACCATCGCAGAAGCAAGGAAGATGTAGCCCCAAGTTCCAACTGACTGAAACGCTGGAAAACTGAAATGTTTAAAGTCATTTATTTCATTACTATTCGTAAAGATCATCATTTCCTATTTTGCTAACTAACCCTGTTGGTGTCAAGGAATATCTCAATCTCAAACTCAGACTTGAATTGAGATCTAGTATTGTCAGAGATTAAAGGAACTTTGCAGAAAACAACTAAAGATTCTTTGAAAAGGGGTTCAAATAAAGTATTCATTAACATGTTACAACTTACAACTTTAATCTTACGCGATTATTCATATAATTGCATCTCAGATCTAAATTTTAATCCTTTTTAATAAATTTAATGCATCACTATGACAATCTTCTTATTTTATTGTTGATTTTTAGCTCAATTGTTCAGATCCTTAGTGTGTTTTTCAACCCTTTCAACTTTTTCATGCTTATGCTTATGCTTCGCGCATTAAATGAAAGGTACTGTTTGGGTAAAACCCTTTGATCTGGATCAGATGTATTGGTTTTTACTTTAGCTTAGATATATGTTTTTGTGGGTGAATGCTTCATAGAGTTATTATTGTTACATGATGAATCAATTAGGGCTTGATCTTGTGTGATTATTGTTTGTATGAAATTGTTTCATCTTGAATCTTTGAAGCGCGATTAGTCAAATTGAACCATAAAGTTCGGATTCACAACTTTCAAGAACTAGAACTACATTGACACTGTTTGGAATTGATTAAGGCCTTTTCTCTATTCGCCTTCTGGACTCTTCCATGATGGTCGTATTCAATTTGCTCTCAGAATCTCTTATAGGGCTCTTCATCAATATATTCTTTAAGATCTTCATTACCCCTTGCAGATGATATAGACTCTAAAGAAGTTAAAATAGCGATTATTCAATCGGAACTTTAACTAATGAGCTTAGAGGTCTTTAGATCAAGCACTAATTGAGCATTAAGCATCATCACAAATGAACTGATTTCTAATCGCAAACAAGATAAGACACATTTACGAGGTTATAGCTTATGATTATTAAATTATATTAATTTCATCAAGTTACACCTCATTAGGGCAGAAGAATTACAACATAAATACGTCGTAAATGCGTTAATCATTATATATTAAGTTCCGCTGATTAATAGATGCCAGATCTAACTTCTATATTGGTTAATTATCGCATTGGTATAATCTAATCGGAATGGGAATAATGGAATTTGCTTATAGCTATAAGATGCTCAACATCTAACACCAAAAACACCAGAAACATAATAGCTTCATCCTAGCAAAACCATCAATAAACAAACCAATAGGGAAACTTGAATAGTTTTTGAAGGAGTAACAAGTTGAACACCACTTGATTTTGATGATTTTTTAGTATTGGATTCCAAAGTACTTTTAACAGATTTAGCAAAATTATCACCAGATGAATCTTCATTTGAATAAGCTTGTGTAACATCCCATAACATAACACCTCCAAAGTTGTTATGTGAACTTATGTTTTGAACTGTTGTCTTTACAGATTTGATATCAACATACCCTGTGGCTGCTGCTGATGAAGAACCTGGTAATCCTAAATATAATTTGATATCTTTATTTGGTGATTTCTTTGTTGCATATTCAGTCCATGTATCCCAATTAAATTGACCATCTATTGAGCAATCATTATTATAAAATTGAATGAATGCAAAATCAAGTTCAATTTCATCCATCAAATCACTAACACTTGCATCTGGATAAACACATTGTGGAGCAACTGATAAATAATAATCTCTTGAAGATGATTTAAATTTTTCTTGTAATTTTTTAGCTAATGCAACATAACCAACTTGATTTTTATTTTCAATATCAAAATCAAATCCATCTATAGTTGAGTTCCCAAAAGGTCTTGTCTCTGATATTCCTTCTCCAAATAAATTCCATAATGTATCTGCAAATTCTTCAGCTTCAGAATCACTGGTGAATCCATAAACACCAGCTTGTCCACCTAGTGCCAATAAAATCTTTTTCCCCTTTGATTGACATTCAGTGATTTCATCACCTATATCTGGACAGTCTAAAACCCCATTTGAATATTTATCAAAACAACTTGTGGCAAGACTTAATGTTGGTGCACCATTATATCCAGGATATGCATTTAAAAATGAAAGTATTATGATATCAACATCATCTGAATCACAGTAATAACTTAGATCTTCTTGTGTACCTGCTGATGCTTGACCCCAATATACTGCAACATTGTTTTTGGATTTATTATCAAATTCTCCAAAGACTGTTGTGATTAAAGTTGAAGTTATTATTATACTTGGGAAAATTTTTAAAAATCTCATCTTTCCAAATCTAGTTCTCAAAACTATGTTATATGTCAAACTGAAAACAACGAATTGTGAAACTTTATATATACAGGGAGTACTCAAATTTTATCAGAACTTCAGGTAGAAATTTTCATTTTAATAGACTGGGCATTAACAAGTATATTTATACCTTTTGAAAAATTATCAACCCCATGCTCATCACTCATCATCTACAGCTATGCATAAATTGAGGTAAAAATAGACATGTTTAAAACCCTGTTTATGATTGATGAAATGTATCTCAAGTACTATGTCATGCATAAATTTTAGTGAATTTATGACAGTTTAACGTTTTTAATGTGAAAAAAGAACGGGTTTTCGTATACCTCAAATTTTGATTTGTTTATGTTTATCAAAATGAGGAAATGTTTAAGAGTTCGAAAAATTACCTGCTTATTGAATCATCTTTTTTTGCTTGAATTATCGTAAAAAATCAAGGGATATGTAAACGCGTTCAATTGAACCTTTTCGTAGGTACGTATATTAATTTGGGAGCTAGACTATTTTGAGTTCAGTGGTAGAATGAATTCTAAGTAACATCATGCGTAATATTCACTAAAATATTTTTAGATTGGTAGATATAGGAGCTGATTAAATCTAAATATATTTAACGGTGTTCTCGAGAAGTATCCAAGAAAATCAATCAGCGGCATCAAGAGTCAAGGTGAATTGTAATCCAGTATCACATCCATTAAGTGTTGGATTATCCTTTGAAATCAAACATAACTATAACTAGTCAACATGACGATGTTGTGTATAAAATCGTTATAGGTTTCGCGATTTTTCTATTACTAGTGAAAAAAAAAATCAAATCAGTCAAAAATCAAGATCTATATCGATCTGAATGCCCCAAAATAGGAAAATTTAACTCAAAAATAAAACTCAATCTAAACTTTAAAAAAGATCAAGATACACCTAATCTAATCTTGATTAATGTATGAAAAAATCAGCCAAAATGGCAAAAAAAAGATAATGAAGGATGCGAGGTTCGAACTCGCGCGGACAATCGTCCAGTAGATCTTAAGTCTACCGCCTTAGACCACTCGGCCAACCCTCCTTTGTTGAAGTTTTAAAACTATGCTGCTTACTGAGTTAGCTAATTCTCGGATATTTGCGCCCTTCTGAAATTTTTTTTTGCTTTTTTGTAGTATGAAGCTATTTAAATGAAATAATAATAGCTTTAGTATTTTTTTCTGTGATGTTTTCATATGATATACTATTTAGTTTTGTATTTTGTGGAATTTTTATTTTTTAAATTTTGGAATTTTTGAAAAGATGGATCTTACAATTTTTATTTTTACTTTTAAATTGAACAGAAAAATTTTCAAATAATTTTTTTTTTCCAATATTACCATATTTTATACTTTATTATTATATACCAAAGCTTCTATAGCTAAAATAATATTATTTCACCCACTAAAATTATTTAAATGTGTTATATGTTGAATTTTTAATACTAGAATGATTTCCGCTTATAGACGTTTATATCCGAAGGATCATATATATAAATAATATTATAATGATAAGTAGAATGATACAGTTATGATATAATTGACTGAGTAATCTTTGTGTAATCCCTTATTTTAACGATCATGTTAATTAATTTATATTTATTACGGTAGTGGTTACGTAATATTATCAATATATTCAAAGGGTCATTCTCATTTAATTATAAAAATCAACTATATACATTTTCATAAATTCATTATTTTAAAATTTTTCGTTCTTGTAACTCGTTCTGTAAAGCTTTATAAGAATTTATAGCATATGGAACTCTTTTAGCCATGCTTTTCATGATTGCAATATTCGATATACCACCTTTATATTTTTTGGCTAATTCTTTTCTATGTTCAATATTATCTATATTTTTGGATTCATGAAGATTATCATGTTTTAAAACTTTATAACCGAGTTTAGCAACAAGTTCTGGAAATTTTTGTGGTAACCGTGATTCAAAATCCTTAATTTTAACATCAAAGTTCCATCTTAAAATTTGCATTTCATTTGATAATTCGATTTCTTTTGTGGTTAACGGTGTACTTAATTTAACATCTCTATCGTAAATCATTTTTTCTCTTGCACGAATACGACGAATCCAATATTCACCTGCCTGACAATTTTTCAATCTTCCCATCATTTGATGATAAAATATTCTAAGAACAGAAGATTTTCCATCCCATTCTAATGATCTTGAGATACATTTCATTATTAAATTATAAGAATCAAAATTTGGTCTAACTTTAAATCTTTTTTTGAATGTATTTAACGTTGCAACCATTAAATCTATTCTACCCATTTCTGATATTGGTGCTAAAAACATATTTAAATGTGGAACACCAGGATTCAATCCCGATTCTTTATCACAGTATTCAACAATTAACCAAGCTGGCAAAAATTGGTTTTCTTGTGTAAAACTTTTTAATGTTATATTTATTAAATGTTCATCAATTGGTAATTGAAAACTTTCAATAATTTCAATTATATTACGACCATTGATGCCATTTTTCAAAGCAAGATCATTTAATATTGCTTTGATCAAAAATTGATCCATAGGTACCATAGACATGGTTCTATTTTCTAGCAATAATTTTTTACTAATTTCATCCTCAAGTAAATTATAAATTATATTCCAAGTTACCACATCTGCATCAATGCCTTTTTTTTGCATTTCTTTTAACTTCATTACTGCTACCTCATAAGGATTCACTGAGTGTCTGATATGTTTGGATGTTAGCAGAGTCTTCAGCAATATGTTGAATGTAGTTGTATTTTGTGAAACATTTTCTAGTTCCATTTGTACCAAGAGTTCATTACACGTTGATATATTCCATTTCTTAGCAAAAAAATGTATAGCATCATTATATGATTGTGTTGTTCTTAATGGTATTGTTGAAGAATTTAATGGATGAAACAAGTTTTTTAAAAGCTTTGGAATTATTCCATTGAATTTTGATGATTTCTTATAATGGAATGTACAATGTGTTAAAGTAAAAATATAATTTTCAAAAAGTTTGACATCATCACCAAATTCTGGCATTGGGGGTATCTCTGTATATGAATTTGATTGAATTTTACGGGTTTTAGTCACTGGATCATCTAATTTAATTGGTGATATTTGATTTGGATTCTTAGCTTTAGGTGTAATAATGACTAAAGTCTCCAAAATTTGACGAATGAGTGCTTGGTTTAGATTAAATTGAGACTCTGGATCATCTGCCAACATTTTTAACTTCTGACCATATATTTGGGACTCAGCTGCTTCTTTATCAAAATCTTTACTGTTCTCTATATTAGATCTTCTTAATGATGTGGGACCCAAGGCTCTTAAATGATCCTCTACCATCCTTCTCTCAAACATAGATCCTTTACCAACAGCACTGTAATATGCTTTGACCATGGATGCTTCATTAGAGAATCCTTCCTGTAAATAAAAAGGAGGTGGGAGTGCTTCTTTATGTTGTGTTGTGGGTAGTTCTTTAATTTCATTTATAAGGTGATTGGGAAAGTAATTCAAGTCACTTCCAGACTTGGGTACTATAAGACTCTTCTCTCTGCATCGCACTAGAAAATCCCTGAATGTTTTCACCAGACTCATCTTATGTTTTCTGGTTGTAATTCTGTTGATTTGAATCATCTATTTTACAGGTTTTTTCTGAACGTCTTCGGTGATGGAAGGATTTATTTCAACCGCGAAAAAATCACCACTACAAAGATTTTAAGAAGACTGTTGAAAGATATTTTACAAAAGGGATAAACAGTTACCAAAGAGTTCATAAATCATATCAATGTACTATAAAGGACTATATAATCCTTCATCTAAAGTCTCCTAATCTGCTTGTAAGATCATCTGCAATACCTGAGCTATGCTCTGAGTAAATATATCTTTTACCACCAAAAATGGATAATATTATGGGTAAGAAAACAAGACTATGTAATGAAGCAACAATGACAAGTGCCAACCACATTCTGAAATAGAAGACTTCAAATATCTTAGATTGGGTGAATGCTAAAACGAAGACACCAATCAATTTTGTAGTTGCAATACCACCGAAAACTGCACCACCAACACCTGTAATGGCATTAAAAGCTCTAAAATTAACATTGGAAGATCTTGAATCTCTATCAGAGATAATGAATGCCCTAGTTATATGGACACAGAATTCAACACCTAATCCAATACAAATAACTAAGTTCACCAAACTTACCGCATTTAATGAAATACCCCACAATGACATTACACCACCAATATTGATTAAAATCATTGAAACAGTTAGAAGTAATGCTAATGATGATCTAATTGAACCTAATAAAATAGATGAGTTGACAAATATTATTGCCAGAGCAATCGAAATTAATGTAAATGTTAATTTTATGATTGATGAATATTGAACAAAGAAAATATAAAATGGTGAATAAGCAAAAATTTTATCATGGTCCAAATATTTTTTCAAATCTTCTGTAATTCTTAATGACTCTTCATAAGCAGTAATGAAATCATCTTGAGATCTCAATGGTGTATGACTTGTTCTGAAAACCGATGATAAAATTGTCTCATTATCATATGAAATAGATGATGAATATGGAGCTTTACCACCCAACGGACATGGGTCACTTGGTGAATTGATCCAAATGTCGAAATAGTGCTTGAAATCTTCACCTTCTGGGAATCCATCCATAGTGTATTTCCATTCCCTATCTTGGAAACAGGTTCTGCATTGTCTTGAAGGAGCATAAGGTGAACAAACTTCATCTGAATCCTTCTTGAGACGACAACATTGATCTAATTCAGGATTTAAAAATGTTAAGTAATCATCAATCCAACTAGCAACTGGTTCGGCAATCGTTGATAAGTTTGATCTTGTTTTTTCTTGTTCTAAAACATTAGAAAGTGAATATCTCTCACAGCTGGTAAATTTACCACATAATTTTTGTTGATTTTCCCTTATGGTGACATCTAAATCATCGACAACAAAATAAATTGGTGGTCCAACATTAAGATACTGGTAAACGTCATTGAAATAATCAATCAAATATGAATCAGAAGGAATTGCAATTCTTTGATCAAGGCCTAATTTGATATTTGGTAATAATGCTAATGAGATACTTGTCCATAAGACAAATATGAAAACAATAACTTTTTTGGAGTTCAAAATGAAAGGTGCATATGAATTTAAAATTTTATCAAAAATATTTTGTTCATTCTCATTTTCAAACAGTTCTGTAACTTCATCCAAACGAACTGATCTTTGAAATTTAATGAATGGGAAAATGTCAAGTCTATTATCATCAATCCTCCATTGATCTAAACTTAATAGGGAAATAAAAGCAGTTAATTGAAGAACTGTGTTGAATAAAACAGCACCTGCAGAATATAATGCAAAATTTCTAACAGCAGGCATGGAAACAGCAGACGATAATGAAAACGTTAGAAGTTGACTTGTGGATGATAAGAAAATCGAAGGACCCATTCTTCCAACAGCTTTAGAAATTCTGAATGGGATATCTTCATTAGGATAATCATAATTTATACTTTTTAGTTCATGAGTGATTAAAAATATATTATCAACACCAAGGGCAAGAATTAAAAATGGGATAACTTCGGCGATGATAAGAGTGGACTTTACACCAATCAAGCTGAAAAACCCAGCTGATGAACTGACTGATAGTAAAACAATGATGATACCTGAAAGACCTAATGAGAATCTTGTTTTGAATAAATTAAAAGTACCACCCAAAGATAATGAAGCATAGAAAAACATAACAAGATATGAAATTACCACAATTTTGATATCAGTATTAGTTGACTTGTTTAATTCAGTTTCTAATGATGGTTCAGTATTATAACTTATTCTAACACCTTTTGGTGGTTGAAGTTTAGACAAGTAATTTTCTAATGAATTTTCCCATTTTGTTGCATTTTCTTGAATTTCATCAATATTGTTCAATAATAAAGTAACAACAATAGCTTTTGAAGTCAAAATATCATCATTTTCATAGCCACCAAATAATAGTTCTTTCTTCAATGGTTGCTGGAATGTAGGCAAACAATTTACCGGAGATGTTGTACAATCTTGTAATTTCTTTTTCCAATCTCTTGGGATTTGATCATCAAAATACTGTGTGAATGATTCCACAACACATGTTGAATCTTCTGTTGGCTTGAAACATAAATCTTCAAACATAATATCATCAACTATTATACTTCTAATTTCCAATTCTGTTTTGGCCCACCACTTGACTGTTTTATCATCCAAGACACCTTCGTCTTCATTAACGATATAAATTTGTTCAGTACGATAAAATGGACCAAAATTTTGATCGAAATATTCCTTTTGTTTGAATGCTTCAGCTCCACTACTGACCCATAAATTAACTGGATTTTGTTCTAGATCACCAAAGAAATAAACACAAAGTGACAATGGAACAGTAACTAGCAATGTCAAAATCAAAACAGTAGCTGGATATTTTGAGCAATAATAAGCTAATTTACTGAACCAAGTTTCAAAAAATGTGTTCAAAGAATAAACTTCGTTTTTTGTGTTAATTTCTGGTAAGTCTGTAGTGGTTGACCTTAAATATGGAGATTCTTGCAATAATTGAATTCTTTTTCCTCTGACCTTGTATGTATGAATTGCAATATAAATTCCCAAAAACACAGCATAAATAATGATAACTGAAAATGAAAAACAAGGTAAAATACCAACTTTACAAGTTGAATGACTTAATTTCTCCAATTCAGGACAGATATCAGGACAATCAGAGCATGAGCACTTGTATGTTTCATCATTACAATCATAGACTTGATCATTTAAATATTCTTGGTTGGATGAATCATTTGAATATTGGAAATTCATTTGGAATGGAGAACCACCTAATAAAGGTTTTTCATCACCTAAAAATTTCAAAAATTCTTTGTAGTTTTTAGCACCACCCCCTATTAAATCCATAGCATATCCATTTGTTGCTGAGAACTTCACATTTTTACATGAATCATATAATCCTGAGGCCATTTCATCATTAATATTGAAATTCAATTCCGTAACAATTTCTCTTCTATCCGTCGAAGTTCCAGTTTTAGTTATATCAACAAACAATGATTGATCCGGAGAGCATGTAAATTGGCAAAACAAATTTCTAAAGTTTTTTTGACAAGCAGGACATGAAGATATTAGGGAATCTGCCTTCTTTAATTTCTCTTTCAATTCGGATATTTGGCCACTGGTACAGCACAGTTTTGTTTCTTGTTTCCATTCCTCACCACAAAGCCCCACAAGCTCATTTATCTGGTCTTCTTCGGCATCAAATGCCTTATCATTGTATGGACATGGTAATTCTGACCCAAAAAGCGATTTCTTCCCACAACTGTCATATATGGAGCAATATCCTTTCTCTTTAGTGGCAGCCAACGCACAAACCCAAAACAGCAGCAATGGAAGCAATCTCTGTAGCAACATTTGGTAAGCTTTCAATTAGAATAGTTTAGCAAAACCAAAAGTAATCAAACACTATATTTTAGCTCCTAAAACAGGCCTGTTCTTCCTAATGGCGGCTAATTGCTTTGTCTTATTGTTCTAATATTCGAAAAGGTGTCTCTCAAAAATCCCAGTTTTCAAACGTAGCTATCAATTTCGGTTAGCGCAGACTCTTATCTAATTCGCGAAAAGTGGGATATCCGCGAACGCGTTTTATTTCCTGAGTTTTGGATTTGTTTACACTTTTACGAGGAATTAAAGGTTGAATAGCGTGGTTAAGTGGGTGGATATATAGTGTATTTACGCGTTTTTAAACAGGTAATTATCGATAAAATGGTTGCTGATTTGCTTTTACAGAGAGTAGACTTACTTCCACAGCTTGAGAATCTTGCCTGGTCTGATGATGGTAGTTTAGCTGTGAATACTGCTGGTCAATTGAGTTTATATAAACCAAAATATGAAAAAGATGAAGTGAAGAACGCAAATAGCTTATTTGAAATACAAAGATTTGAACTTGCAAGTCTTCCAAGAAACCAAATTTTTCAAAATGAAATTGACGATGAAGTTGGAAGTACTAATTACTCAGCAGCTGAAGAGGCAATTGTTAAATTTACTTGGTCCCCATTAACTTCTTCAAAAGTGACATATCTTGCATTATTGACAAATACAAAAAGTATTCACATCTTAGCTAATGGTGAAGCTAAACATTCAATCGATAGATCATTAACACAGAGAGTAAGCACTCAAAAGGAATTAGATGATTATATCACACATAGTATAGAATGGTTAATACTCGGTAATGTATTAGTTTTATTAACAGGTCAAGCAAATGGTACAATCAAAGCATATTACGTGGATGATCAAAGTTACAAAGAAGTAGAATCAATAACTATTAATGAAGGTGTTCCAATAGTTCAAATAAAAGCTGATCAGAATAATTTAATAGCTGTTACATCAACTAATGAAATTTATAAAATCTCAAATCCATTACAAGAAAACTCAACACCTGCACAAATTATTAAAGAAGCAGATCGTTTTAAAATCTATGATATTTTATTACAAACTAAAAAGATTTTATATACTTCTCCATCACAATTTAACATCATTGATATTGAATCAGGTACGAAATCAACAACAACAACCAATATCCTAGATTTTTCAAACATAATACCAAACGGATCAAATTATTTAATAGTATCTCATACAAAGTCAATTCAATTAGATAAAGATCTAAAATTAATACAAGATAACAAAGTTCAATCATTAAGAAAAAGACGTGTCAATAGATATAATTCAAAACTTGATAGTATAAATTTAAAAGATGATGACTTCAAAATATTGGGAATTGATTATAATCATAGTGGGAAAGTTTTGGCAATTTTATATTCTATTGAAGCAGATCTTGGATTTAGATATAAAATCACATCACAAACTTATTTCAAAATTGCTTTCATTACTTTGGATAATGACTTCAAAATTCAAGCATCCCCTTTAGCTACCTATCAACAATTTATAATATCTGGGGTTTTACCAGATTCTGAAATTGATAGTGGTGTTACTGAAACTAACTTGGACGTTTCATTAGCTGAATATTTGAAAACTAATATCTTGAATGATCGTTTAATATCTGGATTAATATCGAGAAATATTGTTTCAAGAGATCAAGATTTGGATATCGCAAAAAGATACGCTGATTTGTTGGTTAGATATATCAATCATTCTGGATTAGAGTTTGATAATGTTTTGGACAAGATTACTTATAAATCGTTATTGTTATTATCTACAGGAGGATACAATGGTGCAACTATCGGTAAAATTGAAATTAAAACTGATGTATTTGAAGAAACTTTTAATTTTGATGAAATTAATGATTTGGAACCTGCAAAATCTGAAACTGGTCATGAATGGAATAGATGTGCTTTAACTTTTATACCTATTTTATCAACAGATGTTAAAATTGATCCAGTAACACAGAAAAGAATCATTGATATTGAAAATGATAAATTAAATGATTATGGATTTCTCACAAGAACCATATTGGAAACTTTGAATGAAATAAGTATATATAGTGGATGCAGATATGAATAAATATAATTTAATTCAAAAATGAAAGATTAACGATTTCCATATGCTGTCAGTGCGACAATAAATGTAGATAATAAAATTTCTAAATTGATTTTTTCAAAAGTGAAATAAATTGTATAACCACAACCATCATTATTTTCACGAACAGTGGCAGCTCTTTCATGTATATCAATACCATGATCACGAGAACCATTTTTATTCTTGGTTATAATCTCAAAATGAGTTAATCCGCTCCATCTTAAAATCAGATTTGTTCCATATTTAAACTCAGTTGTAAAACTCCAAAATTTTGATGTCATCTTTAATACAGAAGGTGTTGTTCTCATAGGTGATAAAGGTTCTGTTTCAACATTATGGAGGTAAATATAACCATCAAAAAGTCCACTATTGATTGTAGATAAAGCTTTTTTATTCATCAGTTGCAATTGAAACTTGGACATCATTTTAATCCTATCAAAAACCCTCCTAATTTCATAAATCTTCACACCTTGGGGATTTTTAATAAGCCAGCAATTATTATCATGCTTAATAACTGTGATTTTGTTCAAATGTGAACTCAATGGAATTATTTGATTAACAGTTGCAGTTCTATTCAGATAAATCCTTCTGGAACGGAAGAAGAGGGAGGCTGCAGAGGACCCAAGGAAGAAAGCACCAACTAAGACAAAAGCAGCCATTTCAAAGACCTTCGGATAAGTTTATAATACCAATCTAATTTAGGTAGCTATTGCGATCCATTGTAGTAGAGACTCATCGGGCGATATCCAATAGTTTTATATTGAAGTTATATTGATGACACAAAAACGACATCCAGCATTTAACATTAAAAGATGAAAAAAGGCACACCGATATCCCTCATAATGAGTTCAGAGGTAAAATAAACCAGAACATTATCTTATAACGCTAATAATAGCAGCCGATGACTCAAAAACTAGCCCTTACTTTAAGCAGCAGCTGTAGCCTGTGTTATCTTGTCTCTTTGCCCTAGTTTGGTGACAAAAATTTGATACTAAAAAAAAACAGTACGCGAAACCAATTAAGCCTAATCCAGTAATCGTATCGTGAAAAAGCGTATAACCGTTAGATTTATATCTCTGAATATCAAGATCCCATATCACTTGATAGTGGTCACTTTCCATTCCAGCATAACATGAAAGATGCAAAATGACATTCAAACCAAAAAGAACGACTATAACCACCCTTATCAACCCTATGATATTCAAATAGATTTCATGAACGCGGTCAATGAGACTTTGAATGGTGGCTACAAAATTGGTATATTTGAAAGTCCAACTGGTACTGGTAAAACCCTTTCCCTCATATGCTCCACGGTCACATGGCTGAGGTCTCATTATTCAGCTGAATCAGGATCAAACGGAAATGGTGATAAAGAAGAAGAAGACGACGATGAACCGGCTTGGGTTAAAGAATCATATAATAACATGGTTAACAAGCAAAAATTGGATGCTGCAAAGGCATATGAAGAGAATTTATCAAAGATTGCTGCTAATCCAAATTTGAAAACAATCAAAACAGAAGACAATACTACCAAAAGACATAAAAGATTCAAAAGAGTGGAAATAGATGCTACAGAAGATGAAAATTTCCTTCCTAATGACTATCATTCAGACGACGAATCTGCTATTGAAAAAAGTCAAACTTTAAAAGAGAAAAATGATGCAATTAGTTCAGAAATTCAAATGATGTTAAAGAACATCAATAAACAAGATAGAGATGATGGTTCAAATTCTGAAAAAGATGTCAAGGTTTTATTTGCATCTCGTACTCATTCTCAATTAAGTCAATTTTCATCACAATTAACACTACCTCATTTTCCATCTTCTATTGTTGGTATTGAAGAACATCTAAAATATTTATCATTAGGTTCAAGAAAACAGTTGTGCATTCATGAAAAAGTGTCCAAAATGAGCGATGTCTCCTTGATGAATGAAGCTTGTCTTGATTTACAAAAACAAGAGTCTAAACATAAATGTGAATTTTTCTCATCTCAAAAAGATCATGATATGCAAAATAGAATTATAGAATTTAGAGATCACATATTTTCAAAAGTTCAGGATATAGAAGATCTGAATTCTGTTGGTAAAAATTTAGGTGTTTGTCCATATTACTCAACTAGAAAAGCTATACCAGGATCTGAAGTTATAACTTTACCTTACCAATTGCTTCTACAGAAATCATCTAGAGATGCACTAAACATCTCCATTAAAGATTGTGTTGTTGTCATTGATGAAGCCCATAACTTGTTAGATACAATTATATCTCTTCATTCAGTCGCTGTTACAATAGATGAATTTTCAGCTTGCAAAAAGGCACTGAAAAGATATCTGGGTAAATTTTCAAGAAGACTTAATGGTGGGAATAGAGTTAATATTATTAAAATTACAAAATTCATTGATTTATTCTTGAAATATGTTGATTCTTGTGATAAGAAAGTACCAGGTAAAGAAATTGATCTTTTAGATGTTTTCAAAGGAACTACAGGTGATATGCTAAACATTAGAAAACTAGAGAAATATCTTACAGTTTCCAAGATTGCATTCAAAATTGAATCGTATATGGAGAAACAAGATCAATCCTCAACACCAACACTTTTCAAAGTTATTGAATTTTTGAAAGCCGTCTCTTATCCTTCTAAAGAAGGTAAATTCTTCTTTGATGTTAAAAATGATGTTGTATCTTTGAATTATATGTTACTTGATCCATCTCAAATATTTAAAGAGATTGTTGAAGAAGTTAAATGTGTGATTCTTGCGGGTGGTACGATGGAACCAGTTGAAGATTATACAAATTATTTATTCCCATATTTGGAACCTTCAAAAGTTAATAAGTTTAGTTGTGGTCATATTATACCTAAAGAGAATCTAAACGTTTTCATCATTGATAAGAATAAGTCAGAATTTGAATTCTCGTTTGGTAAAAGACAAGATAATTTAATGAAAGAAGATTTTGGAAGATCATTATGCTCATTGATGAAAAACGTTCCAGCTGGTATGGTTGTGTTTTTACCTAGTTATAAATTTTTAGCTGATATTGTTTCTGTCTGGAAAAAGTCTAATATCTGGAATGAAATAAATTTTATAAAAAAGGTTTTCATGGAATCTGCAACGACTGATGTATTGGAAGACTATAGCCTTAATGTTGCAGAAGGAAAAGGATCACTTCTATTATCAGTTGTTGGTGGTCGCTTATCAGAGGGTATCAATTTTTCAGATGATTTAGCTAGAGCTGTTGTTATGGTCGGACTACCTTTCCCAAATGTATTTTCAGATGAACTTGTTTCAAGAAAAAGGTATATTGAGAGTCAAGTTTTGGAGAAGACTGGTGATAAAAGACAGGCAATAGAAGCTACAAAATCATTCTATGAAAATATTTGTATGAGAGCAGTGAATCAAAGTGTTGGTAGATCTATAAGACATAGAGGTGATTATTCTACTATATATTTTTTTGATAAGAGATATCATACTCCAAGAATTAGATCCAAATTATCAAACTGGATTAAAGAAAGAGTTAGTGAAACATCGTCGTTTGATTCAATATTAAAAGAAACAAATTCGTTTTTCAGAGAGAAAAAGAGGAAATAAGAACTTGTTCCCATCAATTTATTTATTAAGAAATATTTATTTAATGTTTTTTTTTGCTTTATTATACTATGCGGAATATAAAATATAGAATTATTTATAGGATAATGGATTAATGCTAATATTTAACTATTTGTTTTAATTTAAATGTATTTCATCAACACCGGGTAAATTTTGTACTTTTCGCGGCGAATTATGTATAAATTCCGACTTCATTGAAACCGGAATTTGCAGATTTCTGGTGAATCAAAAAAATATTTGTTTACTTTATTGAAATGAAGTACGATTCAAGAGAGCCAAAACAAACAGTATTGTGCTTAATTAGATTGAGTAACAATGACACAAAACGCTGAAACTGCAGTGGTTCCTGTCTCAAACGGAAAGAGATTGTTGAATGAATTGCTTGAATCCAGTCGCAGTCTTCCATATAGAGATTCTGATTTGGGATCAATTCAATTAGGTATTAATGAATTAAGAAAAAGAGCTCATGAATTGCGTAAAAACACCATTGAAATCAAATCAGAAGAGAACTATACCAAAGCTCATTACTTATTGGCTGGTAAAGTTTCCATTGATGAAGTTGCTTCAAACATTAAATCATTAGAAAATAACAACGTTCTCGAACCAAGATCTAAGATCAATACTCAACAAGCTGATCTTGATAGTTATTTAAGAACCAAAAAGGATGAAAATATCCTATCCGCAATTGAACAATCATTGAGTGCAACTGCAAGAGATTTTGATAACTTCGTTAACCAAAACATCTCATTAGATTGGAAACAAAGAAGGGATGAAATTAGAGAATCATTCGGAATTGTCTTGAATAAGCAAGCTTCACATACTGATTCCAAATCACAAAATGGTAATGGCAATAAGAGTATTAGCTGGGGTAAATCCTTCAAATTATCAGAAGATAACACATCAAAATTAAATGTCAATGCCAATTATTCAACTCGTCGCAAATTTGAACGTTATGCTAAAGTCGTAAATGAATTAAATAATTCAAGACAATTTACCAAAACTTTAGAAAATGCCGATTCAGAATTTGATTTAGCAAATGAATTTATTCAAATATATCAAAATGGTTCAGATTCTAAATCAAGACAATTATATGAAAGCTGGCAAATTATTGCTAATGTAAATAAAGGTAATTTCAAAAGTACAAATGAAAAAAGTTTCAAGAATCAAGTTGTTGCTAGATCAAGAACATTCTTGGAACTACAGTTCTTTGAATATGCTGATGCTATTTACAAAAAAAAAGTCACTGAAAAGGGTCTTCCTACAATTATTAACAAAATTAAATCATTCATAGATTCACAAAAATTAAACGCTAATGGTAACTTATTAGTGGTTAATGGTACGCCAATTTGGGCATTAATTTTCTATTTATTACGTGCTGGTTGTCAAGAAGAAGCATTAAATTTAGTTTTAGAACATCAATCAGTATTTAAAAAAGTTGAACAATCATTTGTTCCATATTTCAAAGCTTATGTTAGCTCTCAAGATAAAAGATTACCACAACCTTTAGTTACCAAAATACAAAATGAATTCAATCATCATATTAAAAATTCTATTGATGGAGATCCATATAGATATGCCGTCTATAAGATTTTAGGTAGATGTCAATTAAGTAGAAGAAACATATCAAATATTGCTTTAACCATTGAAGATTGGTTATGGATGCATTTAATGTTAATAAGAGAAGATTCACAAGTTGATTATGATCCAATTCATGAAAAATATACATTATCAGATTTCCAAGAAATTATATTATCATATGGAAATAATAAATTTAGCTCAAATTATTTACAAGTTTTATTACTTAGTGGATTATATGATGAAGCTGGTAAATATGCTTTAGAAACTGATGAAATGGATGGTGTTCATTTGAATATTGGATTAGCAGCTTATGGATTACTTCAAAAATCTACACAAGAAACTGTTAATAAGACTAAAGGTGCACGTTTCAGTAAATTATTAGGATCATATGTTGAAAGTTTCAAATTTTCAGATCCAAGAATTGCAGTTGAATATTTGATTTTAATTTGTTTATTCCCAGATCAAATTGAAACATGTCATGAAGCATTAAGAGAATTAGTGTTAGAAACTAGAGAATTTGCTATCTTACTCGGTAAGATTAATGCAGCAGGTGTTAGAGTCCCTGGTAAGATTGAACAAAGAAAATCATTGATAAATCTTGAAAATGATTTCTTAAACAAAATCACTGAACAAGCTGCTATTACTGCTGATAAAGAAGGTAGAATTTATGATGGATTATTATTATATCAATTATCAGAAGAATATGAAATTGTTATTTCCATTGTTAATAGATTATTAGGTGAATTTTTAAGTAATACAGAATTAGAACAATCATTAGTTGATGGTAATAGTGAAACAAATCCAATTTTAATTGCAGAAAATTTCTTAAGTTTATATCAAGATATTTCAGTTAAAAATAAAGAAATTTGTAAAAGTTTATTAAAAATTGCAGAAATTAGACAATATTATCTTGAAAAAGATTGGGATACAACATTGAAAAAAATTGAAGAATTAGAAATCTTACCAATTAATCCAAATTCAGATTTAGGTACTACAAGATTAAAAGCTGAAGAATTAACATTTTTAAATGAAAACGTATTGAAAAATGTTCCAAATTTATTAATTATAACAATGACATGTGTTGCTCAAAAGAATGAACAAATTAATTCAGGTCCATTTAATGGTGGTATTAAAGATGATAAATTAAAAGAATTAAGATTGGTTGCTAAGAATTGTGTTATCTTTGCAGGTATGGTTCAATATAAGATGCCTAGAGAAACATTCAGCTTATTGATTGGATTAGAAGCATTATTATGAAATACATATAGATTTTAATATAAAAAAGTCGTTAATTATTTTGTTTTTTTGTAAATAAATTATATGATCATATGATTCGTAAATAAGTAGGTATGTTTTTTTTGGTAATTATGTGATTAAAAAGATTCTTTATGCTGATCATTACCGTCATTTTCATTGCTATCGTGGTTATGGTTATGGTTATGATTATGTTTGTGATCATCATGATTATGTGATTTTTTCTTGGTATAATCTGGTTGAACTTCATACGAGTTGGGACTTGGTAACTTCTGTGTCTTCTTTTTTTCCAACAATTTCTTCTTTTTCTTGCCATTTTCTCCATCATTTGATTTTGAATCTGATTCACTTTCTGATGATGATGAAGAGGATGATGATGAAGATGAAGAGGAACATTCACATTCTTCATCAGATTCACCAAATTCTTTTTGTGGATGGAATATACAACATACTATAAACATTTGTTAGTATCCTTAGATTTCTTTTATTCAAAAATAGATTGTTTTATACTTACTTTTTGATTTCTTCTTATCCATGAATTCATTATCAACAGTACCTTCTTCCCACCTTACTCTTGGTCTTGATTGTCTGGCCCTTAGATGAAGATGTGCATTTTCTTCCCTTGTCTCTTCTTCAGTCACAGTAGTTTGACCGTTCTGTCTAGACATTTTGAACTGGATGTTTTATGATACCTTTGAGTGGTTACCTCTTGATTACTTATCTTCGTTACCTTAAAGTTCTTATTGTTCCACTCTAATAAAAGAACAAAAATTTAGACAGCATTACATAATCATAGCTTCGCGAATTGCCACTATATAAATTTTATTATAGGTGAAGTAATTAAATTCTCCATGAAATATTAATATTAAACGTCTATTATTTCATAGTTTGATGATAATTTGTGACATTATAATATTTGTGAGTCATAAAGGTTCAAGTTAACGATAATCTTCTGTGCGTTATATGGATTCTAGATCTTTCCAAGTGAAAATATTTTCCTTCCATTAATTAGTTGTTTGTAGGCACAAAGGTTCCAACTTCCTAATTCGTACAATTTCGGATTAATTTCGTGTATAAGCTAAATTATATGATCAAAATTTAATTAGAATTTTAAAGCACATAATTATTTTCATAATTAAACGAGCTGTTGTAAGGTGATATGTTAATTATAATGGATATATAAAGAGTATGGAATCCTCAATTGTACAGTTCAGCTAATTGATATAACAGTCATTCAAAAGGCTAACCTTCAATACAAAGAACAAAGTGATCACATTCTAAAAGAATACATTTATATGTCAAATAATCAAAACACAGAAATTAGTTCAAAGGGTACCATTACTCTCAACCGCCCTGAAACTTCTGCTCCTAGTATCAATAATGGCCAATCAAGTCCACATCCACAACAACATGGTCAACAGTATCAACATCCGCTAGAGAATGATGATTCATTACAATCTGAAGACTATTCTATGAGAAAAGTAAAATGTGAAGAAGCTAAAACTGATTTGCAAACTAATGGCTTTTCCCCTGATGATGAATATGATAAATTATATCACAACAATGGAAAAATTGATTATACAAATGCTTACTTGAAAGAAAACAAAAATTCACAAGAAATTTTATCAAAATTGAAAGGTAATAAAACTGATTTTGATAAAATTCAAAATGGTTTTTTTAAATGGAGTTCTGATGATGAAACTATGAATAATTTTGCTAAAAAACAATTTGTCTTTGATACTTTACCTTCTTTTGAAATGTTACATTCTATGCAAAATGTTGGTCCTAGATCTTCATTTGAAAATCCAGATAATCATGATTTTCCTCCAAATTATTTCCATCATAATCATCATGCTAGGAATTTAAGTTTAAATAGCAATACTGGTGGCTCTTTACAAAATTCTTCTTCATCATCTGCTGCATCTGTCGCTTCATCTGATAATTATTTCAGTTCTATTGCTGATGACTCAGGTTCTTCAACATTAAGTACAAGTGATAGTCGTTCCGGTTCAATGTCTACACCTAATGATTCTAATAATCCTTTAACCAATGAATATTTTGAAAGAAATTTGATTGATAAATCTCATTCATTACCAAGTTACAATTCTTTTGATGTTAAAGTTGGTGTTCATGTTACCAAAGATGTCCCAAATACACACCAAAAAAATGAATTAGAGTCAATGTTGAAAGAATATACTTCAGGTGATGTTGTTCATGGTTATGTTACAATTCAAAATGTCTCAAATAAACCTGTTCATTTCCAAATGTTTTATGTCACATTGGATGGTTATGTATCCATTATTGATCCAATAAATAAAATACAAAGTATTAAACGATTATTAACAATGGTTGATATGAGTGCTTCTTGGTCTTATGGAAATGTTTCACCAGCAGCCAATTTACAATATGAATCTTTTACAAAAGATGAAGAAGGTTATATCATTGGTTTAAGAAATGATAGAATTTTAGCACCAAAATCCAAATATAAGAAATTTTTCGCTTTCAAGATCCCTTACAAGGTATTGGATAATACTTGTCGTCATGAACAAGAAATTCATACATTACTTCCACCAAGTTTTGGTGTTGATAGAGTTAAGAAAGGGGGCAAATATGCTGAAATTAAGATTGATTCAAATTTAAATTATGGTCATTTAGGTACAAGAGGTTCACCAGTCTTGACTCGTGATCTTTCAGGTTCAAATAATTCAATTTCTTATAGTATTAATGCTAAACTTATTGCAACACACCCTAAAAAACCTAAAAAATTATGTGTCTTGAAAGATTTTGAATATAATTTACGTTTCATTCCTTTTGGGTTTGTTGTACCATTGTTTTCATCAAAATCTGCATTAAATAGTTTAGTTTCACAAATTGAACATGGTTTTGAAATTGCTAATCATGTTTTGAAAATGAATAAGGAAAATTCAGATGCTACTTTAGAATATGAAGAAGAATTTATTAGAATCTTGAAAAATAGACAATTATCAACTGTTCGTTCAAATTCAAGCTCAAGTATTAGTACTAGTGGTTCATCAATTGGAAATGGAGTGAATTTCCCATTGAGAAATAAAATTTTTGGCAATGCTGATTTCTCGAAAATTGAAACTCATTTACAATATTTGAATTCTGATTCAACAAACAGCAGATCAAGTTTCTTGAAAAGTTTGAAATTAGGAAGTTCTAAAAAAACTAATGAATTAACTGGGAAACAAGATGGATTGATTAATATTTCAACAAGAATTCCAAAAGATGGTTTACCATATATCTCACCAAGTATGTTGAGGAAGGCAAATGAAGTTTCCAACTTGAATGAAATGAGTATTAAGAATTATGATAATTTGTTTTTCTCTTTATCTGCAAATGAAAAGAAGAAATTGACATCTTTGGAATTAAATTTATCATTTATTCCATCAGATTTCAGTTCAAATTCAATTGATTTACCAAGTTTGAAAAATATTAAAGCATCTTTATTAAGTTCAAATATTTCATCAACTTCATCAATACCGTTGAAATTATCACCTGATTTCTTTACACAAAATGGTTCCAAAAATATAAAGAATAAATTTAATAAATTTTTTGAAAATTATAATGGATTATCAAAAGATTTTAAAAAATTAAACTTGGATATTGATCGTTATATTGATCGATCATTATACCTTGATATGATTGCAATGAAAGATCTTCAAGTGGAAAATTCCCTAGTGGAAGCATTTAATTATTCAATTAAATCACAATCTAATTGGAAAAAAACTTCATCACAAACCACTAATGAATGGATAAAACAAGTTGAATTGAATTTAGAATTGAAAAATGATATTGCTGAAACATTGGTTCCAAATTTTCAAACTTGTTTATTAACAAGAGTTTATTGTATCAAAGTTGATTTTAAATTTGAAAATAATCAAAGTTGTGAATTAGTTGTTCCAATTCGTCTACGTTGTTTTAATGATCTCAATTGAATTTTTTCAAACTAACCATATATCAGGGCTGCTCATGATTCATTTTGATCGACTAGAAACTTTTTTTTCTATAAGATAGCTTACTATAAACATATATATACTGTAATATATTTACCAAATCATGGTAGTACACTGTTCGTATATCATAATATGCTACACACTTATAGCTTATAACTTACGTAGTATAAGATGCTTCAAGAGTGTAACTTCTAAGTTTAAATATCAAGTTCCAACTTCCAAGTTTGTAGTACTACGTATATGTTCGAACGTCAAGAAGAGCTTGTAAAAAGGTCTTCAATTTGAGCAGCAGAGAATCACAATTAATATACTACCGTCCTTTGAATGTTAGCATTTGGGCTCCAAGAGTCCAAAGTCAAACTTCCATCTATTCCCATCGTAGATTCGTTATAAGTTGGTAATCAGAAAGTTGAAACCACCGACCAGCACGCTTCAATAAGCTACATATAGAAACTTCTTAGTGCATATGAAAACATATTCATGCAGTAGATGGTTTATTCTATGCGCATTGCTGGTGTTTATGAAACCACTAATGAACAAGGCATTCCAGTTGTTGAAGGATCAAATATTCCAGCACAACAAAGTACTGCTGTTGTTGGTGAAGATGGCTCAACCTCCACCGTTGTTGTTCACTTCTACTCAACTGCTGGCTCAGATGGATTAAATACTGCTCCAACTACTGCTCCAGGTTCACCAAATGCTTCAGCTGTTCCAGTTTCAGGTAATGGTGCTACTACTGCTGTTGCAGGTGTCACTAGTGGTTCCCCATCAGGTACTAATAACGGTGCTGCTAATACCCAATCAGCTGTCACTCAAAGTGGTGCAGCTTCATCATCCCCAGCTACTGTCTCAGCCTATGAAGGTAAAGCCAACTTAATCTCCATGATTATGGTACTTTTCATTTAAGAAGCTTGATGTTTCTTGAATGATTTTATTCTCTAGGTTTTCTTGTTTGCTTTCTGATTAGTATATATCAGGGTTTCCATATTTATTCTATAAAAGCTTTTGATTTCAATTGCTTTGAATGTTTGCATCTCGTTTAAAGAGTTTTAATGAAATATGTTGGTTGTTTGATTTCGAACATGTCCATCATACATCAAGTTTTTTGCATCCAGTTTGTCTTCGTTTCATATATAATTTTGATAATTTTATGTTTTGATTTATATATAAATCTTTAATGTAGTTTCTGAATGGTAAATACAGTATATACCTCTTGAAAACTTTGATTAATATTCAAGTAAAGTTCATTTAAATTTAAAGTAATTTATTTCATTTCACCGGAAATAGTAGAGTTATCACGTGATGATATTTATTCCTCGGAATTTACCTATTTAGGAGCCCAAGAAAAAAGGTGGTGATAAAAATTGTGGATGAAGCAGCGTTCGAGGGAGGATCTCATCATCGACGTTGAAAAAAAGTTGAATTGACAATTCATTGTTGTTATCGCATATCTTTATTCGTCAAGCTTTTAGTTTTCCATTGATAAATATTTTGCAGCATGAGTGGAATCGGTGCACAAGTCATTGATTATATCAATAAACTGTGAGTATTTAATATCCATTATAGGAGGGTTGTTTGAACATTTGTTATCAATTTGCCCCATAGAATGTACTTGATAATGATCAATTTTCGAGTATGAAAGTATAAGAAAAAAAATACTAACATACTATTTGAAGCCAAGCAGACTATTACAATACTCCATATGATGATCTTGTGGCTTTAGGTTTCTTAGGTCGTGTTAAGGCTTATGACTGGCATTTGGAATTGATTGGTTTAGGATTAATTGGTGTTTTAGTTTTATTATTCCTTTTTGGTTCTCAACAAAATCAATCAACTGTTAACACTTGGATCAAAGGTGTTAGACCAGTCTTAGATGAAAATTTTTATCAAGTTGGTGTTAAAGAAGATCAATTATTGATTAAAGATACTCCTCAAACTTTTACTACTTATGCCTCAGGTAGAGTTAATATTAGTGGATTATTGATTAATTTCGGTTTAGTTTCAAGACAAAATTACTTTATGTATATTTTTGAATCTATTGCATCAAATTTCTTTGAAAGTATTAAACCTCAAGAAGATATTGTTGAAGTTAAAATTAAACCATTCCCAAATGAAAAAATCAACAATTTTATCTTTGGTATCGTCAACAAAAACGATATGGGTGCAACCAGAAATGACAATTATTATTTATCTTTAACAAAGACTACTGAAAGTGCTTCTTTACCACAAGAATTTGTCTTCATGAGTGAATCTACCGAATTGAATGAAAGATTATTTACTGAAGAATTAAAAGAAGTTTTAAACAAATCTGGTAAAATCTTGAAATACTTGGCCATTTCTGATTTACCATCTGTTAGACCAGTTAGTGAAGATGAATTTAAATCATCTCCACATTTGATTTTGAAATTATCTTTAAAAACTGATAAACAATCTTTAGAAACCTCTAAAAACTTAATTGATCAATTGATTAAACTTACTGATACCATCAACAAATTCCAATTAAAACATGATTCATTAAAGAAAATCAATGGTGTTAGAACTAATGAAGTTAATAAGATTAAAAAAGCCATCGAAGAACAAAAAGCTGAAGATTTAAAAGAACAAAAATTAGAAGAAGAAAGAGAAAACAGAAGAAATTTAGCTAAGTTATCACCAGAAGAACAAGATAAATTGGAAAAGAAACAAAGAGAAAAAAGAGAACGTAGAGCAAGAAACAGACAAAAACAAAGAATGTAAGATACCCTTCTTTCATATTCAAAGTTTTCGTTGGTGTCACATATGACTCTCATTTATTGATTTACATATTTGTATTTTAGTTCATAACTTAATTTGAAAAGAAAGATTTATTATATATATATTAATTCATTTTTCTTGAACGTATTCAGAATCATCATAAACAGTAGGATCCCAATCTAGGGTTAAATAACTATCAGGTTTATTCAAAACTTCAGAACCTTTCAATTCCTTGATTGGTGGAACTTTTTCCAAAACAGAGAAATTATCAGGAAGTCTTTTAACATTAGCAGTCTTGGCTAATGGGATATAGCCTTGATCATAAGACCATCTAAGTAAAACTTGAGCAGGTGTTAATCCGTTATCTTGAGCAACTTTAACTAATTCAGGATCATCAATTTTCTTGTTTTGTGTCAACGGACCATAAGCTTCCAAATAATAATCATTTTGTTTACCATGTTCTAACAAATCCAAACGAGGTAGCCAAGGATGTAATTCTAATTGATTAACAACAGGTTTATATTTCAATCCAACCCAAGCGTAAAATTCTTCTAAATGTTTGATACCGAAGTTTGAAACACCTAATGATTTAACAACACCAGCATCAACGTATTCTTGTAAACGTTTCCAAGTTTCAATTCTCAATTGCTTTGTAGATTTTGGTGAATGTAATAAGAACAAATCAATATATTCAATATGTGGGACAACTTTAGCCAATGATTCATCAATAACTACTTTAGATCTTTCATAACCATGATTTGTATGTAAGATTTTTGTAGTAAAGAAAACATCAGATCTTCTAACATCAGGATTCTCTTGTAGGAATTGAGCAATACCTTTAGCAGCTTGTTCTTCATTCCCATAACCTTGAGCAGAATCAATATGTCTATAACCAACTTTCAAAGCTTCATAAACCAAATTTTGTGTTTGATCAAGTGGGATTTGATAGACACCAAATCCAGAAACTGGAATGGTTTGACCATTGTTTAAAGTATAAGTGGAATCTGGTTTCAATGACATTATTTCGATAATATTTCTATACCTGTCATCATTTCAGGACTTCAATTGATTAGGAAAATTCTGTATTATTTATAGTATTCGATCTCCAGTACTCACCAAAAGTCGTGATAATACTCGCAAATAATCAGCCACAATAATTGTCTCGAAAAGGTTATACAATTGATGAATTTTGATAAGCTTAAATGGCCTTTAAAGGGCCTGGAAAGGAAAAGAAAAGGAAATTAACTTGATTTAGTTCATGAATTATCATAATGTAAGCATATAACTATATAGTTTATTCTGGTTTTGTTTTCTGGATCGGTTCACTATTACATTTTGATTCAAAGAGCCACAGGCCATAGCGAATAAGATCTGAATGAAACACTATGACTCAATTCAACATTATTATGGTATTCAGCTGTGAGTATAGACAAAAGAAAAAGTAGATCAGACTGGATATATTTATCATAATCATAAGCTGTGAATTCATTCTTGTGACCTCATGATGTATTGTATTTTGTACTCAGTTACTTGAAGAAGCATGATTAGTTGAATAAGAATGTGATTCAGCTAAGTAAGTTTTTGAAATTGTTCGAGTTGAATTATGAGCATCAACGGAAGGTGAAGCACCAATTATAGCAGGAACAGTTTTACCAGCATGGTTTGTAGCTTTTGTTGATAAGAATGAAATATGTTGAGTTTGTGTAAGGGAAATGATTGATAATGATGAGACTAAGATTGATGATAATTGCATTGTATTCTGATTAGTTTGTGAATGTTTGAAGAAATGAGTGACTTTTTTATGGGGTGTGTTATCTGTATAGCTCTTGCAGAGGCTTAATTGGTGCTTATAGTGGCTTCTATGATATCTTGTACTATCTAAACCCAATTGATTATAGGAAAGTTCTTCACCATCAAGATATGGAATTTGTACTTCTTATAAAAGCTAACACAGTTTGCATACCACTTGACTATTTCCTCAGTTGAGCCTTGCTAAATTCCAACTGACATGTCAATTATAATGATTTACAATTGTTGATATGTTTATTTACTATTGAAACGTAAACAAAACGTCATTATTGACATGGCAATAACCGAAGTGAAAAGTAAACAAGTATTGGTGATTGGTTAAAGAAGAGCTGAGTTTAAGCTTTATATCCACAATTAAAGCAAAAGGTTTTACTATGGCTATGACTTTTGAGAGGTTGAAATAAAACTATGTACTGGAGTCCAATTTCAAATTACCAAATAGTGGTGTAGATCTTTCTTCGAGATTCCGAGAACAAGATTACCAAGATTTCATATAGAGTTTAGTCAAACAATCAAACAGCTCGACAAATCCCTACAAAACGAGTAATATAAAGTTGGTATAATAAAAAAATAACTATATGCTTATAATTTATTCTCAGATCTTGGTTATTCAAATCTCTTTTCAGCTGGAATGTTCCTGTGAAATCGTCTTAGTTTCAGTAGTCAAAACTTAAAGTAGTCACACGAATCTAACCTATACCATAAGTCGCGCATCATATAGGCTATAACGCTATAAGGTCTCAAGCTTCAACATTTACCATATAAACCAGGGATGACAACCACGTTTAGCATTCTTAAATAAACCCTATATTGATCTTAGTTGGGAACTTCTAGTCCATAAGTCTTGATGATCTGTTATGTTATTGACGAATAATTTTATAACCAGTCCCATCAGAAATCTTAAAAATTTCTAAAATACCTTCACCAATTAACCAATGTAATATCCAATACAGATTTAATCCTTTAAAATCTTTGAATTTTGATTTATTTGATTCCCATTTTTCATATAATTCATTATGTTTAATTTCTTTCCATTTATTTCTTGAAATAGTTTTCAATATAAAATTTTTAGATTTTTGATATAGGTTTATTATATATCCATATTTAGGATGACTTAATTTCAATGTCGATTTGTTTGATGAAGATTGTGGAAGAATTTCTAATAAATCTAACCCAATCAATCTTTGTAAACCTTCTTCGGTAATGAATGATGGTGATATTTGATCTTTTGAAAACTTAACTACTTTTAAATTTTCACTTTGGAATTTTTGTAAACCTTTGAAAGCCTTGACACAAACGTCATCATTATGAAACATTCTCATTAATAGTTGTATATATTCATCATAATCTTCTTTTTTCATTAATAAATCATTCAAATCATCATGTTCATGTAATATAAATTTTCTCAATGCACCATCTTCAACTAATAATTCCACATTTTGATCAACAAAAGTTTGATTATTAGGTATTATTGAATATATTTGATATCTTGATACTATCTTAGGTAAGAAATGTCTATAATTTTCAATATGAAGTTTGAAATCTGAATTTAATTGTGTTGGTATTAAATTCCATTGAATTGAAAAGATACGATTTATAGCATCAGTTATTGATTTGGTATTATAGTCATTGTCTAATTTGGTATTAGTAATTGAATCAAAATCCTACTGGTATAATGTTTACTCACCTAATTTAACATTTGAACTTATAGGCTGTAGTTTTTCAACAGGCTTTGTATTTTTAATCTTTTTGACTTTGTTATTGATTAAAGATGGTTTTTTAGCATTATATCTCGTTGACATTTTGGTTCTTTTCAGTGAAAATATTGACAATTTTATGACGATAATTAACCTCTATCTTCATATATAACTGTTAACAGTCAATTACTGTTCATTATTTACTTGTGAATATCGATTTCTGCTATTAAATTATTAAACTGAACTGAAATATTCAAAATTTGTTTATTACCTACCATTCTAGACTTCCTAAAGAGGGAATCAAAGCACAAACTATTCTCTATATCCGAAACAGAGATCTCAGATCACCATAACTGAGAAGAATTAATTTTAAAGAGAAGTTTATACAAAATGTATAATATATGAATAGCTACTAGGTTATGATTTAGACTAGCTAGAATGCGATCCTCCACCTCTATATACCACCATCAGTATGCAATCAGCACAAGAATCAGAGCAAGAAGCAGCTAGTGGATCAGATCATGATATTGATAATCAATCAGTCAATAATACCCACAATAATTGGACAAAGAATGAGAAGAATTTAATTGAAAAATTTCAAACACAAATGAATTATAGAATCATACCATTTACACCAGGGTCAGGACAAAACACTGTTAATGTACCATTAAAAACATCTCCAGAAATGCGTTCAAAGATACAAAATGGTCTAGATCATATTCCATATATTGAAACCAAAACTAAACCATTAAAATTCTATAATCTAAAACGTCATCAGTCATCAGATTATAAAAATTCACCATTCATAAGAACATGTAAAGAGGCCATTCCAGTTAAAGCATTTTACTTTATGAGATCCGAAGAAAGATCGAGTCCTTTATTATTGAGTGACGCTGGTGGTCATATCTTGAATTTGTTCCTTTATTTTAGACCAGCTGCAAACGATTCAATAAAATCAGAATCAGATCTAAGAAGACACTTGATTGATTCATTCACACGAATCATACTTGATTATTATGTTAAGAAAGATGAATTGGAAAATTCAAATAGAAGTCAAGATATATTAAATTCCGCACTGGGTTATTCATCAGGTGAACATGATTCTTATAGGTTTAAGCCAAATGAATCCAGGCCTCTATTATCGAATGGAATTAAAGGTTTCAATAAATTGAAACTATGCTTTGCATTCCTTCCCAATAAAGAACCACTTTTACAAACTTTAGAGACTTTCATCAATATATTAACTTTTGGGGGTGAATTCAAAGAAATCGATGCGTTTGCTTATTCCTTTGAGAATGATACACATGAAGCTTTTGTTATACATGGTCGAAATTTGAATGATGACGATGAGAATGACATGACTCAACTTTCTAATTTGATGAACAGATTTTTATATAGATCAACTACGAATTCGTCATTAAATAGATCAAATGATTATCCATCTTCAAATACTCCAATCTGCTTTATTCCAGGTATATCAACTTATGAGTTAGTTGATCCTCCACCACCATCGTATCAAAAATAATTTGTATATCATAATAGATAATTTTATATGGTAATATATTAATTGATTATAACCTCCATTCGAACCCCCAAGGTGGGACTTATATTGCTTATTACTTATCAATCCTAGACTTCCCAAAGAGGAAATCATAGCGCGACATATCCAGTATATAATAATCATCCCAATTTCGAAACTTCACCAAATTTAACCGGAAAACATGGAGAAGGTGTATAATTTCAAGTCCAATAACATCATGATACACCATTAGCTTTAATCACTGGTTAAATCAGTCCAATAAACAATATTCCAAACACCAATTTTGTTTAAAAACCTCGGTAATTTACCGATTCGGTTAAACATTTCAACGTGGAGAAACAATGAAAGTTTAAAAAAAATCCTTGTATATAAAAACCAAATTTGATCCCTGAATTTTCAGCTTCTTAACAAAATCAAAGAGATCAATTCAATTCAATTCAATTCAATTCAATTCAATTCAATTCAATTCAATTCCATTGCATCATGACTGAAGGAAAAGACATTTTATACGAAGTTAAAGACAAATTCGCCATCATCACTTTAAACAACCCAAAAGGTCTAAACTCCTTAACAAGTGATCAGTATTTATTATTAGGTGTTTTAATGGAAAGAGCAAATAGTGAACCAAATACAATTTTCACATTTATAAGATCAACAGGAAGATATTTCAGTTCAGGTGCAAATGTCAAGAGTGCAACATTTGCAGGTGGTTTAGATGGTGATGAAATTTCCAAGAAGAATTATTGGTTATCAAATTTTACTGCAAGAAATGCTTATTTAACTACAATTTTCCATGATCATACTAAAGTTATTATAAGTGCTTTAAATGGACCTGTTGTTGGATTATCAAGTGCTCTCGTCTTGTTGTCTGATTTCATCTATGCTATTAATGATGATGTTTTCCTCTTAACACCATTTGCTAACTTGGGGTTAGTTAGCGAAGGTGCAGCAGCTGCTACATTATTACAAAGAGTTGGATTAAGTACTGCAAATGAAGCTTTATTATTATCAAGACCTATCCCTGCAAAGAGGTTATATGAACGTGGATTAATTAATAAGATTTATAATTTAAAAGATACTGAAAAATTTAATGATTTAGTTTTGGAAGAATTTTGGTCAAGTGCCAAAGGATTAGAATTTCAAAGTATTTTGGAAATTAAACAATTGATTAAAGATAATTATTTACAAGATTTACAAAGTACAAATTCTAAAGAAGTTATCTATGGTATGCAAAAATGGGTTCAAAATATTCCACAAAATAGATTTAAACAAGTTTCACAAAAGAAGATTAAACATAAATTATAAGCAGGTTCTTATAGTTACACGTATGACGTATATGGCTTAACAATATTTGAATATATAAATAACTTTTTATTACGAATATATAATAAGTGCTTGTAAATACATATATGATCTATTTCAATACTTGTTCATCCTCTTCTTCATCATCAATTCTTTCTTCAGGTTTTATAGTATGTAAAATAACTTCAGTTGGTTGTTCATCTCTATTAATTTTTTTACTTATTGAAACCCCACCAATTATAGAAAAAACAAGTACTAAAATTGCAGCTAATCCAGATCTTGTAGTTTGCCATCTTAAATTTTCAATATCAGATTTAATATCACTATTAATATTTGTACTAATTTTATTATCTAAATCTTTAATTTTCATCTTGATACCTTTTTGTAATAGAGTATTTTCATTTCTTTGTTGATGAACCGAAACTTCTGTATCATTTTGACTTACAATCATAAATTTATTTAAATCTTCACCTTCTTCACGAACTAAATCATCTAAAGAATTCTTCATTCTATCCAAATTATGTAGATCTAATTCTCTTGATGTATTAATTTCAATTCTTAATTCAGATTGTGCAGCTTCGAAAAGATATAATTCATTTTCCATTTCCATTGATGAAGTAAATTTCCCATTCATCTTATCTAATTGATATGTTAAATTTTCATTCAATAATTGTAATATAATATCACTTTGTTTTGAATTGAATCCCAATGAATTTAGTTGATTGAAAACTTTCATTGTATCAACATAATTCTTAATTAAAGAATCATCAATTTTTCTTTTCAATTCATCATGAATTGGTAAATCTAATACAGAACCATCATCTCCACTCTTATCATCTTTATTTGAATCTTTTTTATTATCACTATTATCTTCAGAAGCTTGAGTTTTATCATTTTGATTTCTTTCTATAGTAATTTTAGGTTTTTTCTTTACTTCACCATTTATTGGTTCTAATATCGTGTGAGTATGATGAAATTGCCTTATACGAATCGAACTACCACATAAACAAGTCCGTATACCATGCCTTATTATCCCCTGTGAACCATGTGTTATTATTCTATTGAGCATATTCAGTATTCTTTTGTAATTCAATACTATTTCTCTCTTTCCAATTAATTTTTTGATGATTTGTTAACTTTCAGTTTAATGGCCATCAATTCAAAATAAATCAATATTATATAAGGTCGGTCGAAAAAATGGTGTCCGGATGATATCGCTTATCTATTCCGTTAATAACCTACACTAATAAACTAATAAATTCTAATAAATTCTAATATTTTGAATATGAATTTGAAATTGTAATACATTAAACACTTTTTATATCATTAAATATCATGCTAAAAACCCATAATCATCATTATTCGTCCAAAACTCTTCAACTGGGACATTCCAAAGATAAGTTTCACCTAAATTCTTATTATTAAGACCATTAACAACTTGTCCATTAACATTAATACCATTATTCCCATTTGAATTATTATTTTGATTTGATTGAGAATTCTTTGTTAATAAAGATCTTGAATTCTTATTATTATTAAAATCAAATAATGAAGCTGTATTAATTGGTGGTCCTCCAGATTCTCCTGTCCATACTGAAATGTTATTAATCATTGTATTTGTACGATTATTGAAAAGGGATAATTCTGGTGGATAATTATAATTTGATGTAGCTGATGTTGTTGTACTTGATGCACTACTTGTCATTGAAGGATGTGTTGATGAAGTTGTGGATAAATTGGATGGTGATTCTTGATAATCATCTTTATAAGAATATGATAAATTTGAAAAATTAACAGATTCTAATGGATTTGTACTATTGTTATGATCTAATTTTGGTCTTTTGTGATTGAAAACTAAAGATGATGAAATATCAGATCTTGGTGATGATGATGTAATTAAACTTGGAACATTAGGTACAGGACTTGCACTTATTGTAACATTTGAACCTTGAGTTGATTGTTGATCATCTTGATTAGAATTAATTAATAAATGACTTAGGGATTTTGGAACAACATTTTTTTGTAATTGACCTTGTTTTCTTTTTCTTTCTTCTTGTTCAAATTTTTCTTCTTCAGTTGGACTTGATTTCCCTAAGAATTGTGATCTTTCCATTCCATTCCCTGATGATCTCTTTGTACCAAAATTTAAATCTTGATTAAAATCACGACGAACCACTGCAGGTGGCATACCAGGTCTTAATGGGTCATAAATCAATTCACTTGAATCAGGACCACATCTTTCAATCAAATTAGTTATAGTAGCAGTCATTAATTGATCAAAAGTATCTCTAAAAATTAATGCAAATTTTGAACGTTCAGTCATAACATAAAGACAAATAGAACAAGCTCTTAAATCATTTAATCCATTGAAAAGTGATTCACTAACTGTTGGTCTTGTATGTTTAGAAACATCACCAAGTGCTTTTCTTTTTTGATCATCTTTATTTCTTGCTAACCAAAGACAATACACTAAAGTAACACCTGCAACGAAAACAGTATGAATTGCAGTGGTGGAATGACCAAACACTGTTTTTTCATGGAATACTTTAAATAATTGACATATTTGACCCGCTGCAGCTTGACATTCTCTAAATAATTTATCCATTGGATTCATTAATTCTAAGAATGGTTGTATTAATAATCTAACAGATCTATAATAATATAATCTTAAGGTTTCATTTTCAATTCCATTACTAAAACCTTGACAATTTGATCTCCATATTTCTAATTCTTGGAAATATTTTTCAACTAAAGGTAATTGATTTGATGAAACATTTATTGAACCTGTACTTGTAATTTGGAAAAATTCCACAAATCTTGATTCTATTCTTCTTAATTTAATTGATTGATTTATAAAGTTTGAATTTTGCTGATGTTTTGATTGATTCATTGAACCGCTCATGTTTTCAAAAAGGGGGATGTTTAAATCAACTTCATCTTCTTTTAAATTATAATTTTTACCCACTGCGATTGAAATCATTCTTTCCAATAGATAAACACACCACCATAATCTTAATTTTTTGAATTTTTCTTGTGGAGTTATATTTTGATATGATTCAAATTTATGAAGTTTTAAATCAATACAAAGTTTTAAAGAATCTTTTATAATTTCATAAAGACAAACAGAATCTCTATCAGTTCTAATCAAATACAAAACAGCCAATGTTAAAATTTCAATTTTTTCTAAAATACCAATATTTTTAACTTTTGTAATATGTCTAATTGCAGTACTAAAATATCTTGCCGGTGGAGGACCTTGATATTTCCCAGTTGTCATATGTAAACAAGAACTTATAGCGAAAATCATCCACATTCGACAACAACAATAATGAAATTGATCATTATTATTCATATAACCTTGTAATTGATTTGATACATAACAATTATGAAATTCATAAATTTCATCTTCATCTAAAAGGGGGTATTTAAATTGTAATCTTGAAAAATGTATATCTAAAAATGCACGACTTAAATTTTCATCAAATTCAAAAACTGGATCAAAATTTAAGAATTCCTTGAGATTATATTTAGCAAATAATGAATTTGAATAATCTATTGAATCTATTGATACATAAGATTTCTTATTCTTGATTAAGTTTATTGATATTGGATCATTTGATGATACACTTGTTGGAATTGGTAATTTTCTATCATGAGGTATTGAAGTTGGTTCAGGTGTAAGGCAAATTATGGATTGAATTGTTGAGGCGGCTGTTGTATTTGTATTTGTATTTGTGTTTGAACTTGTATTTGTAGATGTTTCATTATCATTACTTAAGAATGGTGATAATTTTTTATATTTAAAATTTTTTTTATTCTTATCATCATCAATTTTAATTTGATTTGAATCAAGTACTTTCTCTAAGAATTTGATTTTTTTTTCAAGCATTATTGTATATTCATCCTTTTGAGGTGATTGAACATTATATTTAGCAGGTTGAATACATTTCACACCAGCTTTAATACAAGTTGTACAACTTGGTAATCTATGATCACATTTTTGTTTTCTTTTTTGACATAATAAACAAGAAGTTGAACGACCTTTTTTATCATGAGGGTTTTTGAAAGATTTTGAAGTTGAGTTTACTTGGTTGACTTGATTTATTTGGTTTATTTGATTGGGACTAGACATGGTGTAACCCTTTGTTTTATCCTTTGTTCTATAGCTTCTATAAAATGATAACTTGAAAAAGATCAAGTCTAAATTAAATATTTTCATAACTTTCCTTCAATTTTCATATGTAGAATTCTGGAGTAGTGGAACAAAGTGGAATAGAAAACATCGGAGTTAGAATCAGAGAGGCTCAACAGGTTTAACGGAAGGCGATGGAATAGGAGACCGTATTACTGGGAAATCTGATCTGAATAGATAATATATTAATAACACTGGTATTATATCATGGTATAGTTCTTTTTTACGTTGTGTTTATCTTGTACGGCTGATGAGTATAATTGTATACCATTATAGTTTAAACCATCTAGAAATGAACATCACGAGATTAGTTGGATCTGAGTTCTATACGAGTGGTCACCAGACTGTACAATATATAGTCAACTATAATATATATGTTATACTCCAGTCTCTGTGATCAATGACCACCTACTATAACACTATAACTACTTTACTCAACAATCCATGTTCCAACTCCGTGCACTTAACTCCAGTCTTCAATGGCTTTAGTCACTAGTCACTCAATTGTGTCCTTGTGCTTTGGGGTAATCAAATACATTTGAATCATCAGTATCACTTTCAATCAATACAATAGTGTCTAATTGACCAAGTTCTACATCGTTTATCGTACGTATAGGTATATCTTATATACACTAAAATCAATCATTCTTATCTTTTATACAGCCTTAATACTCAAATGGTAATTGTATAGATGTGTAAAACAAATTTACTACGTAGGCGCGTAGCGCGAGTCAAACATTGCTTATGTCATTGCTTATGTCATGTTCATTTTTCTCAATATCACCTGACATCACATGACTTTGTGAAGTTTAGGGCATCACAATTCCCAATTCTTAATTCTACAGTTACAAGCAATCGATTCCTAGGCAACCCGCTATGGCTGACAAAAACAATTGATAAAGTTCCAAAGGTTACTGTACAACTAAATAGTTAAGCACTGTAACAATCAATAAACTTCACCGTTTATTTACCGTAGAGGATCATTATTATTACTCTAGGATTTCTTAACACTCTGTACTTACAGTTCAAAACAAGTTCAAAAAGATTGATTACTAAATACCCGTAAAGGTTTATGGAATTAGGGGATTTAATGAAAAGTATATAAAGACTTGTTAATATCATCTTTATTCATATCAATCATTAGTATTATCAATTCAATTGAACAGCAATCAATCAATAAGCACAATCAACAACAATGTCTAAACTAACTCCAACTTCATTTAAAACTTTATCAAATGGATCCAAAATCCCAATCACTGGATTTGGTGTTTATTTAACCCCACCAGGTGAAACTTATAATATTGTTCTTAAAGCTTTAGAATCTGGTTATAGACATATTGATTCTGCAAGATATTATGAAAATGAACAAGAATCTGGTGATGCAATTTTAAAATTCTTGGAAACAAACCCTCAAGTTAAAAGATCAGATATTTGGTATACAACAAAATTATTTAATTTAAATTATGATGATGCTAAAGCTGCTATTAAAGAATCTTTTGAAAGAGTTAAAGGTTTAGGTTATATTGATTTATTTTTAATTCATGCTCCTATCACAAATAAGACCAAAAGATTAGGTCAATACAAGGCGTTACAAGAAGCTGTTGATCAAGGTATTGTTAAATCAATTGGGGTTTCAAATTATGGTATTAAACATCTTGAAGAATTATTATCATGGAATGAATTGAAATATAAACCTGTTGTTAATCAAGTTGAATTACATCCTTGGTTACCTCGTAAAGATATTCAAGAATTTACTCAAAAGAATGGTATTGCATTAGAAGCTTATTCACCATTAACCCAAGGTAAATATCTTGATGCACCTGAAGTGGTTGAAATTTCCAAAAAAACTGGGTTTTCTCCTGCTCAAATTCTTTTAAAATGGTCTTTTGAACAAGGTTTTATTGTTTTAGCTAAAACTGCTAATCCTGATAGATTAAAACCAAATTATAATGTTTTAAAAGATGTTGAAATATCAAAAGAAGATTTATCAAAATTAGAATTCCCTGATTCTTATAAAGTTTTCGCTTGGGATCCTGCTACTTTTGAAGATACTGAATAAGAAACTGGACTTTCTTTAATGATTTTTGTATATGTTTGAACTAATATAGTTCACTTATATTTCATTTATCCGTAGTTTAAATAGCCGATGGCTTTATGTTTACCCAAAAATTAATAAAAATTAACCGCCAACCACAAAACCCATAATATTATATAAAGAAAGAGGAACCTTAATGAGCTTTGATCCAGCTTTCATAACTAGCTGTCGATTTCTATATTGGTTTATAGCTGCAATGACTTGATGTGGGTGGTTTAAGCATTCACCGCTTGATTATGTGTTCATTGTTGAACTCCCTTGTGGGTCATAATTGATTTAAGATAAACTCATCATGATATTTTTTTAATTCAACTCATATGTTTTTGTACAGTTTAATCCAATTTTATGGTTTAGAATCACATTTAGATATCTCAAGTATTATATATCAGTTGATAGGTTCATGAATACCAGCTGGAATTAATATGGTTTTGGAACTAGTGATGATTTCTTTAATATACATTCTTAATTGAAAGGCTTTCATTCTAATCAATTGAAGATAAAGTTTTGAAATTGTGGGATGTGTTGTCTTTTGATTGATTCATTTTATTATTGAATTATTGTATTTGTAGATGGTATTGTATAATTCATGAAGTACTTATGGTCAGACAATTGTACAAGACGTTATATCAATTGAGGACTGAGAGAAACTGGGTAGTTTATATTATATCATTGCGACCTTCAAATTGTATAATTTTGTTAAACGTAATACTTATATATTTCGAATCATAATTATATATAAGTGATGATAGGCACCACGAAATCATGAAGCATCATCAAGAAGATCAAAAATATCAATCATTAATGAAAGATCAAATAAAACGGTTCCATATTAGCCTTCAAACAAATTCAAATTATAAACAATAGAATGAAAAAAAAGAACGAAAATGATCTTAAGTTATCATGTGTAAAAACCATAATTATAACAACATCTTTTATAAGAAACACATCCAACTATCAACACCAAGAAAACATAAATTAAAACAAGATTGAAACAAACTCATCTTCACCAATTAGAATAAGAAAACTAAAGCAGAAGCTAAAGCTGCAATGAAGCAATTGTTGACAAGAGCTGAACCAGCACCTTCATAGGTAGCAATATCAACAGTTGATGATGGTGCGGCAGCTGAACTTGAGCTATTTGGACCATTAGTTGGTTTAGAAGCATCGGTTTCTGATCCATCTTTTGTAGCTGGGCCAATTGTAGCATTGGTTGGTTGAGCTGGAGCTGAACCTGAAGCTGATGGGGCAGCAGTTTGAGCGGATAATGGACAGTATGTAGTAACTTCAGTAACAACACCGTTGTTGGTTTGTGGAATAACAGTAACACCGGTGGTAACTGGGACTGGAACACATTCGTTGTTACCATCACATGAAGTAATAGTGATAACAGTTGTTGAATCATGAGCTTGAGTTTAAGTTGATAATGGACAGTAAGTAGTGTATTCAGTAACAACACTATTGCTGGTTTGAGTGACAACAGTAACACCTGTAGTAATTGGAACACCGGTACAGTGGTTTTCACCATCACATGAAGTAACAGTAATTACAGTGGTTGAATCATTGTGTTCAGTTGTAGTTAAGGTTGAAGCTGAAGTAATTGATGAGTTAGCATCGGATGAAGATGATGAAGCATCTGATGATGATGGGAAAGCTGATGAAGAACTCATGGATGATGAAGCATCAGATGATGATGAGAAAGCAGATGAAGAGCTCATTGATGACATATCGGATGATGATGATGAGAAATCAGATGAAGAACTCATTGATGATGAAGCATCTGATGATGATGGGAAAGCAGAAGAGCTTGATGATGAAGCTGGACAAACAGCTTGTTGGAATGAATCACAATTCCATGAAATAATTTCAGAAACTTCAGCTCTCAATTTGTTTGATTCTGGAGCAACAACAAATTCATAACTATTTTCTGAGGTGGTGAAGGTGAACTCAAATTGTGGAGCATTACAGTAATCAAACTCTTCACAATCAACTTGAACAGTGTAAGAAACATATAAGGAACCTTCTTGTAAGTTAACTTGACCAGCAACGTTCATGTTATCTTTGTTCATGTTTTCGAATTCAAAATCAGCAGCGTTGATATCTTCAGAGAATTTGAAAGTCCATTCAACAGTGTAAATGTTATCTGATGTACCATGGTTGAATGATTTGATGACATATGAAGCATCCCAGTATAAATCACCAGCTCTACCATCGTGAGATGAGTGAGCAACATCGTTGAAATTTGGTTCAACAGATTGAACAGCAGTAGTGACAGTGGTGATTGGACCAGCAGTTGATGAGGAAGCTTGAGTAGAAGAAGATGAAGAAGAAGAAGATGATGATGATGATGGACAGACAGCTTGAGCGAATGAAGCACAATCCCATGAGATAATTTCAGCAACATCGGCTCTTAATTTGTTTGATTCTGGAGCAACAGCGAATTCATAACTATCTTCTGAGGTGGTGAAAGTGAAGTCAAATTGTGGTGAGTTACAGTAAGCAAATTCTTCACAGTTAGCTTGAACGGTGTAAGCAACGTATAATGAACCATCTTCTAAGTTGACTTGACCTTCAACATTTTGGTTATCTTGAGCCATGTTTTCAAATTCAAAGGCAGTGGCATCAATAGCATCAGAGAACTTGAAGTTCCATTGAACAGCATAAACATTGTTTGAACCGACCAATCATTTGATGACGTATGAAGCATCCCAGAATAAATCACCAGCTTTACCAGCATGAGATGAATGAGCAACATCATTGTCACCTGGATTAATAGTTGGAACAGCAGTGGTAACAGTGGAAATTGGTCCAGCAGCATCTTCATTGACAGCATTGGTGGAGTTTGAAGCTGCAAATGCAGCGGAAGCAAATAAAGCAGTGGAAGTTAATAATTGTGAAAGCTTCATTTTGGCAAATATTATCTAATGCTGATTAAAATAAATTAAAGCGAATGAATTAGCAATAAGTTATTTGACCAGTTGAAGAACGAATTATGAAGAAAGTCAACAATTCATCATATCATAAAGACGGAATTGATGTACCTTTTATATACTTTGGGTAGTCAATTGATAGTTGATGACATTTGACTCAAAAATCAGGTTTCAATTAGCTTCCAGCTCCCATATTAAAGGTTCAAAGTGAATAGAGTTTTTATTTTTGGATTGAAATGATCGTGTAGTACTAGAAATTGAATCAAAAGATCAAAAGTTTTGTCAATATATTTCACCTTAAACGTAATAAAATATTCAAAATCATCCGATAATTGATAAACACAAACAATAACAAGTCACAATTTGTTAGGAGTAAGCCATTTTAGAGATTTATTCCGTATTATTTAAGACAATAACCAAAAAAAAAAGTGAAGACAATAAACCAAACCAGCCGTTGCTAATGCACATGCGCGGACATGGCAACGTTGGAACACCATGACACCGTAAAAAAAAAGTAACCAAAATGATGGGTATGTCTCAAAACAAACCCCAATAGGGAATCAAAACTTCCAGTATTGAGAAGATTTTTAAATTTGTTTCGTCTTTTAAAGTTTGAATCTAGATATAAGATTTCGAAGCTTTGGATCTGGTCTAAAATAGTCGTTGGAATGGTCACCTTGAAACATTGAGCAACAGGTTTATCAATTATAAGAAAGTTTTGTTTGTGACAGCTCATCATCGCTTTCAAAGATCAGCCAAGATTCAAAAATGATGATCTATACCCTCCATTAATAATTATGCATAGACACAAAACTTAAGCGAGCTTACCAACGAAATGGATTTTTTCCCTTGCATTTTGAAAGAAATTGATCATTTCTCGTAATATTTCCTTAAGCGAGTAACTGATTTCTGATTTTTCGCGTCTAAAACATACCATTCAAACAAATATGTCTGGGAATTCTAAAAGCAAACATAATCCACAAAAATAGCTCCTTCAAATTTCTATTTAAGGAGTTTTGTAAATATTATTGTAGCTGGTTGATGTTTATTGTGCCTTAAATCTCAATTGAGAAAGGACCAAGCTTAAAATTGTTTATGTTTTTTGCTTACTGGTAACTTGATACCGGTGTTTGAAACTTTTATTTTTATTAATATAAAAACGTGTTATGTAATCCATTATATAATGTAGGGAAATTGAATTGAACTGATCAAAGTTGATAATTTACCAGGTATCTGTTTTAGTTGTAAATCGAAGTAATGATAGCAAAATACTTAAAGCTTGGTCCAGTTATCAAAAGATTTCCTCAGTGTTAAGTTTGCGCTGTGATCTTCCCGAGTTATGGCTCTAGGTATTGTGATTCGTCATGTCTAAACTATTATAGTGTCTTGACAATAAACAATATTGTGGAGATTTCAAAATTATATAAAGGGATATTCTCATCCCCTATAATCTTGTACACCTCAGTTATATAACTATCCAATTTTTAAATTGAAAAAAATGGTATTAAACGTTCAAAAAGACTCCTTAGTTACACTCAATGATGGCAACAAAATCCCAGTTTCTGGGTTTGGCTTATACTTGACACCTCCAGACGAAACATTCAAGTTAACTTATGAAGCGCTAAAAGCAGGGTATAGACAAATTGATAGTGCAAAGCTTTATGATAATGAAAAAGAATCTGCTGAAGGTATTGCAAAGTTTTTAAAAGACTTCCCAAATGTGAAGAGATCCGAAATTTTTTACACCACAAAAATCTTCAATGACGCTCATGGTTACGAAGAAGGAAAGAAAGGTATTCAAGAATCTTTAGGAAGGGTTGCTCCATATATTGATTATATTGACTTGTTGTTGATTCATACTCCTATATCAAATAAAGAGAAAAGATTGGGTGCTTGGAAAGCCTTGCAAGAAGCTGTAGAATCTGGAAAAGTCAAATCTATTGGTGTTTCAAATTATGGTACACAACATCTTGATGAACTATACAATTGGGATGGTTTGAAAATCAAACCTTCTATCAATCAATTAGAGTTACATCCATGGCTACCAAGAAAGGATTTGCAAGAATATGGTAAGAAACATGGTTTTTACCTTCAAGCTTATGCTCCATTAACTCAAGGTCAAAAGTTTAAGGATCCAGATGTTGTTGCTATTGCAGAAAAACATGGTTATACTGCACCAGAAGTCTTATTGGCTTGGTCATATTATCAAGGGTTTATTCCAATCGCCAAAACTGCAACTGTCGGGAGAATTGAAGGCAATTATACCACTTTGGATAGAGTCAAATTAGACGATGAGGATTTGAAAAAATTAGATAAACCTGAAAGTTATGAATCATTGACTTATTGGGATCCAACCCTTTACAAGGATGATGAAATAAATGAATCAAAATGGAAAATTTGAGCTGGCTTAAATTTATATCCTACTGGGGTTAATTATATAAACGTTTATGAAATTAATATAACTAACTATTACTATTCAATACATGTTATATATGCGCTTACTATTAAACCATTGAATGGTAGAAATTACACAAGCTCTAGTGAGGTTAAATTTGCTCAGTGATGCCTTTAACAAGATTCCCATCAGAAAGTTGGCACAAACTTTGAATAGCTACAATGATTTTTCAATAATACTAAAAACTTGTATTAATTATATTAAGACTGAATTGGAAATAGTAAAACAGTATTATGAGTATCAAACTCTTTTGGGAATGGAGTAAATCATTTTCAAGAAACCGAAATCAGTATCTCAACTTTAGAATAATTCGTAATCATAAACGAAATAAAAACACCTTCAATGGATAAAATAGAAATAAAATATAATGAAATCAAGAATTGCTGAAATCAAAATTGGTATTAAAAATAATGAATGCTTTGATAGAAGTAAATAAAAATCATATTTGATTTTATAATAAAACGAAGGTATAAATATTAGAAATGTAAAATGTTCTTACCGATTATCTTAGAATAGTAAGACAAAAGCAGCTGATAAGAATGAAACAACCCAGTTGTTATAGTTAACAGCACCGGCACCTTCATATGATGAAACAGTAGCTGGACCTGATGGAGCAGCAGCTGATGAAGATTGAGCTTCTGGAGCTGGAGCTGATGAAGAACCTGGAGCTGGAGCAGCTGATGAAGAGCCTGGAGCTGGAGCAGCTGATGATGGACCTTCTGGAGCTGGAGCAGCTGAAGAACCTGGAGCTGGAGCGGCTGATGATGGACCTTCTGGGGCTGGGGCAGCTGAAGAACCTGGAGCTGGAGCAGCTGAAGTGGTACCTGGAGCTGGGGCTTCAGATGATGGAGCTGGGGCTGGAGCACCTGATGATGGAGCTGGAGCTGGAGCTTCAGATGATGGACCTGCTGGAGCTGGAGCACCTGATGATGGAGCTGGTTTTGGAGCTTCTGAAGATGGACCTGGAGCTGGAGCACCTGATGATGGAGCTGGTTTTGGAGCTTCTGAAGATGGACCTGGAGCTGGAGCACCTGATGATGGAGCTGGTTTTGGAGCTTCTGAAGATGGTTTTGGAGCTGGGGCTTCTGAAGATGGTTTTGGAGCTGGGACTTCTGAAGATGGTTTTGGAGCTGGGGCTTCTGAAGATGGAGCTGGAGCACCTGAAGTGATTGGACAGTAAGTAGTGTATTCAGTAACAGAGTTTTCTTTTGTTTCAGTGACAACAGTAACACCGGTAGTAATAGTTACATCACTGATGGTAACAACAGTGGTATCTTGTTTTGGAGCTTCAGATGAAAGAGGACAATAAGTAGTGTATTGAGTGACAGTGTTTTCTTTTGTTTCAGTAACAACAGTGACACCAGTAGTGACTGGAACATTAGTACAACCATGTTCAGCACAAGAAGTAATAGTGATAACAGTAGTTTGGACACCATCATAAGCAGTTGAAGTTGATTCTGGAGCTGAAGATGGAGCTGGTGATGCAAATGGTGGGGCACCTGAAGCTGTAGCTGAGCTTGATGGGTCTTCTGATGATGATTCGGCTGATGATGAAACAGTGGAAACTGAAACTGAAACTGATGATTCTGATGAAGCTTCGGATGATGATGAAACTTCGGATGATGAAGAAACTTCGGATGATGATGAAGCTTCAGATGATGATGAAGCAGAAACAGTGGTAGTTGATGGAGCTGATGATGGAGCTGATGATGATTCTGAAGCTGAAACAGTAGTGGTTGATGGAGCAGCAGATGATGATGATGCTTCAGATGATGAGTCTGATGATGAGGCTGAAACAGTAACAGTTGGTGGTTCAGCTGAGATAGGACCTGATGAAGATGATGAAACAACTGATGATGAGGCTGGAGCAGATGATGATGATGAGGCTGGTTCACCGATAGTAATAGTAGTGGTATCGGTACAGCCATCTTGCCAGTCTCCTAATTTTGAACAATCCCAAATCAAAGCGTTGGTGTAAACTGGAGCTTCACCTAAGGCTAATAAGTTGAATAATAATTGTCTGATGGTTTCAGCTAAGACGGAACCAGCAGCACCAACGTAAACACCCCAGTAGGCTGAATCATCAATGAAGGTAAATCCAACATAATCAAGAGCACAGTAAGAAACAATTGAAGTAACGAAAGTCAAGTATGGAATAGTAACATCATAAGAGATTAAGAATGAACCGTCTTCTAAGTTAACTTGACCAGCAAAGTTGGAGTTTTCTAAACCTAAGTCAATGATTTTGAAGTCATTAGCGTTAATAGCATCATCAAATTTGAAGTACCAAGTTAAATGTAAGACACGAGATCTAGTTAAACCTGAACCTTCAGTATCAGCAGTAACAGAGTATGAAGCTTCATATGATTTACCGTGTAAGTTACCAGTTTGAGTGGAGAAAACACAGTTGTTGGTTTGAGTTTCAATAGTAGCAATTGGTGTTGAAACAGTTTCGACACCACCAACAGTTGAGGCTTGAACAGATTGGGAACCAGTAACTGAACTAGAGTTTTGACCCATTACCATACCGGCAAATAAAGCAGCAGAAGCGAAAATGCTTGAAAACTTCATCTTGATCTATATTGATTATAAAATTGAGCGAATGACTAGATCAAATGAACAACGATGGATACTAAATTCAAAAAGGTTCATCAGATTTAACAATTGTGGAAGATCTTGAACTATTTATATATTCTTTGTATCTCTTCAATTCATGAATTCGAAATATCAAAAATTATCTCTTCACTTGCCTAAAAGGTTCAAAAAATCACATATACGGTTGTTTGAATAGCTGAGTACAAAAGCTGGTTTGTAAGATATTTTCTATTCATGTATAAGTATACTTTATGTGTCGATCATTGAAAAATTCCTTGGGTACGTCTAACTTATGACATTAGTTTGTGCAGTAGAAACAAGTTTTCCAGAAATGAAAGAACTTTAATATGTATGACTTGCCCTCTTCATGTATAATTCTTGCATATTCAGTGCTCAACACGAAGCGAGGATCAACATGTTGGAAACTCAAAATGATTAAAAATTCACATCAAGAAATAGAGATCCAATATAACCAGCTCAAAAAAGGGTAGCAAACATGGCTCAATTCATCCAAGTTTGAGATTTGTTTGGATCTTGGTGATTATCCGAGTATATCCATTAAAGGTACTATTCATATTTAACATATGAAAATCTTTATACCAGACAAGAGGGACATAATCAATTGAGTGAACAAGTACATTTATAACCTCTATATTTGGAAATAACCAGAATTGCAATTCAATATGACCCAACACCTTATCAAATTTGTATTTCAATTTTCCTAATTAAAGCTCAAGTAGATTGATAGTAGTAATTAAGCAGTACGTGTATTTGATATGATGATCCATAAAGGCAATGATCAATCCTTAACGTTGATTAGCAGTTCATAGCTTCTAATTTCTGAATATCTTTTGAAACTTTGAAAAAGGCGTAACTGTTTATCTGCTCGGAAAATACACATCACAATTTCCATATATGGCTGCCAAATCATTTGAGTTTCGCTTAATCACCTATTGATCAAACATTTTTTTGGTATCTTCCAGGAGGGAATACTGTAAATCATGTTGAATAAGGCAACTCGTTATTTCCTGATTGATTAAGATACTTATCTTTTGTTCGATGTTGTTGATATTTTTTTCCTTTGTTATGTAAGCGATAGTCGAGATTTTCGCTCACGTTAACAATTCAAACAAACTTGTGAAGATCGATCAAATTCTATTACTTGAAAAAGGTTTAATTACATCCATAATTGATGATTGTAGTACGTGCTTTAGCGAATATGCCGAGATGGTGAAGCTATACATAACAGTGCTACAGGCACGGTGTCAATTCTCTGGAGTCTGCCAAAGCTCAAGCTAAGAAACATATACAGTTTATGGCTATCGATTACGCGTATCGTCGGCATCAAATATATATTCTACGTGACAATAAGTAGACTCAATCAACTAGTGAAGCACTGGACCTTTGAAGTTTCTACAAAAAGTGATATATTTGAAATTTTACGTGGTATACTTAGTATTTAATACTGACTAGTATAACATAGTTACCATTAATAATTTTGGTCTTTGTTTGGCCTCCTTTAATTCATGATGTTACGATGTTTATTTTTAATTCACTTTCCTTTTCATGGATCGATGCAAAACAGTCCTTGTTTATCACATATATACTATTCACGTAATTAAAGTGGATAAACAGTTGGAGTAACATTGAAAGAAGCTTCTTGTTTCAAATTCTCAACGATTGATGTTTCAAGCTTAATTCGAGTTTCCAAATTTCAAATCGTAGATGAGCTACATGCAAACAACCTGCCTGTATTGATGAAGTTCATAAGGCTGTCAATTTAAAGCGCCTTGGCATATCAAAAAGGTTCCATATCTTCTGGTGAAGAATACATTTCACAGCTTAGATTAAGGTAGCTGCTCTACGTACTCATAAAAAACCTGCACAAAAATGAAGACGCACACAGCTTGTGGTTTGTATTGTTGATGCAGCATTGACAGCTGGCGCATGCAACCTTTTTAAGCTTCAGTGAAATCGGAAGCGCGTAGGCAGGAACTCATGGGGCACCCGCCTAAAATTATTCCGAAAGATACAACGCCTTTGAACTTTACCTCATTTCAGCGATGAAATTAAGACAAGTTACCTAAATTCTGGGGGAAACGACAGGGAATAGACATAAAAACTTAAAATTTTAGCCAAAACATTAGACGCATAGGCATAGTTCTCGTTTTTCGTGCTTAAAGTTAATGCTTCATGCCATGCTCTGGGATTCCAAAAAGCTTTTAAGTGTGAACAATGTAATAGTGTCTTTCTAAACGGCTGTAGCGGCCTGTCTTTACTTATTCACGGAGCTTTAATTTGATATTTGATATCTAATTTAATTAAGGGCAGTTTCATTCAACTCTCGAGGCATCAAGTTTCAAGGACACAAGTTCTCCTAATTTTATACCAGTACCAGTTACACTGAACATTGGCTCCGCCTAAAGCGTTTTTCGGTTTGTTCTTTGGAATAAAATGTCATTAGACGTATTCACTGTTTGCTGTCCACTTCAAATTGGTTTGTTCACCATACAAAACGAGGTTGCACCTTCCACCAAATTGAAAATTGATGAGATCGGCGGTGGATCAATTTCAAAGAGGAAATACTACAATTAGCTTCTAAAATATAAACATCTGAGATGTTGGATCTCCGTGATTACTCTGAAGTTCTTAACCTCTTAAACTATCAGGCTAACATATAAATTTATCTTCAGTAAAGGTTTTCTATTGACCCATGCCAATTTGAAAGAAACGAAAGGTTTTGAATTCTGATACCTAATAGGTACATGTAGTTTAATTTACATTTCAGAAATCCAGCTCTTACAAATCTAATAATTGAAATCAAAGTTTCAACGGTAATCAGCCAACATTTGTTACCAAAGCTGAGACCTGTCACTTGAAAGTTAAGACACACGCTCAAGCTAAAATTTTAATCAACCCTTTTGGTGGAAAACTATGGTAACTAAAGCCTTTCAAGTTTCAAAAGAGGATAAAATGATAGAATTAAAGTTGACAGATTTATTGTCTAAAGCATTGCATTGAAATGTTGTTTGTAAATCTTTGAAATGTAATTGGAAACACCATTCTTTCTAATCGTCTACTCCATCAAAAAATATTTCATTATGTTTGCAATATTTCATTATGTTTGCTTTCAAACTTTCAAAGCATTATATATCCTACCTAGCTCTTGAATAAGGTAGAATCTTCATATTAATATAGATTTAAGAAAAAAAAAAAGACAAGTTAAGATACTAGAAAATGTTCTTGGATCACCTTTAAAATTGAAGGTTTATTACTCAGTTTTTTTTTTACTCTATTTTATCATTTAAGATTCAGATATTACTGGTTAATTTAATACTGATAACATCCGTCTAGTGATATCTTGGACTACAAGCTTTCAGAATTACTTCATTTCTTAATGCTTTCATCTTGTGACGTCAGAATCAAATGAAAAATTACCGACTATATAATCTGCACAGTTAATACAATAGGATTTAATTAAGACGTATAGTGTTCATGTCATAACTATCTTTCTTGTTTAAAAAGGCAATCTCGAAAATATATAACATAACTTTACTGAATATCTATTAATTTGAAATTACAAGAGACTTAATTATATATTATTTACTGTAATTCAAGAAGTATTGAACCATCTTAATAATCATGGATCATTAATAAATTGTAAATTCCCTTCCAGATTGACTGATATACCAAGTGCCAATCTATCTGTATTTCATACCATTGAGTTACCACTGTATGAGATGAAAGTCACATAAACAACAACATTGAAATGAGTATATTATATCTTGACAATTAACGTTTGATTGGTCTTAACTTGAACAGTGATTATAGCTTTGACGGAACTCCGTAATACAAGCATCTGTATACATAATGATCAGATGCTTGGTTTCAATTTGCGTTCAGATGAGATGATTTTAAAATAAATTATTGTCTATATATGACCTTATGACAGCTAAATAGCTTCAATAACATTGCTTAGAAATCAATATATGAAAATTATATTGTCAAAGTATTATATATATAATTATACTATGTGTTATATATATTGATTATGTAAGCACATTCAATATCATAATTATTAATATGAATTATATCTAGTTCTTATTCCATCCTACAATAACAGCATCCCTGGGTGTCTAATTAATTATTCAACTATAAAATAATTATATATTTATAAAAATATTTTATATATAATTTTATATATATATATATTTTAAAATAATTAATCCAACAATAAAGTTAACCATATAAATTTTAATTCTGATCTGAAATAATGAAACTTTAAAAATCTCAAAATTTCAAACTCGAAGTTTTGATGTTTATAACAGCTGAATATGAAGAAGATAATCTAAGTATCATATTAAACTAAATAAAGCACAAAAATTTGAAGAATTGAGCCAAAAATTTGGCGTTTTTTATGACAGGTCAAGTTTTAGCTAACAGGTTAGACATGCCGATTTTCAAAATCAAAATTCGGCCGTGTGGTCTAGTGGTATGATACTCGCTTTGGGCGAAGGTTGGGTTCACTCAACCTGATATCCACAAGCATGCGAGTGGCCCAGGGTTCAATTCCCTGCTCGGCCCAATTTTTTTGAAATTTTTTCTGCCAATTTCACGGGTCTATAGAGCCATATACGTGCTTAACTCTTCTCAATGTTGTCGTGTAAAAAAGCTTATTGCAGTTTTTTTTACGATATTCAAACGATTGACAAACTACTTAACTATCCAGTCGTAGAGTATTTTTGTCCTGAATTAATACTCATTTGGCTGGAGCCTGGTAGGAGCTGTCACAAAAATACTGTTTACGTGTCCCATACCAAATTGAATCAAAATGAATCTCGAAATCAGTGTTTATGTTTTATACAGATCGATTTTCTATCAATAGTTTTCATACGTTTTCAATTCACTTTCAATAGAGCGCTTAAGTCAACATTTGGTCAAATGTCTAAGAGATCACCAAGTATTGTCCTAAAAGATGTCAAATTTGAATCAGATTTATCAAGGCTATTGACAAACCAATATGAAGCGCGTGTATCTTTGTCTTCAAATGAAATGTTGGTTATTGAAAACAAACAAGTTCTTTGGTTTAAAGGTGACTTGTTGTCAAGGAAGTTGTTATACGATAAAAAGGTCGTGAATGCATTTTTTACTAGTCTTATCACGGCAGATGATAAAATAACAGACACTCAAAGCCCATGTCGTGAGAAAGTGATGATGGTTTTTTTAGAAGATTCTCTACACATCTATTACGAAGATGGAAGATCCTATTCATTGAGTTTTTCATTCATCGTTCAGAACGCCTTATCACAAGAGAATGGTGCTGTGATTGAAAGGTCTGATTCAAGTCTTCACTCTTTTGTAACGTTGACTGAACCACTCGCAGAGTTTGGATCAATAGTGTCATCTTCAACTACTTCAATTTCTTCAGATGAGCGCTTAATTTCCTTTCCTTCAGATACAAATCACTCAATTTCAGCTACTTTTGACGTATCTGATACTTCAATTAAGATATATCATACAAGATTTTTATCTAGGATCTCTTCTAATACTCCATCAACAACATCCAATTCAATTAGAAGAAAAGCATCGGTACAAAGCAGGAAGCCCTCACAAACATTAGCAAAAGATGAAAGTACGGAAAACCAGCCCAGTGAAATATTGATAGAGAAAAAACGGTCAATATCACATTCTGGTGTTCTTTCTATTGATAGAATGACATCATATGATTATAGTAACAATGGCAAAGCTTTCGAATCCAATGGATCATCACCAAGCGGTGAAATTTTGAGAAAAGATGCAATTTTGACTAAAATCGACCATTTAGATATGAAGACACAAAGTAACTTAGAGGATATCATCACTGAATCTATTATATTTGGAAACAAAGAAGCAATTATTATACAAAATTTGAAGATTGGTGTTTTAGAAATTTTGATCTTTGAGAAAAATGAAGGTGCTGTTTCAAGTTCAAGATTTTTGCAATCAATCAGTCTCACAGGTGATATCACTGATTATTCTACTACGTCACATCAAGGAACACTTATTTTGATTTCAAAACTTAATGAGTTTGTTTTGTTTAATCCTTTCTTGGATTTAAAATTTCACTGTTTTAAACCTTCAACCCAAATAAATAGACTTTTAGGATGCAATGGCTCCAAGATAATAGCTGAAACTACAGAGGGGAAGCTGGTACAATATAATATGATACTGAAACCCACCATTGATGCCATTGAAAGATGTATGAGCTCATTGAAATATTTAGTGAACTCTTACACGTATAACTACCTTCACTTGTGCTGGGTTTATTCATATGCACTTCTCCAAAATGAGTGGGATGCTTTTGTTTTAACTATTTTAGCTGCTTTAATCCCCATGTCAGTATCACCTTCTGATGTTGATGCTAATAATCCAGTTTCCAAATTACTTTTAAAGATAAATATATTACAGGAAAAGGCACTTGAAGACCAATTCACATTAAAGGACATGGCACCAAATATCATACTTGCTCTTCATATTTTACGCGAGGACTTTAAACTCAATGTTTTGGATGATAAAATCGTGAAAGACCTTGGCTTATTATTATCCCAATTGACCCTCTGGATGAGTTGGTCAGAGACTTGGTATTCTTATTATGGAGTAGATCAAGAGATTCTCAATAGATCCATAAAGTTTCCACAATTTCAAATTCTTGAAAATCCACCGGACGTCATGCAGTCATTAACCTCACTTTTTGAAGCTACTATTGTGCCATATGTCACATTTTCTCAATTAGCACAAGAGTCAGAACATGTTGATGAGCTAGTAATACCCAGAACCTTTTACATACTGAGACTTTTTGAAGCCATTTTGAGAGAGGACTTTACACCAAAAGATATTGTCAATTTAATTACAGAGTATAATATCACAAAGTCAGAGCTTGATACCTACCCAATTGGTATTATTATCCCGTTGAATGAAGCTATAGCGCTATGTCAAGAGTATGTCACAAATGAGGATACTGACTTAATTCAATCAGATCTAGTTGATAGAAAAGATCTCAAAATGTTGATATCCAAGGAGAATTCAATTTCTAGCAAGACAGTGACTCATAACTCATCAGGGCAACAACAGAAAGATGTTCACCAGATTATCAGTACGATAAATGATACACAAGAGCCGGTTGCTCCAGCTGAATATGACAGATTTAGTATAGTGAAACTTATTTTTTCAGAAGATAGAAGATTTTATGAAGTTTCCAAAATGCTTCAGACTTCAAAAATTCAAGCTTTAATGACAAAGCCTATAACTAATGTCAAAGAAGATGAAATTATTTTGAAGCAAAGAGATATTGCATTGATTGCATACGTTAGAACACTTACCGTTCCTTTAGGAAGATCATCTTTACTATACTCAAGTAAATTCCCGTTGGTTACAGAAAAGTTTTTAGCTCCAAAAATATCTCCTTACATTTTGCTTCAACCTGATAATGTTACAATAAATGTCGAGTTAGACAAGGTTTATGATGGTGCCCTTAGCTGGGGTAATTTCCATAACGGTGCTTCAACAGGGCTTACCGTCTCGAGAGACGCCAAAGGTATTTCAGGGAGTTGGATTGTATTCAATAAACCAAACAGCTTAACTGCTCAACATGGTGGCTTTCTATTAGGTTTAGGTATTAATGGACACCTAAAGACATTAGAAGAATATCATATTTTTAATTTTCTTGGACCAAAACATCCTTTCACAAGTATTGGACTCTTATTAGGAATGAGCGCCAGTCTCAAGAGTACAATGGATGTCAAGCTCACCAAAGTTTTGAGTGTACACGTGGTTGCTCTATTGCCCCATGGTGCAACAGATATGATCATTCCGGTATCTGTACAAACAGCAGGTCTTATAGGTATTGGTTTACTATACGCAGAAACTCAACATAGAAGAATGAGTGAAATTATGCTATCACAGATTACTGGTAAGGTTTTACTGGATGATAAAGAGGTATCAGATGAAAGTTATAGACTGGCTGCCGGATTCGCTTTGGGCTATATAAATTTGGGAAGAGGTGACGATTTGAAAGGCTTGAATGAATCACATATTAGTGATAAGCTTTTAGAAATTGCGACATCAATGAAGGATGTGCAATCAGAAGATGCTCTTGATAAATCAATGTCAGGTGCTTTAGTTGGTTTAGCTCTAATCTATTTGAAAAGTGATAATGATATTATAGCCAGAAAGATTAAAGTTCCAGAAGCAGAGCAATTTTTAGATTATATTAGACCTGATATTATTACATTGAGGTCACTTTGTTACTTTTTGATTATGTGGTCCTCTATTGGAGATTCTAGAGCGTGGGTAGAGGATCAAATTCCTGAGTGGTTGCTACCAGAGAACCTTGAAGATGGCATTGATGGAACTCCATATTATTACATCTTATCAGGTATTTGTATGGCCATGTCTTTGAAATACGCATCAAGCTCAAATAAAGTAGTGAGAGATACAATTATTGACTATTATGATGATATCTCAAGAGAATTGGATGATTTTGGCGTTCAGGAATCTTTTGGTGCAAGATTAAAAAAATCAGCCCTAATGCAAGCTCAAATAATTTTGGCGCTATCTGCATCAATTGTTATGGCTGCAACTGGAGATATAGAGGTCCTCAGAAGATTAAGAGTGTTACACGGTATACTTGAAGTTTCTAACTCACAGAACTCATTCGGTAAATATATGGCTGCAAATATGGCAATTGGATTCTTGTTTCTTGGTGGTGGTCAATATGCCTTTAATACGTCAAATGATTTTGGAGTTGCTGCCTTATTGACTTCTATTTACCCGTTATTTCCAAACTGTTCAAGCGCAGACCCAGAAGTCCATTTACAAGCTTTACGTCATTTTTGGGCATTGGCCTCAGAGCCAAGATGCTTGGTGATCAGAGATGCAGAAACTTTGAGACCAATTAACTCTCCAGTCCTCGTTACTTTGAAGGATGGCCAAACAATTGATAAAGATGCGCCTTGCTTGCTTCCAAACTTATCTGATATTGAGAGAATTGATTCGGTATCTGATGAATATCATAAAGTTCAAATGCTCGAACTGTCTGGAATTAATAATTATCTTGATGTTTTCGTTTATAGAAAGAGGAAGATTGAGGTTATGAAAAAATCCGTGGAACTTATACTTTCAGAGATCAACTCCAAATTTGAAGCTAAACACCCACAACATAACAAGCTTTTGGATTTGTGCATATTCGATAGACTCAATAAGTATGACGTTCAGTCTGTTTTAGAGGGAACAAATGAAACCGAGTTTGGGTCAAATATTATTGATAAACAAGTGGAACTGACTGCTATTGTTAAGAAGCCTAAAAATATTGATGACTTGTGGAACTTGAAATTGATTTTTGCATATTACGATAAGATCTTAAGTGATGAAGATACACATTATTTGAGTATTGATTTTGTTGATAATTTAAGAATCCAGTTATGGTCTTTAATGAGTACTTTACAATGATAAAATATTGGTTTACTTTATATTAATGATATGTTATGATCTATTTAAACTAATGTACCATCAATTGGTGGTGTATACTGTCTTAAAAGCACACCACCTTCTTTTAAAACCCTTGAAGAGGAGTCGTCCATACTATAATCCAACGAATAAACAACTTCTTTGATACCACTTTGTACAATTTTAACAGAACAGGTCAAGCATGGACAAGTATTACAGTACAATATAGCATTGTCACCGATTCTATCTCTTCCGCTTTCTAGCAATGCATTCTCTTCACCATGAAGACATAAACAGGTCGATAAGGCAGCACCAGATCCATTACCGCTATTACATCTTGAACACCCACCTTCATTACAATTTGTCATATGTCTTGGAGTTCCATTGTAACCAGTTGCAATAACTCTTTTATCACGAGCGATCACACACCCAACTCTTCTTTTCATACAGTTACTTCTCAAGGCAGCAAGATCAGCAAGTCTCATGAAATAAGCATCCCAAGATGGACGAAGACGTGTTTGATCTAATAAATTTAATTTGGAAAGTTGAACATAAAGATTCTCGACAACAGTGGAGGTATTGATAATTTTAATTGAAGCTTTTGAGATGACCTCAACAATTAAGGCATCTCTATTGTATGTTTGTTCATCAGAGATTTCAATGAATTCCGTAAACGATGAGTTAGGATTGTTCAATCTATGTCTTTCCCATCTACTTTTCAATGGTGCATCAATTGATATATGTAAGAAAAATGGTCTTTTGGTTAGTTGTTCCAATTCTAGCACGGTTGAAATGTCTGTTAGCACAAAATTTGACAGCCAGTTTCTAGTGACATAGTCTATAAGTTCCTGTAAATTTTCAAATAATATTTCAGGTTTCAATTCACTATCTGAATCTTGTAATTTTAAATCTTTGACATTGGGTATGGAATTATATTCTCTCTTGTAATCAATGAATTTGAAGCCTTGAAAAGTAAGATAGCGAGCCACCTCTGTTTTACCAGCCCCTAATGTACCTGATATACCGATTAGCATTGTTTGTTGTCAATCCACGTCTATCTATAATGTCATATCTTTCCAACGGTCTTTAAAAAATCTATCGTATTGTATACTCTTTGCACACGCCCTCGAATATCGCGTAAACGGTATTGACACCTATAAATATTTTTAATGGAGTCGGATATCACAAAAAGGGAAAGTGAATCGAAAATCAAAAAATCGCGATTCAATTTGACTTTTTTTTTAAAAAACTGAATCTTTTCCACAATAAAAACTTTAACCGCCAAATAAAACGTCAACTTAAGGTCACAATACTCCAGGCATCCACAAAATAAAAGATTATATATCCCATATTCATGCCATTGTGAGACAAGCCTGCTGAACCACTACTAAGCTATCAAAACCAACACACTCTCTCATCGTCTCTTTCATTTGTTCTTTAGGTGCTGAATATCAGTTTCGTTTTTGTTTTTTTTTTGATTTGAGTGGTTAAGGAATTTGGGTTGTATCAAATATGTTTTCACATGTCAATAAAGCCAACACAGTGGAGAATCTATCCAAACCAATAAGCAGAGCAACTCAAGCTGCTGCTACACATATATCTAAGTCTACAGCTGCTTCTAGATTCTATTCACATTATCCATTTCCATCAATCCCCAGACCAAAGAGAAATGTTTTATACTACAACACATACTATTATGGATCACAGTTGAAAAATGGGTTAAAAGGTAAACTACCCCCAATCAGAAAATTTTCCCAAAGTTATTATCATAACCAATGGAATGGAAGTTCATCATCTACAAATACTACCCAACCAAAACATCAACTCATCAAATACATAGCACTGTTCTCAATAAGTTTTATTTTTTATGGAGTGTCCGCAAAAATTTATCACCAAGCCAGATCTAAAAGTGAAGAAGATAGTGATGAAAGTGATAATGAAAATGAAGAAAGAAGTGTCAAACCAAGTCATTCTTGGCAATTTTTCTGCTACAGTACTTTACCATTAAATGCAATTTCCAGACTTTGGGGTCAAATCAATAGTATTGACTTACCTGTTTGGTTAAGGGGTCCTGGTTACAAATTCTACTCTTATTGTTTCGGTGCTAATTTGGATGAGATCAAGGAGTCAGATATCTCAAATTTCAAGAATTTAAGTGAATTTTTTTATAGAGAATTGAAAGATGATGCTAGACCTATTGCTCAAAATACAGATCTTGTTTGCCCAAGTGATGGTAAGGTTTTACAATTTGGTGTAATTGATAATGGGAATATTGAACAAGTGAAAGGTATGACTTATTCTATAGACTCATTTTTAGGTGATGCAACTCGTACAAAACTGGCTGCACCATCTCATCAAATCAATTTTGAACATCATGATGAAGACGAGATTTTGAAAAGACATGGTGAATTTGCAGAAATTAATGGTATCTCATATTCATTAGATGATATCTTGGGTGGTGAAGGTAAAAATGTGCACCATTTGAAAAAAATTATTTATAAAGAAGAAGGTGATAAGTCTGTTGAAGTTGGAACAAAGAAAGTTTTACAAGTTGCTAGTGAAATCTCAAGTAACAAAGCAAAATCTTCACAAAATGATAAGGAATTATTTTATGCTGTTATATATTTAGCACCTGGTGATTATCATAGATATCATTCACCAACTGATTGGGTTGTTACCTTGAGACGTCATTTTATTGGTGAACTTTATAGTGTTGCTCCGTACTTCCAAAGAACATTATCAAATTTATTTGTCTTGAATGAAAGGGTTTCACTTCTCGGGTACTGGAAATATGGGTTTTTCAGTATGACCCCAGTTGGTGCTACAAATGTTGGTAGTATTAAAGTCAATTTTGATAAAGATTTAACTACAAACACCAAATATCAAAGTCCGCATTATAAAGATACCAGTGATAGACCAGTTAAAGTCAAAAAGCATACATGTTACGAAGCCACATATTCTAAAGCTAGTTCTTTATTAGGTGGTTATCCAGTTACTAAAGGTCAAGAAGTTGGTGGATTTATGTTGGGTTCAACTGTTGTCTTAGTTTTTGAAGCTCCAAAAGAATTCAAATTCAACATTGAAAAGGGACAAAAGGTTAAAATGGGTCAACCATTAGGTAAGATTGATGTTGATTCTAAATGATTTGTTTCTTTTCTTATTTGACCAATTAATGTGGATAAATCGGCAAATGCATTCAATTAAAAGTACCAATCATACCACAAATATCATTTTTTCACGACTAAATCACGATGATGCATTTTTTAAGAATAAAGTTTCCAAAAAAAAGGTGGAACTTTTCAAAAGTTAGTTAGTTTATATCAGGTTTAATTTCATTTCTTATAGGGTTTCAGGTTCTTTACATATCATAACACATATTTCATTTTGTTCGTTTAGTTTAGTAGTAAATAAGCGTTCGTTAGTTTAACTACCCGCATTTTTTGTACAATCATAATTTATATACATATCAATATTCAAATACAGGATTTTAAAAAGGATTTATTTAATGAAACATGTAATTCGATATTTTAAGTTTCTTTATATTGATATGGACCTGGTTTTTCTTCAACTTGAAGATCTAATTTACCTTCTTCAACTTCCACACCATTAATACTTAACCCAGCAGTAACATGATCACCTGGAACAACTTTACCAACACCCTTTGGAGTACCAGTTAAGATCACATCACCTTTTTCTAAAGTCATAACGCTGCTCATAGTACTCAAAATTTTATGAATTGGGAAAATCATCAATGATGTAAGATCATTTTGTTTTTGTTCACCATTAATTTCTAAATGTAAATTGACTTTATAAGGATCTGGAATTAAACTTTTTGGTATGAAATTTGATAATGGTAAGAATGTATCAAAACCTTTACCAATTGACCAAGGTAAACCTTTCTTTTTAGCTTCATCTTGAACATTTCTTGCAGTTAAATCAATAGCTAATGCATAACCATCAATAGCATCTAAAGCATCTTGGTTTGTAAATGTATCTGGATTTATATTTTTTAAAGTTTTGTTAAGAACAATGGCTAATTCAACTTCATGATGAACAACAGTCCCCTTTGGAATCAAAATTGGACCAGAGTTTGGTTTAAGGATTGATGATGAAGGCTTTAAGAAATAAAAAGGTTGAGATGGTTTTGCATTGTTTAATTCTTGGATATGAGCAGCATAATTACGACCGATACATAGAATTTTTCTAGCGTTTCTCAAATAGTTCAAGGACATGATCTGTGTGAGTGAATACCTCGGATCAATTGGTGTTTAAACTGGTCTTCAATGTGGTTTCTTTGATGTGGTTTCTGTATCTTTATCAATGAGGGTCCCCAATATTCATGATCAGAGTTGATTTAAGACTGTGGAAACTCTGAGCGGCTCCGCGATATTAAGCCTCTCCGCGAAAAAGTTTTATTCCTGGATCATGAATTTTCAATCATCAACCAAATTTAGTTCAAAGTTCAAACTCAACGGCTAATGTACCACAAAAGAGATGAGACTGGGATTTGAAAAGCTCACAGACACCATGGGGAACCAGTTTAACCGAGCTGATTGTCTGCGTGAGATTCATGGCTTTTGTCCATGCTTGTTGTGCTTGTGCTTTTAATATTGATGGGAAATGGTTTGTCATCTCAACAGAGAACTATCCAGGATCTAGGATGATCGGATAAAGGAATGAAAGCTTGGATGTTGGTTCTTGAAGTTTTTTTTTCTTCTTCATTGAATAGTTGAACTACGTTAGAAACTCAAAGTTGGGATTGAGGAAAGTGATGATTTGGCTTGTTTGTACTTCGGATGTTCAGGGGTCACAATCGTTGGAATTGATTCACAGAAATCTATCCTTGCATCCTTGCTTTCAACTTCATGATCAGAGAGATTCGATCAGGTACATATCAAGATACAACCTTAATCGTATCTCAAAGAGCTGAATGGAAATTCATTGATTGAAGCTAACTAAATATGAACGCCAGTTAAATTGTCCTTTTTATGCTAATATACCTTCACAAATTATCATAGTCATATTATCCAGTGTCAAAATTTGGAAGATGAATCTAGGGGGATTCCAGCAATATTTTGAAACCTTGAAGAATTGGAAATTTGGCCAATGGCTACTAAATTCTAATCGTGGCCCGTGGGTACTTTGATACTTTAGGGGGTTCCATTAATAACTAATTAATTGAATACGCATTATCGATGATCATGGAACAAAAAGATGAAGATTACAACAAGGTGTTCAGAGTTTTAACTTTTCACTAAATTTAGTTGCAAGAATAGACCATGATGCTAACACCAGGGGTAAATCATTTGCAATTTGATAAAATTATTGATTCAAGAGGATACCACAATTATATTCAAGTACATTATAGATTTAAATAATATTGCTGATGGAATATAAGCATAGTTTCGAAACGAAAAAATTACTTCTCAATAATGTATCCATGATCTCAAACGAACCGCTCTATCGAATCAATAAAATTTACTCACCATTGAATGGGATGATGTGATATTTTAAATTTCGCTAACTCGGCCATTAATTTCATATACATCAAGAATCCAGATTCCACACCTTATGAAGATCTAAGATTTCGGGGTTTTATATTTGTTTCTTGCTTTGTTTTTGACGTTCATTACATTTCAGGGATTAAACCTCACGTAGCTCTTGTTGTATACTAAATGAATCAATTCATATTTGGAAGATTAATACATCTGTATAATATATGTACATGGTATACATGGGTGAATAGTTGATTGTTCCTTTTATTATCCGATTAAAAATCATTTCCTCATTTATTTTATAGGTGATCAGACAGCTTTCGTATTTGTTGTAAGTTGTAACTATCATTGAAGAATTTGAGGCACAATTTACATACAATATCATACCCAACAAACGGTGAACACCTTCGAACTACCTTCGGACAAGACAAAGTCATAATCAAGTAGCCAAGCCCAATGTCCCACCACGTTATTGCGGATCAAATATTAATTAGTCGCATTGTGTAAGGTTATACGGTACTCAACAGCCTACAGGGCCACAAAAGCGTCTACAAAATGAACTTTAATCTAAGTACTGTCAAATCAAAGCTCTACAAAGCAAAGTACATAGTCATGAATGCAGGAGTACATTTATGGGTAACAATTGAAATTAATAAAGGCATGTACGAAGTTTCCAATGGATTAGTTTATCATGTAAGTGAATCACCCGAATAAGCGATGGTTCACCAATTAGTTCACATAAAGTCAAATCAGTTGAAGCTATATACGTAATTTCCAACAATATGAAAGCTCAGATTAAACTGTTGATAGTCCAAATTATATCAAGATCAATTGAATGTGTAGATGTTCGTAAAAGCAATAAGTTAGATTCATTCGTTATAAAGTTTATAGAGTCGTTGAGAATCCAGATTCCAAAGCTTTTAGCCATATACCATATACCTGCTACCTACCTCAGTATTTAATGCTGGGTTTGTGTTTTTGATAAACAAGATATTCACGACAATCTTAGACTCGAGCCATCACCAATCATTGATCACCAATCACTAATTTGGGTATAATTACTTATAAGTGAAATCTCAAATCGATTAATCCCTGAAAACGACTGTTTCAACTTTCAACCCAAAATCACAGTACGTACTGAAAGTAATTGAAACATACTTATAGTCCTATAATAAAATAAGACTAAAACGTGTTCCCCGTATAGTAGCTAACATATCTTTTCGAAGGATGACCATTAATTACATGGCGAGGACGTAATTAAGTTTGACTCCCCAGTTTTCACTAAATCCAAGGACCTCAACTTGAAGGAACATGGCATATCAAGCACCGGGCCACAGCTTCCAACTTTCCCAATTCTTCACCTCTTCTTTCCCAGTTAAGCTCAAGTTTTCATTTGGTAGAATTTGGGTAAGAGTTTGGTCAAAGATCTTCAGTAATTAGTAGGGGGTGATAAGCGCTGTGTGTGCTGTGTGCTGCAGCCTGCAAATTAAGCACACTTGACAGCGCAAGAACAGAGCATCATCAACTCTTTCTAGACGGAAATAAACATCAATTATGGTCTTCGAATGCAAAGATATTAGACAATCAACTCAGCTCGCGTCTCGTTTCATTGGGAATGAACAGAGTACAAGTATCAAGTGCAACAAGGCACGTAGCATATGCTTTCAATTAAAATACGTAGTAAATTCTTCATACCTATGACTACTGGAGGCATAATTCAAGAAAGCTTAGCTCAGTTTGATTGATTTAAAGTTTGAACTTCAAGTGGATGTGATGAATTTGAGGCTTCAGCAGTACATGGGTACATACCTTATTACTCAGCTCTAGTAGTTGGCATCAGATTGATGTAAATGTACGTTACATACTGTCAAGTTGAGTTAATTTTTGAAGGTTTATATGTTTGTAGGTTTTGTGTACCTTTTTCAAGAACTTTGGAATGCACCGCGACTCAAGCCTATATAACCTATAACCAAACCGAAGTATGGTGAAAGCCTGAAGGTAAAAGGTATGAGCTAGGTTTGATATAGATCTCGATTTGACTGTTTATTACATCGACTTTCCTAATATAGATCTAGGAATCGTTAGTGAATTGTTGTCGTTATCGAATAAAGCTCGTGGATCTTGATTCGTATGAACCAACTTAGCGTGTTTACACCACTAACGGTGGTGGCATCCGACCTAATTGTAAATCTAAAGGGCTAATGGCGAGAATTACTAAAGAGATTAGAGAATTGTTCGTGTAATTTTGGAATCTTCAAGTCAAATTAAACAAAAGAAATGATCTCTTTTTTTTTCCTTGTTATGTGAAAGATGACTACACGCGAAATGCGTGTCCTTCAGAACAGTGAAGTTCATGATCTACGAAACCTATATGCATGAAGCTCGAGCTCGAGAGATTTCGGTTGTTTAGGCCTTTACGATAGTGGTGAAGTACCTATGTCAAATGGAAGGAATAGTAGTTCACATCGGAAAGTATCAAGCACAGTAAGCATATAAATTGGTTAGGCTTATGCATACCCCTTTTCTTTGCTTGATATAGAAACTTTAGAATCAATATTAGCTATAATTAAGCTTCTTGAACTCTTTGATGATTTGATCTTGGAAGCTCAACAATCAATCCAATGATGATTTAACCAGCTTAGATCTTTCATAACCTCATGAAATTAATCTGCTTCTTATTTCAATTCACAATAATATTATTGATTGATTTACTATTTTCAAATGAATCAAGCAGCAAGATTCCCTTTTGTTGATACACACTTTTTAATCTTTGTTTAGTAGAAATGCGATGATTGACAATTGATGAGCCAAAATTTGTTGAGATTTCGAAAACTAGATCAATTAATCCTTGAATAACTAAAAATAGTAGCCCTGTGGATCTGTGATAAAACTTTCGAAATAGACTTCAGAAGGTGTATAAATACCAGTTGAATCCTCTTCATTTTCTTCAAACTTAAAGTCATTTTAATTATCAACAACTTATATTCCAAAAGTTTATCCAATTAATAATATCACAATGAAATTTTCAGTCTATTCAATCATCCCAGTTGCTTTATTAGCCACCACTGCTTTAGCTGCTCCAGCTCCAGTTGCTGCTCCATTACCATCAGTTTCATTACCAGCTGATGTTGGTTCATTAGCTTCAGGTGTTCCAACTAGTGTTACTTTACCAAGTGGTATTCCAAACTTACCAGGTGCCGTCTCAGGTGGTGTTTCAAACATCACTGGTACTTTAGAACAAATCACTTCATTATTAACTTCATCTGATTTACCAAGTGGTACTTTAGACAACGTCACTGATATTGTTAAAGGTTTAGTTGGTGGTATCATTGACACTTTAGGTACTGCTACCGGCTTAGAAGGTGTTTCAGATGCTTTAAACAACTTATTAAATGATACTTTTGGTAAATTAGATGATTTATTGAAAAACTCTGGTTTATCAGCAACTTTGAACAGAACTTTAGATGGTTTAGTTGCTTCATTAAAATCATTATTAACCAACTTATTATCAACCATCAACTCAGTCTTAGACAACTTATTACATTTGAACTTAATTGGCGTTGTTGTTGCTTTATTATCTGGTGTTTTATCCACTTTAGATCAATTCTTAGCTACCTTGAAAAACGGTGTTTTACCATCAAAATAGATTCTCTCTTCTGGTTTATTAGATGAATCTCAACAACTTTAATTAAATTTTTAATAATAATATCTTTTCAAGTTATTTTTTTTATCTTCAACAATGTGATGATTGATTGATTGTTTCTGATTAATCATTATTTTTTTTCAATTCTTCCATAAACAATTAGATAGACTAATGAATTAATTTTTCTATTACTTTAAAACCACTTGTAGAAGCCAATCATGTATAAAATGACAAACCAAAGCTTCTTGATGTAAAATTCCTGTAGCATCCTTCAAACAAACCAAAAAAAGTAGTTCTAACCCTCAAGTTATCAACAACATGTAATACCAACCAGCTAATAACAATTCAAAACCAATTATTGATTTCCAAACAACCCAATCCATTTATATATATATATGACTCCATCAGGATTAAGTTTTGACTCTTGTGACTTATCTCACAATAAATGAAGAACCATGTCAACCGTTACATTATGGTTTCGGTGATTGTAATCCCTGTATAGCTGTTGATCTTCATGAGTTTATATGCTAGATGGTTCATCCTTCTTCAGATTCAGATTCAATTCAAAAGACATTTAATGAAAACATGAGCTGAGCGTACCATAAAATGTTGATGATAGTGGTCCTATTTATATTCTGACTTGATGAATTGTGAATTGATTAGCTCCAGAGTTGGTTTATAATATAATGTAGTTGTTCAAAAATCCCTTTATGACATAATACATTCCATAGATATTTCAGTTCATCACATCATATTGAATAATCTATATGATAAGCAGCTTATTATAAGTAACAATCAACAGTTTCAACAACTAAATAATCTATATGGCTTAATGGTTTAATGGTGTAAGAAAAAAGCGAAGCTTTTCGAAAGCAGATAAAGGACTTTATATTGATTCTTGAGTTTTGCTGATTGATGTACAGATTTTATCAACACAGCGCACACCAGCTAAAGTTTCGGGTGGTGAATATCATTTCATATAGTGTACGACGTACTTATACAACATGGTAATACTGTGTACATGAAAGATCCTTCGACTTATAAAGCAACTTACTATGCTGCATTAACAATGTCAAATTTACGTCTCAAGAGGGCTTGTGTATAAGGCTTCGAGGTGCTGTTAAAGAGAACTTGGAGCTTGATGCTCTCCTATAAATTCCAATTCCACATACTGATACGTATCTTGCTTTGGCAATTGAGTAATTGTTTTACAATTCAAGCAAGTGCTATTAAAACAAGGGTTTTTAATAGCGATGATCTTTACATCTTTACTTTATACTTTGTACACGAGAGAGTCGAGAGTGCGTATACGTTCTCGAAACATTTAAAAGAATTATAATATCAACTCATAGGCACGCACAGAATAAGTCAAGTCGTTGAAATTTGTAAAACTTTAACGTCACTTTTTTCTCAAAAACCGGGGATTCATTATTCAATATGTGTTGATGTTCTCCAGACCCCAATTTGTCATTCAGTCATACAACTTAACAACTCGATGACACATATAAATAATCAGCAAAACACTCTCCTCAAGCTCCATTTCATATGATACCTCTTAATCAGTTGCAGAAATTGAACTTTACTTTCTTCATATACCTTATAATGCTTAACTCGTGTTTTTAAAGCTTAAGCTTAAAGTTTAAAGGGTACAACTTCTTGTATCTTGTTCTGCACTGTTTTTGGCACTAACGTACCAGCGCAGCAGGGATGCATCAGGGTACTTACTATTCTTCCAAATCCGTCATTTTTTGGAGTATAGATTGGAAAGCTGCATGAGATCGGCGTTATACGCTTTAAGCGAACTTTCAGATATAACCGCACAGAGATCAGAAATACTAGTGGTGAAAAATTAGAATCGAGACTGAACAAGTGTTTAGAGTCTTGATAGGTTATATTCTTACGTATAGTAGTCTCAACTTCCAATATCTACTCCATTATCAGATATGAAAATAGCCAACAAGTATTTGTCTTATTGTAGGTAGTTATCAATTGTTTATACATGATGTTACGGTAGTACGTTGTTGAACTACCAATACTTATGGTCAAATAAAATGCATGGCGTAAAATCCAAGACGTGTTGATCTGGAAAGAGTTTTAGCATTCATACTGATATAGTTGACTGTTTTACATCAATATTGATAATTGATAATCTTCGGTATCTCCACATTATTATATATGAAAACTAGCTTATAAACAAGAAGTTGAGCTTAAAGCTTCGGAAATTCAATCACTATCAACTTCCTTTGCTATGGAACTTGCTTAGTTTTACATCAAAAGGTACTACTAGTTTAATTTCTTATTTCAAAGTGACTCTTTGGAGCTTGGATTTATATATCTGGAATACCGAAAACTCGCATAAAACAATATAACATCTCTTCCTAATACTAAGTGGGTAATAATCTTTATGAAATTCGTAAAGAACACAAAATTGGATTAACCGAGTGTAATTTCAATATCCAACAAGAAAGATGATTTAAAATGTAACACGAAAGGCTTTGGTTTACCATAAAAGTTTAAATCTCGATTTCCAAGGCATTTGTTTCTTCTCTCTTGTTGTGTCAGTCATCAAGATCTTACCGCAATGCTTCAAAACAAGAAATTTAAAAAGTTGGATCAAGCAACATTCATAGAGTGTTAAATCACATTCTTTGAGTTGCACAGACGAAATAATCTCTGTAAAACCCCTTGTTTGATCTTTGAAATGATACATTTTTGGAGTTCTATTGCCCTTCTTGGGTTCACATTTACCCTTTAAAGCTAAAACTTTAATTTCTCAACTATTGAATTAGCTCATCGTAGGTGAAACTGTTGCAATTCCATCTTGGTATTTGATGTTCATTCACGATGTCTATTGTATAAATGATCTTAAACATATAAATTGACTTAAATTTCTCCTAAAATTGAAGGTTATTGGTCATCTTTTTTTTTTATCATCATATTAATTCAATTAATAGATATTACTTAGAAAAACAATTTAGAAAATGAAATTCTCAACCATCATTGCAACATCATTATTATCATTAGTAGCATTTGCTGCTCCAGCTCCAACTGCTGATGAACAACAAACTGCTTGGAATGCTATCTCAAACGTTACCACTGAATCAAACAACTTGAACTCTGTTTTACAAAGTGCTGATCTTCCAAAAGATCCAAAAGAAGCTTTAGCTCAAATCGTTAAAGATACTTTATCAAAAGGTTTAGGTGCTGTTCAAAATGCTAAATCCAAAGAAGAAGGTCAAGCAGCTTTAAGTTCAATCTTAGAAGATTCAAAATCTAAATTAAATGGTGTTAGCTCTCAAGCTTCAGAAGATGATCCAATTACCAGAACTTTGAAAGGTGTTGTTACCAGTTTAGTTTCATTATTAGAAAAAATCTTTGAAACTTTAAGTGACACTTTAGACAACATCTTACACTTGAACTTGATTGGTGCTATTGTTTCAGTCTTATCTGGTGTTTTAGCTGCAATTGACATCTTCTTATCAAACTTGAAAAACAATGTCTTACCAGCCAAATAGATCAATCATGGTTTAACTGTTGAACATTTAGAATTGCTATAGCTTGCTCCTTTATACCAAAAGACTTTTTTTATACCACCTTCAATTTGTTTAAGCTAGATGTGGAATAATGTTTCATTCCTTGTCTTAATTGTTTTATAACATTTTATAATATTTTAATATAATATCTTTGAAAGATAATTTTAGTGTCAATTGCAGTAGAACTCTGAGGACTGACTCCTTTATAATGAGTTACCTTTCGATACCAAGCTTAATTTATCATAACCATTGATCTGTAAAGGGTCTATCAATGTTTGGATTGAACGATTAGGATTTTCAATAACGGTTTCTCCTAATCAGGATTCAGGGAGAATGAAAGTATATATAGTTTCAAAGTGACACATAATTCTAGTCTAAGAGCACACGGTCTAAAGAGGACTCAACTGGGACTTGAATATTATCAGAACCTCATTTCCTTTTTCATAATTTGTATATAAAATCGATTTGATTTGAGAAAGCATCATCTCGTTTTCGGTTCAAGCTTTGAAAGTTAACCCTGGTAAATATTTGGCGATCCGCGATAAAGATACTTCTTCACGACCATCTTGATTCTGATCATGAGCTCTGCATGAACAGTAGAAATAATCTTCAAAGGAAAACAGTTAGCAAGACTGGAATGTGATTACTATTTGATGGATAGTATATTTGTAATCAAACGTACTAGCTGTATTGCTTGCTTGAACCTTCATGAAAACGTTGTCTGGAAGAATGCACTAACTGGCCTCGAACTTATAGAAACCAAGACCTGATAAATAAAATTGTAAAATCTGGATACCATCTAACATTCTTGAATAATAGGAAACTCTTCAAAATGATTTGACTCCTGTAAAAGAGTAAGAGTCAAGACTAGAGGCTTCAGTTTATATCCAATTATTTATACTACGTATAAATTATATTTGATCCTTAATGCGCATCCTAGAAGCATTATGTTTTTAGATTGAAGCATGCAGACGCGCCTGCACAGATTGCACCACAGACACGTAGAAAACTTTAAAGTTTTGAACCCATGCTCATCGAAATCACGAACAATTTCAACAAAATGAAGCCAGGTTTGAAGTAGATTTGCTGGCTCGTTTGAAAAATTGCTGATCAAAGGGTCTTTTAAACTCAAAATCTTGAAATTCAACAATATAATCCCTGTTGATATCCTTGTTGATCGAGATGAAAATAAACAATCGAATCTCGAAATCATTGAATATCATTAACGACGTTGAGATATGGATACTAAGGCTCTACCACTACTCTTTTGCTCGTTACTAGTATCATAAATAGATCAAGAACTCGCCTTTGACGCTAGAGTAACAATTAAAATAAGTACACAGCTTAAGCTTTCCCCTTACCTTCCTTAAAACGTCAACTAGTAATGCACATAGGCATCGAATTAAGCAGTCAAGTGCCGAAATGAGGACATTCTTGATTCATGTAAAGTTCAAACGTACAGGACATTGAGGTACGTAAGTACTTCAAAAGTGCATTAATGCTCAAGGCCATACGTCTTTGACTAATGTTTTAAGCTTCAAACAAGAGAATACACTCATATGAAGCGAAATCTATTCGTTAACGTGCATGGATATCCATCATGTTATTGAACTTTACCTATGGAAATTATAAATTTTAGTACCAATGATCATATATGTTCGGAAAATGATGATAGAAATCCCTGTTACCTAACAAGATCAACAATCCCAAAACGTGAATATCTATAAAGTCTGAACCCAAAATAGATTGATCCCAGTAGAGATAGAGATCTAAATCTTTGGAAAAATTTGTGTATAAATTGACATCAAAATCCTCTGAATTCAATCTCAATTTACTTTATTTTAATCCATCATCAATTCAATAGATCTCAAATCATCACTTTAATATAATCAAAAAATGAAATTCACTTCAATCATCGCTGCTTCTGTTTTCGCCTTAGGTGTTATTGCTGCTCCAGTTGCTAAAGCTAACGCTGTTCCATCTTTACCAGATTTAAATGCAATCCAAACTGGTTTCGCTAACATCACTGGTGAAGTTCAAGAATTAACCACTTTATTAACCACCACAGATGCTCCAAAAGATTCATTAACTGAAATCACCACTATTGTTCAAGAAACTTTAACTGGTTTATTAAGTACACTTGGTGGTTTAACCGGTTTAGACGGTGTCTCTGATGCTTTAAACACTTTATTAAATGATACTTTCAGTAAATTAGATGCTGTTTTAGAAAACTCAGGTTTAGATGCCACTTTAAACAGAACCTTAGATGCTTTAATTGGTTCAGTCAAAGCTTTATTAGGTAAATTATTTGAAACCATTAACAACGTCTTAGACAACTTATTACACTTGAACTTGATTGGTGCTTTAGTCTCATTATTATCAGGTTTATTTGCTGGTATTGATTTATTATTATCAAACTTGAAAAACGTTGGTTTACCATCTAAATAAGTTTTGAAGAATTGAAATTTTTATACCCTCAATTTTTTAATAATTCATTTAATATTTGATTTTTTCTAACACAGTTTTCTTGGATAATGTTGATCATGTCCTTGAATAACAAATAATAATAATAATAATTTTAATAATATATCATCAATATAATAAACAATCTTGATTTAAAATTTTGAAATTGTAGTTGAGCCAATAGAAGCAAACAATGGTTCTAAGTGTAGACATTGTTTGAAAATGACCAAAAAAAAGCATCAATAAGAAGTGATTTGCAATCAGATGAACTTTCAAATCGTCAAATTTATTGTAGATCAATTGTATCAGTGTCTAGTGTCTAGTGTCCAGTGAACTGTCCACATATAGTATAACTGTCACCTATCAAATTTGAAAGACGTTTTATTTTTTCGTTAAGACGAGGCGCGAATATTTTATGGTGATGTTGATTTTTTATACCTAATGGCCCCCCAGATTTATAATCCGTAAAAGATACAAATGTCACATACTAGAATTGGACATGAATTTGTCGTATCTCAGAAGTACGTATGGATAATTTGTATATATATATAGCTAATATATGCAACGTACGTCAAGTGTTATAATACACGAAAATTAAAAATTTTTATTAAAAAAACCACTTCTGATATCCTTATATATAGCGAATGAACAGCATGTGAATATTAAATTATAGAACTATAATAATATAGTGATTGGAAAACCCTCTATAATATAGTGATTGGAAAACCTTTTATAAATATGTATAATATAAAAACATTGAATCAGTAAATTTATTAATTGATAATATAAGTAAAACAATATGTAAAAAATTTGAAATTGAGAATTAAAACTAGATTATATCCAACGTAACATTTGATCTTAGAATAAGGCCAAATTAACCCCATTATTACCGTTTGCAACAGGTATACTATTACCATTCGCCATAACAGGAGGTGCTGAGTTTGAACCATTCAAATTTTGTTGTATTTGCTGTTGCTGTTGTTGAAATTGATGTTGCAATTTAGCATTGTTACCTAATGCTTGTAAATTTGTTGACGAATTATGTCCTAATGCTTGTAAATTTGTTGATGAATTATGTCCTAAAGCTTGTAAATTTGTTGATGAGTTATGTTGGGATCCTGGTACAGAATTTGGAACGGTATTTGGAACAGTATTTGGTAGAGTATTTGGTAATGAATTATGAGTCATATCCTGGGGATGAGGTTGTTGTTGGACTTGTTGATGATGTTGTTGGACTTGTTGTTGTGGTGGTGGTGGGATAAATCCATTTTGATTTTGTTGCTGCTGAGGAATTTGTTGTGGGATTGGTTGTTGTTGTTGTTGTTGTTGTTGTTGTTGTTGTTGTTGTTGTTGTTGGATTTGATGTGGTTGAGATTCAGGTTGAACTAAAGAGGGATTAATTGGTTGAATTGTGGGTATAATATCTGATGGTGCATTACCTCTTAATCTTGCCATATAATTTGTTTGATTAATTATAGTTAACAGATTTTCCACTGAAAGTAAAATGTCATTATTTAATGAGCCACCAGTAGCTCCAGCTTTATTATTATTGATTAAATATTGTCTAAGAGTCACTGATTGATCTTTTAATTGATCAATTGTAGCAGTTAGGTTATTATATTCGTTTAGATAAAAATTCAAATCAGTTTCCATTTTTGCAACCAGTTGCTTCTTTCTTTGTCTACATTTTGATGCAGCAACTCTATTTCTTTCCAAAAAATGTTTTCTCTTTTCAGCTTCAGTCATATGTTCAGTTTTAGCATCGTCGTCTTTATCATCATCCTCGTCGTCCTCATCATTTAATGTTGTTGTTGAGTCAAGAGAAGTATTCGAATTTTTGGTATCAGCTTTAGCCTTTTTACGTTTTGGTCCTGATTCATCTTCATTCTTTATTTTAGCAGCTTTGTTTGTTGATCCTTTCTTTCTACCTCTCTTTGAAGGTTGTGGTTGTGGTTGAGGCTGTTGTTCAACTTTTGATGCTTGTTCTTTTATTACTGGTGGATTTGGTGCTTGTTGTTGCTGAACAATTGGTGATTGATGCAATGAAGAGCGAGCTGAATTGATCTCATGATTTATATTCTGCACAGGCGCTTGTTGTGCTGCTACCCCATTAGCATTTCCACCATTTGATTGTGCATTTTCAGATGCAACAACAGCGGCTTGTTGTTGAGCCCTTTGATGAGCAGCTTGTTGATGTTGTTGATGGATATTATGTGTAACTTGTTGTTGAGTTTGATTTTGGTTAGAAGATACACCTAAAATGTGACCATGTTCACCTGTTGTAGAAGTACCTAATAATGAACTTAACCCAGGAGTGAAACCAGAAAATCCCAATGAGCCAGGTGTATTTAAACCAGGTAATGAGATCCCATTTAATGAATGAATACCAGGGCCGCCAGGTGTTAATCCAGTTCTAAGACCAGATTCATTTGGTGTTAACCCAGTTCTACCAAAGTTGTTTGCAGTCCAACTTGATTGAACATTTGGTGATAAAACTAAAGGAGGTAGTTTTCTTCCACCTGGTGTCAAAATTTGAGGTGAAGCAGCAGCAATATTAGGAGCGCCGCCATGTGATCCATGATGTTGATGGTGTGGGTGATGATTTTCCTTTGTGGCAAAACTTCTTTCAAAAGGATTTGGTTCTAAATCAAATGAAGTTTTAGAGGATGTTGTATTTGGAAATGGGGGATTTGAACCATCAGCAGAATCTTGAGGTAATGTGGTGGCCATAATGTACAGTTCTATAATATATATAACCGCGGGTACCTTTTACTTCTCTCTTGGAGCTCTAAAACTAACAAGTAACGAATGTAATGCTTTTGTTTTTGTTTTTTGTTGTTGATGTTGATGAAGCGCGCAGTAAAAATCAATCTTTGCTAAAAATGCTTATAATTTTTACAATAAACTGGTACCTAAAAATGAAATATTTGCCACAGCTGGATAAAAGACCTTCTCCTTAGACGAAGCGATTTATTGATTCTCTTTCTAATGACTTCCAACAATATACTGTGATTGTTTGGGTTGTTTTGGACTTGAGCTTTGACTAATCAACCGTTAAACTTTTGTGCTCTGGATGTGGAACGCTTCTCCTTTGTCTTGCGTCTCCTTGTTTAAATGCTAAAAGAACCGTTGATTTGAACACTGCACTGACAAGATAACACGAATGATAAGATGAAAAATACCACACAGATCAGATATGAACAATTTTAGTGTGTCGTGTTTTGTTAAACCAAAATGTTTTGAATATGTTTTGAACTAAAATTCTTAATAATTAAATTGTTGATGTAATTTCAAATAAAATTCATGTCCCATTACAAATTCTCACAGCGATTTTAAAAAATGTATTTGGAAATAGCAACTCTGAAAAAAGAAAATGGAAAAATTTTGGGAGAAAAGTTCGCGGGTATTGTTTGGCTTAGTAAGAAACATAGGGACTGCTTAGTCAGTTAAATATATGAAATATTTAAAGGATTATAGTGTATGATGTTTTGACAATATTTGAAGCTTAAGTATCTCATCTTAGATATAAAAGGATAGTCGTTTATATTAGAGCAGTGACGAAACAAGAGGCCATTATGCAGTTGATCTCTTCTGTCACAATACTACAAGACCATCCATGAGTTTATTTAACCTAACCATTTATTTATAAGCAAAAGACACTTTTTTCTATAATACAGAACTATGATCCACTTTGAACTTCGATATTGATCCATATAAACTTCTTTGGTTATTAAATTATCATCACACTATAAATAACGAAGCTTCAGATAACCAGAATGTGACATTAAATCAACACCGAAAAGATACTAAATGCTAAACCACAATTAAACAACAACACCAAAACCATTCACGAATCTATTAAATACAAAAAAGATGTGATTCATCTAGCTTCGAATTGAACCATTCTTCTTGTTCTTGATTTGTATAAAACACGATGACCACAGGCATTACATCTAATAGCATCATTTCTACCTAAAGATAATGAAGTTGCACAATTTGTACAAATATATTTAACTGTATTGGTTTTAGCTGATGAAAAACCTGAAGCGGCAGTACTTAATTGTGTTGGTGCGACGAAACCTTCTCTTGACATTTTTGAATTAAGTTATGATTTGATGTTTCAAATGGATATTATGAACTTCTAAAGTTAATTTCAAATAGGTTTGATTTATAAGTCTATCTAATTATTAGTTTACTTTTTTTTTTCTCCCGACTGAAAAAAAATTTAGGTGGATTATATAATCATTTCTGCCGGCTTCCACTGTTTGTTTTAGTTAAGAGATAGAAAACGTGACTTATTGTTGAGAGACACAAAACAATAGATCTCAAACTTTGAGCGCAAAACAACTACAAAATAAACGATAGAAGTAAAGTGGATCTAAAGTAAGAAATGCATCAATCTGAATTATACCAAGATGAGAAAAAACATACTGTTATATCACATTGTAAGATTCTAAATAATTCTCAAGGGTGTATGACTGTGATTATAATGGCAACATAATTATTCATATCGACAAATTTGAATTAATATTAGTTATGACTTATTAATAAATGCCATCGAGATATAGACTCATCTATATCTCATTTTTGGTTTATCACCTCTTGCTTCTCTTTTTTGTTGTCTTTTACTTTTACCTTGTTCACCTTGTTTGGTACCATTATTATCATATTCATCAACTTGTTGACCAGTTTTTGAACCACCACCAAATAATTGTCTACCAGCATTTATAACATTATAAATCTTATAAGCGGCAAATGATGGGACTGCTAAATATAACCACCAAACCAAAGTTGAATTGAAAACAATAGTCAAGAAATTTAAAATTATTGTATAATAAATGATATCAAATAAATATTCTGTTAAACCTTGTTCAGTTAAATCTTGACCTAGACGAATAATTTTACCTTGAGGATCAACTATCGGTCTACCGAATTTTTCAATAAGATATAATGAACCTAAAGCTGGTAATGCAGTTATGATAAACCATTTTGATGATTGTGGTCTTTTGAAATAAAAATTGAAAAAACTAAAGATGGCGTATGATGTCCATGTTATGGTATGTATTTCTTTTAAAATCTTGAAGTTTTGAGCAACTTGTTTCTTTGCGGATTGACCAGCCATTTTTTGAGTGGGTACCTTGTGGTGTTTCAAGAAGTTGGTATTTACTAGTTATTATCAGTTGTTGATCGTTGATCTTGAATATTGTGGGTTTTCTTCACAAGCATCAGACCAATTTTCGCGGGTTAAGACATCAAAGATAAACGAGCTCTCAGCTCATGAGCTTACACTTTCTATAAGATTCACACTTTAAAAGCAAAAATCCCAAACCACATATTATTGAAATGAATGTCCATCTGTTCAGTAATTTCATCGGACATAAGTATATATATATATATATATAAATTGTATAAGTTATATTTGTTCAACTGAATATTTTTGATTAATTCCCCAAATAATTAGAAGCAAAAGGCATAATACTTTCAAGTGATCTATTTAAGAGAGACATTGAATAAAGCCATATATGCAAAGAAGAGGTTTGAATGGGTGAGTAACTAGAAGATAACTATAACATTATAATGTAAAAAATGACAAACAAATAAAATCAACGATAATTAAATAGAAAAAAAAAAAATAGGATAAAAGATCAAGAAAACCAACCGACAATCAATCACAAGACTAACAATTTTTAAAAAACACCAGTAATATAACATGAAGAAATAACATTATAAACCTTGATGAATGAAGGAGTAGAATGATAAAACCGCCCGCCACTTTCAGACTTTTTCTCTATTTAACAACAACCATTTTGTTGGTTTTGACCAATTGATTGACCTCTAATATTGACACTGTTTTTGTTGTTACCAGCATTTGCATTTGAAGCATTACTTGAAACATTGGCTTTGATTTGTCTAGCCATGGTGAAGAAAGCTTGTTCAACATTTGTTGAGTTCAAAGCTGATGTTTCTAAGAATGGAATATCTAAAGCATCGGCAAATTCTTTTGCAACGTTATAATCAACGGATTTCTTATCAGTTAAATCAGATTTGTTACCAACTAATAATTTCATAACACCACCAGTAGCATATCTATCAATTTCTTGTAACCATTGTTTAACATTATTAAATGATTCTTGATCAGTAACGTCATAAACGATAATGATACCATGAGCACCTCTATAGTATGATGAAGTGATGGTTCTGAAACGCTCTTGACCAGCGGTATCCCAAATTTGTAATTTGATAGTTTTACCATCTAATTCAATGGTTCTAATTTTAAAATCAACACCAATTGTTGAGATGTAATCGGCGGTATAAGTATCATCAGCAAATCTTAATAATAAACATGATTTACCAACACCGGAGTCACCGATCAATAATAATTTGAATAAATAGTCGTATTCAGTGTTCATTTTGAATGAATGGATCTAATTTATGGATCTGAACTAGTTTTGTTTTATCTATACGCCCTTTTTGTTATGTTGTGTCTTTTTTGTGAAGTGAAATGGCAAAAATCCACCAGGAATTCGCGGTATCTATATCGGTAGGGTGATATTCGCGCATCACTTGTAGTCTTGTAGTAGTACTACTACTTACAACTAGTAGCTCAGTATAATGTGCCTATGTTGAAACTATCGGTGATGAAGGAGTATTTTGATGGAAAATTATTTTGAAGCAGCTTTCTAGTTACGGCAGCACCTGTAGTACTTATTACCAGTTCCATGTTTCAAAACCTCAAAATAATTATGGAGATATCGAGCTAATTAAGCTACGCACAACTTTTTGAAAATTATTCATTATAATTTACATCATCCACAAAATATGTTTGAAATAAGCTAATATACAAAAAAATAATTGCTAGTATTTATCTGCCAAAACAATAGCAACTAAGTTTCAAAGGGACTTTTAGGTAAGATAGAAAAATTATTAGGAAAGTCACCATGAAAATAATCCAATTTGAATATGATTTATAAATGATTATGAAACTGCAGCAAAATATTCTTCATTATGGCGAGTCTGCCAAAAGTCAATGCATATCAAAAGAATCTCTATCATAATATAGACAGCATATTGATAATCACCGTGTGTTCCGAGCTTTGAATAAGAAACTTCTCTTTTACACTGGGATTAAACCAATGAAGTGTGTAGCTTGAGCTTTCAATTGATGATAATAAGTACCAGCAACAGGTGGAATAGCACTTGAATTTAAATAAGCTTCGGCTTTGTATAAAGTACCATCAAATAATAATTTGGTATGTTTTGATTGTTTGTATCTTAATTTCATAAATGTAACATATTGTAATAAAACAATAATGTTTACCAAGGCTAAAGTGAAGTTTTTCAAAACATAATATAAAATGAATGGAGAGCCTGCTAATAATTGGATCAAGATAAATATTTCTAAATTAGCAGCAGCAACTAATGATTGTTCATTATAAGTTGTAATTAAAGTGTTTATAACTTTTGATAAATGGTCTTTCTTTGGAGATGTAATGAAAGGGGCAATTGGTAATATGAAATTTTTAAAATAATTTGAAGCATGAAACAATGAAAAAATGAAGAATGGATAAAGACCACCACTAATAATTTTTTGATTTGAAACCAAGTACCAGACAATTGCTAATGATAGATATTGTAAATTATCATTTGACTTGAAATTAAAAAAACTAATCTTAGATTTTGATGATTTTAAAATTTGAGATATCACAATAACATAAGTTGAAATGATTGACAATAAAGCCCAATTATAATATCTTTTATAGGAAGATTGTGAAAAAAATGAAAATAACACTGTTGAAAATGTTGTGAATAATGTGGAGACATGACCTAAGAACCAAAAGAATTGAGGTGTCTAAAAGTTGTTAGTATTGGAGAGCTATAAGCTTGACGTTAATCGGCAGACACATACGGTTAATCTTGGTTTCAATTGTTGCAAAAAAGATCCGATTGATACCACTGAATTATTGTTTGACATTTCTTTTTTAAATTGTATGTTTCTTTATCAGATTGATAATCCTTTTTTGAATTTGGAATTTATTTAATAATCAATATATGATAGATTTATGAGTATTATAAGTTCAGAATTGAAATTTTATCAATGAATTCTTCAGTATGTCTGAATTATGAGGAAAGTGATCTTATGAAGACAAAATGGCCACCTGTTCACGGAATTTTCCAAGACAGTTAATCATCAAAACTACAAACGAAAAATCGACAATTTGGAAGCGATATCAATGGATTACGTGATCAATGCGCCACGGCTTATGTAATGCATATAACAATGCTACGCAAACTTGTCTTTTTGTTCCTCTTTAGGAAGTCAACATCATTTGTTGTCGTAGATACGCGTCTCTTATACTTAAAACAGCAATACTGCCTGATTGGGATGTTTTCCTCGTGTTAACATTTTCAAAATCAAAACAAAAAAAAGTTGACTTGTAAAAAATCAAAATCAACATTTTTTGAAGGGGAATTTGAGCTTTTCACTAAACAGATCACCAAGAAACTCACAAACACACACAAAAATACAGCGCTAACCATGAGAGAAATTGTATGTGCTCCACCAATCCAATACAGCAGGAAGCTACCATGAATTTAACACGACTAGAGAAAGAAAAGAGCTCTAAAAGTCGTTAGATCTGATTCAAGTTCAAGATTGTTTCATATCGATTCTTTGGCGCGTATAATATCAACAATTCAACATTCCAACATCAACAACTCATGAAAGCTTCCCGCTACACAACAACAAAGAGGGACCAGGTATACTAACATAGCTAAAATAGATTCATTTATCAGCAGGTCAATGTGGTAACCAAATTGTAAGTTAATCATTCCAAAGTTTTAGGTTGGCTGTTTTCACGCGTCCATTGTTTACTATTTCATTGATTGAGAGGCAAATTTTAAAAATGACCGTCAGAACATCAAAAGCTACATGAGTATTGTACTAACATGAATTATTAGGGTGCTGCCTTTTGGGAAACTATCTGTGGTGAACACGGTTTAGATAAAAATGGTGAATTCCATGGTACTGAAGAAATCCAAAAATCAAAATTAAATGTTTATTTCAATGAAGCTGCATCAGGTAAATACGTTCCACGTTCTGTTAACGTTGATTTAGAACCAGGTACTATCGATGCCGTTAAAACTTCAAACATCGGTAACTTATTCAGACCAGATAACTTTGTCTATGGTCAATCTTCAGCTGGTAACGTTTGGGCTAAAGGTCATTACACTGAAGGTGCAGAATTAGTTGATTCAGTTTTAGATATCGTTAGAAGAGAAGCTGAAGGTTGTGATTCTTTACAAGGTTTCCAAATTACACATTCTTTAGGTGGTGGTACCGGTTCAGGTATGGGTACCCTTTTAATTAGTAAAATTAGAGAAGAATTCCCAGATAGAATGATGGCTACTTTTTCAGTTATGCCATCTCCAAAAGTTAGTGATACTGTTGTTGAACCTTATAATGCTACATTATCTGTCCATCAATTAGTTGAAAACTCTGATGAAACTTTCTGTATTGATAATGAAGCTTTATATGATATCTGTATGAACACTTTGAAAAAACCACAACCATCTTATGATGATTTAAACCATTTGGTCAGTTCAGTTATGTCAGGTGTTACTACTTCTTTACGTTACCCAGGTCAATTAAACTCAGATTTAAGAAAATTAGCTGTCAATTTAGTCCCATTCCCAAGATTACATTTCTTCATGGTTGGTTATGCTCCATTAACTTCATTAGGTGCTAAATCATTCAGATCATTAAGTGTTCCAGAATTAACCCAACAAATGTTCGACTCCAAGAACATGATGGCTGCTTCTGATCCAAGAAATGGTAGATACTTAACTGTTGCTGCATTCTTCAGAGGTAAGGTTTCAGTTAAAGAAGTTGAAGATGAAATGTACAAAGTCCAAACTAAAAACTCATCATACTTTGTTGAATGGATTCCAAACAACGTCCAAACCGCTATTTGTTCAGTTCCTCCACAAGATTTAGATATGTCAGCTACCTTCATTGGTAACTCTACTTCTATTCAAGAATTATTCAAGAGAGTTGGTGATCAATTCAGTGCTATGTTTAGAAAGAAAGCTTTCTTGCATTGGTATACCACTGAAGGTATGGATGAAATGGAATTCACTGAAGCTGAATCAAACATGAATGATTTAGTCAGTGAATACCAACAATATCAAGATGCTACTATTGATGATGAAGAAGAATTGGAATATGCTGAAGAACAATCATTAGATGAAGTTCTTGAATAAGCATAGACAAAATTTTGATAGTACAGTTTAATAATCCAATATTTTGTTTCCTTTTTTTTTGTCCCAAACAAACAAGAATTTGTTGAAGTCTTTTCAACTTTAGAGATACCCTTGTTTGTTTTTGTTTTTATGCCGGTTTGAAATTTATTTTATTTGGTAATGGGGGTTGATGATAATAATAATACCTTCATCAAGTTATTTAATTTGATGTTATTTAGTGTTTTAACTTTACTTTTTTTCTATATCTACGTATAAATTTGTTCTATTTAGTTTTGCAATTAGGTACTGAAAAGTTGAGCCTTTTGTCCTTTCTTAGTAGTTGTCGCTGGCTTCTATCTTAACTACGCTCATTAATACTACGAATCGTTAACGCTCGGTTCTATTTGACGATACTGTGGAGCGTCCATTTTAGTAAAGCGCGCGCTCGAAAAGAGTCAGAGGAGATAACGTTATTTCGAGACTGAGATAAACTTTTAAACAATTCTCATTCCTTTTCTGCTTTTAATCCTTCAAGCTACTACTTCATTATCGAACAATGGGCCAAGAACACTCGCCGTTGCTTAAACCTGATAGCAAGGCTTTAGATGATCCAACGTTAGCTTCGCCAGGTCTTGTTGCTAGAGATTTAGCACATCTTGATGAACAAATTGACCCACTCTCGACCACATCAACGCCGAATTATGGCTCATCATCTCAAGACATTGAAAGCCAAACACAATCAGGCTCACCAGAAGATACAGATGCTACTACCGAATTCACATCTGCGCAGTTAAGGGTTATCATTGGCTCACTTTATGTGGGTAGTTTTTTAGCTGCTTTAGATACTACTATTGTTACAACTCTATTATCAACAATTGCATCGAGTATAAACTCAGTTTCAAAAATGTCATGGATTGCTGCCTCTTATCTTTTAACATGCTCTGCTTTTCAACCATTATATGGTAAACTATCTGATATTTATGGTAGAAAACCATTATTGATTTTCTCAAATGTTACATTTGCCCTTGGTTGTTTAATTTCAGGGTTTTCACATGATTTGATTGGTTTGTCAGTTGGTAGAGCCATTACAGGTATCGGAGGTGGTGGACTAACGTCCCTTGGTACCATTGCAACGAGTGATTTGGTCCCATTGAAATCAAGAGGTGTATATCAAGGTCTTGGTAATATTGCTTTTGGTGTGGGTGCTGCGACCGGTGGTATTTATGGTGCCCTTTTTGAGAAATATTTGGGTTGGGAATATGCATTTTTTAGTCAAGTACCAATTGCTCTATTGAGTGGGTTTTTAATTTGGAAGTATTTGCAATTACCAAAAGGATCACTTGGGTTAGGTTTACCTGGATCAAGATTAGCCAAATTGAAACAAGTTGATTTTATTGGGGCAACATTCTTAGTTTCCTCGTTACTAAGTTTTATGGTTCTTGTGTCATTTTCAGGTAATGAAATTAAAGTTAATGGATCAGGTTTCTGGGGATTGATAATTTTCAGTTTAGGTACCTTATTAGCTTTCATTTATGTTGAATTATATGTTGCAACACAACCAATCATTCCGGTCCAATTATTCGCATATATAACCGTCTTGTCATCTGGATTGACAAATTGGTTCATGACAATGTCTGTCTTCACTTATTTGTTTTATATGCCTGTCTTCTGGTCTTCTGTCTTGGGTTTAACCCCAACAGAAATTGGGTTAAGAACAATTGCAAATTTTGTTGGTGTTTCATCAGGTTCTTTCCTTTCAGGTATTTATATGAAACGTACAGGTAGATATTACAAACTTGCAGTTATCACAGGCCTTTTCACCATCCTTGGTGTATATCAACTTTATAAGACCACCAAGACTACATCATTGTTTTTCCAATATATTGAGTTATTAATCCCAGGTGCTGGCTATGCAGCAAGTTTGACAGTCACATTAATCGCTTTAATTGCTGCGGTTCCACATGACCAACAAGCTTCAACAACTTCAATTCAATATGCATTCAGAGCAACAGGCTCTACTATTGGTGTTTCAGTTTCAAGTTTTATATTTCAAAAATATTTATTGAGCTCTTTGAATAAGAATCTATTAGCTAATATACCAGAAGGGTTTACTAAAGCTGATGTGTTAAAAATCATTGAAAAGTCATTCAACAGTTCAGAATATACTTGGAAGGCACCTGAAGTTTTTAGAAATGCTATTATCGATAGTTACGATTTAAGTACCCATAAAGCCTTACTATTCAGTGTTGTCACTTGTATTATTGCTGTCATTGTCAGTCTTTTCATGAAGGAACACCATTTACATAGTAGTATTCAAAGAAAATAAAATGGTTGTATATAGACTAATAGATAGAAATTAAAATACCTTATACCAGTAAAGTGGAAGCTTGAAGTAGTTTTCTTATCAAAAGCGAGTATACCCGTTGCCAGAGTAACAAACCAATTCTCGGGATATTTTTTTTCTTATTCAACTGCTATGAAAAATAGTACATCTATAGATCTTTGTGAGCTTAACTCCAAAATAATTACACAAGAACTCAATTTATCAAAAAGGATGTCAGAAGCTGCAAACAATCCACCTGCTCCAAAACCAAAAGCTTCTAAAAAGAAGAAAGGCTCCAAAAACCCAGTTGATATCACTCCAGAATACATCGCTGAACAAAGAGCAAAAAGAGAAGCTGCTAAGAAAGCTAAAAGAGATGAATTGATAGCCCAAGGTATTGATCCAGATCAAGTTGATACACCGGCAGACCTAAGATTCATTTCAAGGCCAATGCTCAAGATTCCTAGAGATGAAAATGATAAACCAAGAGGTAGAAAAGGTGTCAATGTTAAGATTATGACCTATAATGTTTTGGCGCAGGCATTAATTAGAAGAAAACTTTTCCCAACTAGTGGGAATGCCGTTAAATGGTTCAAAAGATCTCAAGTTCTATTATCTGAGTTTAAGCATTATAATTCTGATATATTGTTATTACAAGAAGTTGATCACGTTCAATATAACTCATTTTGGAAAAGTGAATTTGAAAAATTAGGTTATAATTCAGTTTTCAACAGATTTGGTGATAAGAATCATGGTGTTGCTATATTTTTCAGAGAAAATATGTTTGATGTCACAGATAAAATGTTCATTAATTATGATATTGAAAAATCTGGAGAAATTCAACCAAGAACTATAACAAGAAATGTTGGTTTAATATTAGCATTAAAATTTAAAGATCGTATCCTGGAACAATTTCCAGAAACTGATAAGAAGGGTATACTTGTTGGTACAACACATTTATTTTGGCATCCATTTGGGACATACGAGAGAACTAGACAAACATATCTAATATTGAAGAAATTCCAAGAATTCATTCATAGAGTTCAAGTATTACAACGAGGTTCATGGTTTAGATTTTTTGGTGGTGATTTTAACGCGCAACCTTATGATGCACCATATCTTTCAATAACTTCCAAACCAATAAAATATGATAATCGCTGTAAGAAGGTCATTGAATGTTCAACTTCATTCCAATATTCCAAACTACGTGAAGGTATTGAAGATGAAGATGAAGAAGGTGGTAATATAGAAAAGTTTGGCGAAAATCAACCTAAAGACCCCGTACCTGAGTCATTTACCCCAACTGAAGAACAAGCACAGATTGTCAGAGATATGGAGGATCTCCACAATTCATTGCCTATGAGAGCTATATCATTATATTCTGTTGGTTATAAACTTGTACATCCTGAAAATTCTGGTCTTGATAATGAAAAAGATGAACCTGAAATTTCCAATTGGGCTCATGCGTGGAGAGGTTTATTAGATTATATTTTTTACATTGCAGAGTGGGATTTGGAAAGTGATTCACAAGTTAAAAGTCTTGCTGAGTTTGAAGAATTATCACAAGTTAGAATTAATTCATTATTAAGAATGCCACCTGGTAAAGAAATGAGTAAACATGGTCAACCTCATGAAGGAGAATATCCAAGTGACCATTTATGTATGATTGCAGATTTAAAGTTACTACTATAGAATAATATTATATAGAACGAATACCAAAGATAGTGCTAATTTTTATTAATTTTCTATACGTGCAAAGTAAATTATGGGGGTCAAAATAAACTTAAAAGATAAAAACTTGATCATCCCCTTTTGATGGCATTTTAGCTTCTCTAAAACCTAATTCTTTTGTAATGTTAATCATTAAAGTTTTCAAACCTTGAGGACCACAAACTAAGATTCTTGAATCATCAGAAGGTTTTGGTAAATATTTTTCAACCATTTCTTTAGTAACATAACCAACTTCACCTTCCCAGTCTGCAGGTGGAGTCAACAAAGTATAATGAATATCAATATTTGGATATTTTTCATTCAATTCATCTAATTCTTCTTTCAATAAGATATCATTAGCAGTATTGTTTGCATAAATCAAATGTAATTTAGTGAAATCTTCTGGGGTGGTAGTGACTTCACTAATAACTTGTAAGATTGGTGTAATACCTGAACCACCAGCAACAATACCAATTTCCTTAGAGCTATTGGTAGCATAGTTAAATCTACCGACTGGACCTCTGAAATTAACTGTTTGGCCAGCTTTTAAAGTTGCAAAATGTTTGGAAACAGTACCGGTTGGATATGATTTGACCAAAATATCGAAAAATCCTTTATCAAATTTTGAAGAAATTGGGGTATAGTAACGAATATCATTTTCAACTTTTGCAGCAACATGATGACCAACAGGAATATCAAGGATTTCATCTGATCTACCTAAAGCGAAACGATAAATAGCGGTATCTTTTGAAATAAGTGTTTGTTCTAATAATTCTAAAGCTCTCCAGTTTTCAGGATGTAATGTACTTCTTCTATCTGTTTAAGAGTGTTAGTAAGCTGCGTAGTTCAAAAATCATTAGCTTTCACATACTATAAGCAGAGTAAACTCTGAAACCGATAACAAGAGCTAAGAATAACAAAACATGAGGTAAATATGATACATTCATGATTGAGATCCCAACAATCATCAACACGACTGGGATATAGATCCCATGAAGTGGCTCGTTCAACCATTGTGACTTATCATCAACTGTTTTACTCATCTTGATCCCTTCCTTCCTTTATTAATAACACGATATCAAGAAAGTATTCAAAACTTAGCACTCAAAATCAAAGTAATTTCAAACACTTTATATGTTTTTATTTTTTTGTATTATTCATCAACCGTTGAGAAAATAATTACCTTTCGGTCCAAAAGGCCGGCTGCGGATCGCGAATCGGATTTGTATAAGCATTTGGAAATTTTGGTATGTCTTTAACATACGTTTAGTTCTCACTTTCAAAATTACGCTTCTCATATTTGCTAAATCTATCATACTATTCGAGCACGCTATAAATACTATAAAAACAAAACTTTGATTGGATTTCCCTCAAAACAAAATGACCAAATAAGGAATGAACTGAAAAACGAAATATATTAAACTAGAAGATTCTGATGAGAATAATTATACTATTCATCAATTTCAACAATACCATTTCTAACAGCCCATTGTTTGGAACTTAGGAATACATTATCAGGATCTTGTTCACGTCTGATTCTTTGGAAAGTTTTCAAATCTTCCCCAAACCATTCTTCATTCTTCTTAGCAAACCCTCTCATTTCACCATCTTTATATGCTTTTTCTTCTTTAACTTCACCAGCAGCCCATTCAACTGAGCCTAAAAAGTTCTTAGCCCAATGAGGCTTACCACCCGCAGCACCCATGGTTTCTTCGAAAATCTTAAACCATTTACCATAAGGAGAATTTGTAAAAAATGGTCTATAAATTGTAGCATTAATGTATAAAGTTAATTGTGAATTAGTGACATCTGATAATGGAACATGATTTAGTTTCGGAGTATTATCCAAATATGGACGTAAATCGTTACCTTTAATAGGACCTGGTGAGATTTCTGAGCGATCTTTAATTTGGGCAACATTACCAACTTGATTTGTAGTTGTTGTATTTGAACAACGAACTTCAACTGGGACATGAACATAATAATCGTGGTTAATAGCAGCAGTGTTAATATAGTGTTCTAACGATCTTAAAATTTCAGGACCATTAGTTAATGGAGCAGCCCACTCATCAACATATTGAGAAAATAAACAATCCATATTCAAACCTTCAACAGATGGTTGAACCGCAATTGCACCATTACCTAAAGTTTCAACATTACCATATTGACGATTGAAGATGAATTTTTCCACATATGGAGTCAAAGGGGACCAAACATGAACTGCAAGCCATAATAAAGATTCATAAAATAATCTACCTAATTTAGTACCATACCAACTTTCTCTTGGTGCTGATAAAGGTTCTTCAGTTTTCTGACCTCTCCATAAAATACATTTTTTAGCATATGGGAACCACCAAATTCTAATAAATTCTGAACTTGTCCATATAGTATCCCATTTATTCAATAACGTTTCAAAATTAATAACTTCTTGAGATGATTTAATATTGAATGCTGGAATAGCTCTAATTGTAGCCTTAACAATGATACCAATTTTACCTAAACCTAACAAAGCAGCTTTGAAAACATCTTGATTTGTTTCTGAATCTAAATGAACGATTTCACCTTTACCATTAACTATAGTTAGATCAACAAATTGTTGTGAAACTAACCCATGATAAGGAGAAGCACCATGTGTACCTGTTGAAATAATACCAGCAACTGATTGTTCACTAATTGAACCTAAGTTTTGTAAAGCTAAACCTTGTTGAGCCAAATATTCATTCAATTGATAAATTCTAAGACCAGCTTCCACTGTAACATCTGTATATAAACCTGATTCATGTTTTTCCACTTTTAAAACTTTTTTATAATTATCTAAATTTACTAACCAATCATCAGTCATTGTCATATCACTTGGTGAATGTCCAGATCCAACTACCATAATTGTAGTTTTAGCCTTACGAGCTTCATTAACTAATTCCACAATTTCATCTAATGTACTTGGTTGGAAATATAAAGATGGTTTACAACTGAAGATCCCAGCCCAGTTTGAGAAGACAAAGTCTCTCTTACCCAATCCTAGAACACCAGTGGACATGATTCAATGCTATTACTTCCTTTTCTTATGACTAAAAGCGTAGAGAATGTGCACCTTCTTATTTTCTTGATAACCAATCTAGCTCAGAAAAGAATATACCAAAATTCCTTCCAAATCAAACTTCAGAGTAGCACTTCCAGTCTCTATCTATCAGATGATATACCACGATTCAGTAAAGAAGTAGTCAAACGGTGCTTTGTTCAATACAAATCTTCAACGGTCACAGTATTAATTTCATTGTTTTGGTGGAGCCATGATATTTTTTCTTCGCGACCAATCGAAATCGTTTGGTTACGGAAATCAAAACCTAAAAAGTGTAAAAAAGGAGACTATGGTGCTCTACATCAAAACTTAAGAGTAATATTGGGAATTCGGATGTTTCTTTTGGACGTAATATACTCTCCAGTGGCTAGTATTACGATACCACATTTTCTAGCTTAAATTTAAGGATAATACAACCATTTAAAGGACCCCCACGGTTATACAGAATTTTTTCGCGGGTCATCGATAGTGATACTGGATCAGACTAACAAAAATTCTGATATGAGAGATATAATCTGTGTTATGGCCAATTGATTCACAAAATGAAAATGGTCTATGTTATCGTCTATGTCGTAGTCATTGGTGTTGATTATACGGTTGGATTTGCATTTAAATTTCTGTAGTACTAGGTCCACGTAATTCCGAGGTTTATCAGACGCGTAAATTAGACTCTAGATAGACATAAACTTCACAAATTATCAACTCTTCAGCTTTCAAGTAAATCTCAATTTGATCTAATCCATATGGCGAACGTCAAAAGAAAACCAAATCGTGGTAAATCATGGAGAAATTTATACTTAGCGTTAAAACGTAAAAAAGAGGCGAAAGAGAAACCAAAAGAACCAATTTTCAAAACTGAAGATGATTTATTTAAAAGAATAGGATCTGGTTCTGATTATTCAACGGAGTATTTTTACCCATGGAGTACGGTCCACTCCAATTATATGCTAGATAAAGAAGACGAGCCACTACAAATGAGATCATTAAAAGATATATGTGCTATAGAAATCGCCCAAAATCATGATATGATTAATCAAGAGTTATTAAGATCTGGAAATTGGTCAATATGGAACCTTGTTTGGAAATATATTATAAGATGGAGAAGAGACAATTTCAAAACATTTCAAATATTTGCTGACGTATTCTCTGGTCAAAAAGGATTTGAATGTCATGACGAGTTAAGAAGTTATCCAGATTCAAGGTATAAAACTTTAGTATCAAGTACATTACCAAATAATAAATCTCATAGAATAGAAAGACTTTATGGAAATCTAAAGTTTAATGGATTCATAAGGACAATCAATCACTCAAGATTTGACAACCTAGTAGTGCTGGAAATTTCTAAAGGTTTGAATGATGATGATCTTCTACAATTAACAAATTTATCAAATTTAACAGCATTGAAAATCGTCCAACAAGATCATCAATTACCTGATACAATAATAAACAGTTGGTGTTCTGCTCTCAAGTCATCAAAATGGACTAAGCTCCAGGTGCTGAGTATACCTGAGATTTCACAAGCTTCAATGATCAAATTACAAAAACACGCTTATGATACTCGTTTATTATATATCGAAGTTGCAACTATATCATCAAGATTCCAACCACAAAGGGATTGGCCTGATGTTGATACGGTACATTGGGAAGTTTTGAAAGATAGAGCTATAACTGAACGCTCGTTAGGTATGAAATTTCAAGTCTTGGTTCAAAAATACAAGATTGATCAAAGATCTATATTACCTGATCAGAAAACTATATTATTAGATTTCAATATAGTGGATAGTGAATTTGAGAGTCTTGATGGGATATCAACACAGAGGGACTTTGATGAATTATGGAATCTGGGTGAAGTTCAAGGAAATTATACGGGGTTTATATTGAAAGGAATACCCATAAAACCAAAAATTGAGAAAAGACAAATTGAACCGAAGGCCAAGTCTGTTAAGAAATTCAAGGGTAATCCGAAGAAAACTTCTCTTAAATCGTTTTTTGATCTATGAGATATATATGTAACGTTACTACAATTTGAAATGTTTAGTTAAATTTCATTAATAAAATAATAAAGTAAGAAGATAATACTATACTTAACCACCGACCGATAATAACAGGAATAACAATTATTTATAAAAAAAATAGTAATAAGATTAAGGTAAAAGACAAGTGCAATTCAATAAAAATCTAAAATAATTAGATGAAGGTGTTGTGTTTCATTCTTTTGATTCGGGTATCATTAAAAAGTTTTTGAGGGTGTTTCTTCCAGGAAAAACTCTATTGAATCTAATATTCTTCTTCACCTTCTTGTTCAACTTGGTCATAACCAATTTCTTCATAATCTCTTTCTAATGCAGCTAAATCTTCTCTAGCTTCAGTGAATTCACCTTCTTCCATACCTTCACCAACATACCAGTGGACGAAAGCACGTTTGGAATACATAAGATCGAATTTTCTATCAATTCTTCTCCAAGCTTCAGCAATAGCAGTAGTATTTGATAACATACAAACAGCTCTTGAAACAGAAGCCAAATCTGAGGTTGGTGGAGCAGTAGGTGGTTGGTAACAAATACCAATTTTGAAACCGGTTGGAATCCAATCAACCAATTGAACGGTTTTCTTGGTTTTAACTTGAGCGACAGCATTTTGAACATCTCTTGTAACAACGTCACCTCTGTATAATAAACAAGTAGCCATATATTTACCAACTCTTGGGTCACATTTAACCATTTGGTTACCTGGTTCAAAACAAGAATTAGTAATTTCTGAAACAGAGTTAGATTCGTGGGATGATCTTGAGTTTGAAACAACTGGAGCATAACCAACTAATGGGAAATGAATTCTTGGGTATGGGACTAAATTGGTTTGGAATTCGTTTAAATCAACGTTTAATGAACCATCAAAACGTAATGAAGCGGTAACAGATGAGACAACTTGAGCAATCATGTTGTTTAAGTTGGCAAAGTTTGGTCTTTGGATATCTAAGTTTCTTCTGCAAATATCATAAGTGGCTTCATTATCAATCATGAAAGTACAGTCAGCATGTTCTAAAGTTGTATGTGTGGTTAAAACAGTGTTGTATGGTTCAACAACTGATGTTGAGTTTTGTGGAGCTGGGTAAACAGCAAATTCTAACTTAGCTTTTTTACCATATTCTAAACTTAATTGTTCTAATAATAAAGCACCGAAACCTGAACCAGTACCACCACCTAAGGAGTGGGTGAATAAGAAACCTTGTAAACCATCACATTGATCTGACATTCTTCTGATTCTATCGATAACATCATCTAATAAATCTCTACCAACAGTGTAATGACCTCTAGCATAGTTGTTAGCAGCATCTTCTTTACCAGAAATTAATTGTTCTGGGTGGAATAATTCTCTATGGGAACCAGTTCTAACTTCATCAATAACATTTGGTTCTAAATCAACATATAAAGCTCTTGGAACGTATTTGCCTGAACCAGTTTCACTGAAGAAAGTTGAGAAACCTTCTTCACCACCTTTTGGTCTGTTTAAACCTTCTTGTAAATAACCATCAGGTTGGATACCATGTTCTAAGGAATACAATTCCCAACAGGCATTACCGATTTGACAACCAGCTTGACCGACTAAAGTAAGAGAAATGTTAGTATTCAAAGTAAATTGCAAGTTAACGAGCTCTACCAAGTCATATTATAGTTCATTCATTGTGATATTGAAGCTCAGATCATCAATCAACGCGTTTTCAATAACTTGGTTTCATATAAATCTCAGATCTGACACGCCAACATTCTCACAAAAAACCGACAATAGTCTCAGCGGTAAAGCTCAATCTCTAGTCAAATAACGTACCATTAACACTGATAACTTCTCTCATGATGCTTGTTGTGTATAAATTCTGTTGGATCTAATCCTCTCAAGATTCAAATGAAGTTTAGGAGGCAAAAAGAAAGAATTCGCTTTTTTTTTGTTATTTGAATGTAAACAAACCACCAAGTTTTTTTCATTGGGAATTTGGTTTTTTTTGACTGATCAGAAAAATCAGCTTTTTTGTTTACGATTTCCCAATCCGGTAACTTTTGATCATGTGATCCAATTTGAAACCGTCGTCACGACAACCTCGCGTATTTCGCGTGTATTATGTAATACTAATGCTATTGCTGAGTAATCTGTATATGATTTTAATTATTATTGTGGTAAATATTATATGTTACATGATATTTTTAGTATCATATCACTTAATAGCCTGTTAGAAGCCTATAAGTTCTGTAGGTTGTACTTATCTACGTACTGTATACATACAGTATTCTTCTATATCATATTTTATCCATTATTCATTATATATTTGTGACAAGAGTGAATAGATTATATCTATCAACCTTGTATGAGATTTATGACGATAGGTAATTCGTATTTGTCTTGTGATGATATTTATGAAAACATTAACTGATGATGCACATTGTCCAATTTGATAAACGTCTATTAGGTTTGAATTGTTGAATTTACTGGGTTCCATATCTTTGGAAATGTCTTGGAAACAATGAAACTCCAATAACAATATTTCAGCTTTGAAATGTCCTTTAAAATACTCCCACTTATATCCTGATGCTTTCGATATTGGAAATATTATTTTCTTTTTAATTTCTATTCTTACTTGATTTATGACTTGCATATAGTCTTCTCTTGTGGGGACATATGTGGGTATTGGTAAAGGTATTGAATCTTCATTTGATCCCTGTACTTTTAAAGCTTCCTCCTCGTCTCTCATTTCCTCTGTATTTTCATCTGATTCGATTTTTTGTTCTTCTTTGATTTGTGTTTTGGTTGAGGCCTTTTGTTGTTTACTATTTTGTATTTCCTTTTCATTATTTGAACTTTGTTTATTCTCATCCACATTATTACCATTTGATTCACCATTTCCCTGGGTTCGTAGATTACCTTTCGCCAGTTTATTCAAATTACCAAGATCATAATTCAAAAAATGAGCAAACCCGTCACATTGAATATCTTGATATGTCTCTTTTGCTGTTCTTAGTTGGTGAAGAAATCCTTCAAATGATGTTACTGATTTTGTGAACGGCTTTTGTGAGTTCCCATCATTATTTGTAGTCATATTTCTATCATAACAGACTCCCCTATTTTTGAATATCAAAGACGTTTATAATTAAATATCTTATTAAATACCAGTTTTCTCGTAATTTTCAACAAATTAAACTTTCGTTTGATTAACTTTGATTCGAAATTTTTTCAAAAATGTCACCGATATGAAAATAAATTCGCGGAATATAAACAAGATAGTCAAATTTCTGATACAAAATATTATGATTAAAATTCATTATTCATTCATTAAATACTCAAAATAACTCTAGCTATTAAAAATCTAATATCAAGCATTACTACACGACACTTGACTCACCTCTTTTTCTCCAATAATCACTTACCGCATGGTATTCAGCTTCCCATCTTCTAATTGCATTTAACACCGTTTTTGGTGGTTGAAGTAATGTCTTGTGACCTTTTGATTTCAAAGATTCAATAATATCATTCCCAATATGCTCTTCATGCTCTATATAATTTGGTAACAATTGATGGTGTAAACGTGGATATGAAACTGTCTCTAAAATTGGCATGCTATAACTATAGATTCTAACAATGGCTTGTAAAACTGTCGTTATGATGCGACTTCCACCAGCTGCTCCAATAACCAAATCAGGCTTACCCAATTCATTCACAACAATTGTTGGTACTGTTGCTGATAATGGTCTTTTACCAGGTCTAACAAAGTTATAGATGGATGGTTGAACTCCAAACGCGTTTGGTATACCAGGTACAGAAAAATCATCCATTTGATTATTCAAAATTATACCAGTCACAGGATCACGGACTAAACTTCCAAATAACAAGTTAACTGTAGATGTAAAAGAAACAGCATTATGATGCTGATCAACAATTGAGATATGTGTCGTTCCATGGGGATCATTAATTTCAAAAGCTGGATTATAGTCTGCCCAACTATGTAATGTTTGATTTTCTTTAATTTGTTGAACTGCCTTTTCTGCCCATTCCTTACTTATAACTTCTTTAACTTTACCATTGAAATCACCTAATCTTGATCTAGCACTTGCAACCCATTTGAAAGTCTCGATTAATCTATGTGTAGAAACTGAATTCATATCACCTCCCTGATGGTACCCAAAATGATTCAAAATGTTTAAGCCTGAAATCAAAGCAGGACCTGAACATGAGCCTGCGCATGTATAAACATCGTTTCCCAAATATTCTGTTTTCAAAGCAGGTTTTACTTCAACATTATAATCCAAGAAGTCCTGTTTTGTAAAAATTCCACCTTTATCATTTGCAGCTTTGATTAAATTACTTGCAATAGGACCTTCAGGATCATAAAATATAGCATCACTACCATTTTCAGCAATCAATCTAAACGTATTAGCTAACTCAGGAATCCGTACATGATCACCATATTGAACTATATCATCAGATGAATCTTCTTTAAAGACAAAAGGCCAATATGAAGAATGATCTCTAAAATAGTCCTGGTCTGCTGCGATTGCTGCTGCTAAAACTGTTGATACATTCCATCCCTCATCTGCCAATTTAATTACAGGATCAATGACTTCTTTCCATGTTATTTTCCCAGATCCTTGTGTGCTGAATAAAGTGTATAAACCTTTTATTTCCCCTGGTATACCTGCAGCCAAGCCTCCGACTTTTGATAGGTATTCTTTACCTTTAAAAATTTCCTTATATGCACCTAATGGAGCTTTTTCTCTTGCATCTATAGAGATTGGATCTTCTTCATATCTTTTGGAAACAATATAACCGCCACCACCAATACCTGAATTGAATGAATTGATTAACCCAATACATAGACCAACTGTGACTGCAGCATCTGCAGCATAACCACCTTTTTTCAAGATTTCAACACCTAATTCTGAACAAATTGGTAAATCTGATGATACACCACCATACATGGATTTATGTAAATGCTTTGGATCTGGATCAAGATCATTATAACGCTTGAGTGGATTAAGATCGATTCCTCTACCCGGTGCAGATCTATGTAATTTATAAATATTTAATTGTTCATTTGAGAAAATCTGTTGATAACTGGTTAAAATCATATGAAGAAGCAGTAGCGCCCCTATAGTAATTAGTGAACTTTTAAAAATTTTGTTGGTTCTTTGGCGTCTTTTCACTCTATGATTTGTGGTGAAACCTTTCTCATCAACCACCGTATATCCGTCAAAAGACATCATTTATTGTGATTTCACAATATGTTTAGTGAAATAGCAAGTTGTAGCAAAATGTGTTAGCAAGAATAAAACAATAAGATCCAAGGCAAAAACGCTTCTTTATATGATCTCTCTTTGATCCCTGATTTAAGTTTTTGTTTTTGATCTAAACTGTGGTGAAGATTACAAAGTGGCGCTTTTTTGTTTATCTTATCTTTGTCGATCATTACATAAGCGAAATCTAAATCTATACGTAAAACTTTAAAAAAATATTATCGTTAAATTCTTTTCATATATACAAATTTTTATAACTTCTTTAACCTATTAACAGAATATAGAGTTTGGTTTATTTTAGGTTATCATCAAGTTCTAAATCAAAGCACAGCTTAGATTTATTCAATGATACGAGTAATTAAACCAGTACCAACGGTTCTACCACCTTCTCTAATGTTGAAACGTTGACCAGCTTCTAAAGCAGTTGGGTGAACTAATTCACATTCCATTTCAATGTTGTCACCTGGTAAGACTTGTTGAGAAACATCGGCACCTTCTGGGAAGTTTAAGGTAACAGTAACATCACCAGTTCTGATGAATAATTGAGGTCTGTAGTTTTGACCGAAACCTGAATGACGACCACCTTCTTCTTTAGTCAAGATATATAATGAAGCTAAGAATTTTTTGTGAGCAGAAACGGTACCAGCTTTAGCGATAACCATACCTCTTTTAATTTCATCTCTTTTAATACCACGTAATAAGATACCACAGTTATCACCAGCCATAGCTTGATCTAATTCTTTTTTGAACATTTCAATACCAGTAACAGTAGTTTTTAATGGAGTTTTGTTAAGACCAACAATTTCAACTTCATCACCTTTCTTCAAGTTACCACGTTCAACACGACCAGTAGTAACAGTACCTCTACCTGAAATTGAGAAAACATCTTCAATACCCATTAAGAATGGTTTTTCTAAATCTCTTTGTGGAGTTGGGATATATTCATCAACAGCAGCTAATAATTTATCAATAGCTTTGTTACCAATTTCTTCTTCACGACCTTCTAAAGCACATAAAGCAGAACCCATAATAACTGGAACATTATCACCATCAAAACCATAAGTAGATAATAATTCTCTCATTTCCATTTCAACTAATTCTAACATTTCTGGATCATCAATAGTATCAACTTTGTTGACAAAAACAACTAAATGTTGAACACCAACTTGTCTAGCTAATAATAAATGTTCTCTGGTTTGAGGCATTTGACCATCAGAAGCAGCAACAACAATAATAGCACCATCCATTTGAGCAGCACCAGTAATCATATTCTTAATATAATCAGCGTGACCAGGACTGTATAAAAGATTAGTATATATGTTTCTATCATTTTGTCTTTAAATTAAAATTATACTTACCAGTCAACATGGGAATAATGTCTATTTTCAGTTTCGTATTCAACATGAGCAGTAGAAATAGTAATACCTCTAGCTCTTTCTTCTGGAGCTCTATCAATTGAGGCATAGTCTAAGAAGTTAGCACCACCACTTTCGGCTAAACGTTTAGTAATGGCAGCAGTTAAAGTAGTCTTACCATGATCAACATGACCAATGGTACCAACGTTTAAATGTGGTTTTGAACGGTTGAAAGTGGCAGCTGAACGAGTTAATGATGGAACAGCACGTAAGCTCAAACGAGCATTACTGATCAATGTTCTGGAAAACATATTTGTATAACTAATTAGACAAACTGATAACTTGTAATATAAGTGTAACTTTCTAGCCTTTGATTAGATGTTGATTTGTTGAAAATTTTCCAGAGTTTCGAGATTCGAGAAAATGTGCGCATAATAATTTTCGGGTAATAACATTTAAAAGCTAGTAGTAGGTAGTGCGCCACTAATAAGCGTAAAATAGCACATAATCAGATACAATAAATGGAAAATGAGCTATCAATGTGTTTTAGTGCTTTACTTTTGTATCATATTCGCTTTTAAGTGAACAACTTGTGTGTGGTTCGTAATTTTGTGAGATTGATTATGTCTCTTCTGGCCCTACCAATGGGATTTGATTTAAATACACATCTAAATTAAATACTTTTATGATTTCAAATGGTATTCTTTAGCTGAAAAAAGCCATCGAACGTGGTTCAAAATGTCAAGAAATGAAGAAGAATGTACAATTTACGTTAAATGTATATCCGGTATTGATGATTTTGCCTTAAACTTCCCCTTGGATACGCCTGTTTCTCAAGTTCAACAAGAGATACGACAAAATTTACCAGATTCAATTGTTTCAAGAGTTAGTATATCAAGTACTGGAGGTATAAATATAAATCCTTATAAAACTGTTGGTGATTTATATAATGGATTGATAAAATCTGAATCTGGTTCAGATTTGCAAAAATTTTTGAACTTGAAGATTAATATATGTTTATGTGGTGGTAAAGGTGGATTTGGCCAAATGTTAAAAGTTAAAGCACATAGTATGAACAAAAAGAATAAACGACGCTTAAAATCAAATTCTAAGGATCTTTATAAAACTTTAGATGGTAGAAGAGTTAAAACAATCAAGAAAATCAAACAATTGGATGAATATATGAATACATTAGATGAAGAATCCAAAACTAGAATTTCTGAAAAAAAGGCAAAATTACAAAAAATTCTTGATATTGATTTGAATAAAAATGTTAAATATGAAGATACAAAATTTTTAGAAGATATTGAAACCCAGTTAGAAGAAATTAGAGAATCTGTAAAATTGGATGATGATTTAGATTTAATTTCTGAGAGTGAAACAGATGAAAGTGATGATGAAAGTGATGAAAGTGATAATGAGAGTGATAATGGATCTGTTGGTCAAGGCTCTTCAAGCTCATCAAAGTCTACTGTATCTAATAGAAGGGCTAAGATGACGAATTTTTTTGATGATGATATATCAGAATCTGAAACTGATAATAAATCGAAAGGTAAGGAAGTGGATGAGTAAATGGGAGAAAAATGATTTCATTTATTAATCAGTTCAAAGTTTGGGATATGTTACAAAATATTAGATAAACCCACTGTCCAATGATCATATATCTAGGAAAGAATTACATTCATTTACTTATACTTTGAAATTTCTTATTGTTCGAGTTCAACTTATGAAGTTTTTTTACGTTTGTTAGAAAATAAGAGACGATTGATTATGTATTAACTATCTTCTTTATTCTGTGAAGATTCTTCAATTGATTGTTCTGATGACTGTTCTGTTTGCTCCACTTGAGGTTTACCACTTTTCATTGTTAAAAATACAAAAAAAGCTAATCCACAAGCAGCATAAACTAAATAATAATTTTTTTTAAACTTATCATGTAGTTCAATTCTATTTTCCCATGATTTATCACTATGAATATCACCATTAATAGTTGCAATAATTGTGTTACCAAAACAAATTCCAATCTGGCCTGCAGTCTGAAGTATCCCAGAGACAACACCTTGTAAATGTAATGGAGTATCTAAGGAATAATCATTCCATAAAACTTGAAAATATAAATTAATACCATAACCAAAAAAATATTGTCCAAAACATTCATATTTCCAATAACTATTTTTTTCTTGGAAATTTAATCTAGAAATCCAAACAGTCATTGTTATAGTTATTATTGCAGAACTTGTATAAACCAATCTCACTCCAGCTTTTTTAGCTATATGATGTCTATAGATTGTAGCACCAGTTAATAGTCCAAGTGAAATTGGTAAAGCTTTTAGTCCACAAATTATTGGGGAATCTAGTGTAACATATTGATTATATTGAATGTTTGTAGTTGTGACACTGATTAAACACATATAATAAAAAAAACTGGAGATTACATATTGTGGGAAATTTGGAACTCTTGCAACTTCACCAGGAAACAATAATTCTAGATTATATCTCCAATCTTTCTTTTTTGAGTTTATGTTCACATCTAATGATTCTTCATCATCTTTATTTTCTAAAGTTGTTGATTCTCTATCAACTTTATTCTTAAAATTTTGAATATAAACCATTTCAAATAATATAACACCAATTGTGGTTAATCCACCAATAATTAAAGGAACATAAGAAACAGGATCTTTCCATGATTCACCACCCTCAGTTAGTCCTAAGATCATTAAAATCAATCCAGTAACAAGTAGCACAGATCCACCAAAATCTAAGTTTTTAATTTTCAATTGTTCATGTTCTTTAGTTGGAGTTATTGGGATTGCATAGAAAAACAAAAAAATGGATGAAGTAAACCCCAAAGCAAAAGTAAAATAGTATAGCCCTTTATATCCAATATTAGTTTCTGAGAAAGCACCACCCAATATTAACCCAACACCTAAGCTTGCAGTGACAGCCATTAATAAAAAACTAATAGCTTTTGACAAAGCTTTACCTTGGAAATAATTTCCCGTAATAGAAAAAGCAGCGGGTATTAATGTTGAAGCAAATACACCTTGTAAAGCTCTGAATACAATTAAAACAATTATTTGATCATCAATAACTGCTGTGATTAACGCCATAATACTTTGACCAAATAATCCATAGATGAAAATATTATGTGCTCCAAGAACATCTGATAATTTACCTGATATGATAATACAAGCACCCAATGTTAGGGCATAAGCTGCAAGGATCCATGAGGTTGTAGTTGTTGTTGATTGGAAATGATTTGTTATTGAAAACACTGAAGTCATTGTACCTGAAACGTTCATATTGTCTAATGCAGTATTCAATAGAACTATAGCATAAACTAACTGTTTATTTCTCTTGTTCATAGGTACTAAGGATTTAGCCTTATTGAATGATTTAATCATTGTGATTATTTATATGAATATGCTTCTGAACTTCTTTGTCCAGGTATTCTCAAAAACTTCATAGCTGATAACACTTTCAACGTTATGGATATAATGTCATCTTCATATATAAATTTTCAGCGTTATGACCCAGCTCAATCTTTATACAAAGGTACATGAAGCATTAGTAATGATCCATGGAGCATCCAATTACTATATACGCTAGATCATTGAGTCTTGTTATTATACAGATAGTAAACTCGCTGTATCCATTCGATTATTATGGTAAACGATGTATTTTCGAGCAAGTTCATTACAAATCAAATGGAACTCCAACGGAACTCCGAATTCCATAGGACCATTGGAAAGCGCTTATTTAGTATACAGTATAGCAATATTATTAGTAGTATTCAGTATTCACTTCAAGCATTGAAGTGTTGCACTCACGGTTGTATAGCGCTTAATCACTATCAGGTTTTTCAAGTGTGGTACCTAGGCGAAGGGCTTGTATACTGTATCCATTTGATTCCTGGTTATCAATTAACATTAAATTCAATTGACAGCTAGTTCAAAATTTTGATCTATTCAATTTTATAGCTTATACATCTAGCTTCCAATTACAATAGCTAAAATATAAAAAATGAATATGTGTTTCTACTAGTATATTGTTTAAACTCATTTAACGACAATTTATATATTACGGATTTTAGCGGAATGTGTAATTTTGTGATTATGTAATACATATGTGACATAATTATAATATAATATTTAATACTTGATATCTAATGAAATATTTACTTCAGTGTACTGATTTTTTATGCTATATATAGTCTTTGAGACTTGAATACTCTAACAAAGCGTTTATTCTTTTGTTTTAAAAGGTTTGAAATTTTAGAAATTTTTGCATTTGCTCATTTAAAAGTAAAAATAAAATTTATGAGGTCAAAAATTGATTTGAGATTAGAATTTAGTATTTTTTTTTCAAACATATAACATATAATTGATTACAGGTCTAATTTTCAGAGCATCTACGACTATATGGTTAAATAAATCAAGACATATTTAGCTTTTTTTGTCGAAAATATAACTGATATAAAATATGCTGCAATTTATGTGCTTGAATAATATATTACATAATACACTCCGATAACAGCTTCAAGTTTCAACTATATAATTATATCATGAATAAACTACAATTTATTGTCAGTTAATACTTTTGCATAGAGTAGGCACTGTGAATCAATATATTACAAGTCGAGAACATATGTTCTACCTGATATTGATGAAGAGCAAAATTTCTATATAGATAATTGATTTTGATACAGTTAATAAACCAAGCAATGAAGTTTAATTATAAGCTGATTAATGTGAGTCAACTGACCATGAGTATATGGATATCTTACTTGTTAAAAGTCATTTTAGTGCGTTAATGCTCGATATAATATTATAATAGACATTATTTCACACCACGGACGTAGCCTATAATTTACAATAACCTACAGCCTACAGCCCTACTTTTACTCTATTACCTGATCTCTGTACGTCTCTGTATTCCTGCTCCTATAACAGGCGGTCGCTAGTAACTAGTATCCAACACCGCCAGTAGCCGATGATTGATAATGAAGTTTGTATCCATGTAAGAAGTGAATGAATCATGACACTATAAAAGTTCTGGTTTGATTTTTGTTTGAAAATTGAACTGATTTTCAGACATAGGCAAAGGAGCGGAACAGGGAAACAAAAGAAGGGTTTTTAAAAACAAAGGTTTGCAATGAATTAAGCCGCTAACAAACAACACGCTGTGAACCTTCAATATCCATATCAAGAACCATGAGGGATATGCTTGCACTCTATAGAATACCATCAGTGAGCTATAAACATATGTTATGCTTCTTGTAAAGCTAGTTCAAGGATTATAAATATGATGTTTTGCTCAAACGTGATTCTTGGTCAACTTCTAAACATTCATTTTATGTGCCTGAAGAATAGCCCATAAAATCATGAATTTAGGTGGTAGCTGGTAAAAAGCTCTACGTTTAAAGGTATTACTATGCCCGAGTGACTTAGGTTTACATTGCATCAAAAATGTCTTCCACACTTCATTGGACTTTCTAGAATTTACTCTCAAATATGCTTGCAAAATCATAAATTTTCAAATCCAAACCAAACAGATTGAATTCAAAATGTATAGTTGTCTCAGCTATACAAATGATGCTTCCAGAATGATAACCTCGAATGTTCAAGGTCTGTGAGCCGGTTATTCTAAAGGAGACATCAATAGACATCCACTTGAATGCAATGTATCATAAGATTAAATCAAACTTTACAATTAATCATTAAATCTCGTGATATATGAATATATATAAGCAAGTGAATCTCACAACTTTTAAGCTTAACTCTTATATGATGATATCAATTTGATATAATTTCAGTTTGGTGAATTACACCGTGCTGTTTGAGGACTCACATCACTTGAATTTTACTGGCTGAAACTCTCCAATATGAGGTTTATAAGGGTTTTGTCAACTTTAGGACTGCTTGCTGCTACAAGTTCTGCTTTTGGATATTCAAATAAATCTAGTTCTAATGATCTATCTCATACGACTCCTATTAAAGCACTTGGTGCTGGTAGTTGTAAGGCACCTACAAGTACTGATAGCATTGAAGAACTTGAACCTACAAGTGGTTCAATAGCAAGCTATGATGGAACTTGGAAAATGGAAGATCCTAATCCAGCTGGATCTTTGAAATATCAATACCAAGTTAACTTAGTTGAGGAGAAATCAGAACCTGTTGGTTTGGATTTCAAGTTTTATTTTGAAAGTGAATTGACTTCTGAAAACCCAACAGAAATTAAAATGAGCTGTATTGAATATGATGGTATTGATATTGAAGCTTTATACAATGTTGATGATAAAAAAGCTACCGCCTCTGTTCAATTCACTATTCCTCTACTTGACTCAGAAATTGATTTTTGCTCAACAGATCCTTTCATTACTTTCCAATTTTATGTTGAATCACTAAAAGACTGGGTTTCAATTTCAGTAAAACCAGATGATGTTTTTGACAAGGCTACTGGTGATGTTCCTTTTGATTGTGATGCTGTAACTAAACGCTTGGAAGATCCTATTTATATTGTTACAAGTGAATTCCCAGCTCCAACTTCAGCCCCAGATGATGTATTACATTTCAGTTCAATGGTTGCTGAAGACCTTGAAGTAACATACGTGATTCAGCCTGTCGAAGGATCACCTTCAAAATTTCACGTTCAATGGCATTTTTGGTATTACGAGCATTTGCTTGATAAATTTGAGTTTAATTCATTTGCTGAGGCCCAAAATTTGATCGGTTATGTTGCAACAAGAAGTCTTTACTTGAACTATGATATCACCGTTGACTGTCCAACAAAAGCAGGTGATGATATTTCATACTGTACCAGTAAACAATTTGAAATGAAAATTACAAATAAGGAGGGCTCTGAATTCGATTATGTTTTCGCCCCAGAAGGTGTTGGAGTTGATAACGGAGCTACTGCTATTCCATGGGACTGCTCTGCATTATGCAACCAACAAATCACAACCACTGATGTTGTTCCAACTGTAACTACAAGTGAAGATGATATTGCTCATTCCACTGCTACTGGTGCTATTGGTGATAATAGTTATACTGCAACATATGCTATCAGAGCTGTTGATAGCAACAAGAGGGCTGATTCTGCTACTTATAATGTACAATGGTACTTTGAATTCAAGAATAAAATCGATGCCACTGAGTTAAAATTCAAAAACATGGCAATGGAAAACATCAATATCAAAGGTCAAGTTAATTTGGAAGCTGGTGCTCTTTATGTCAGTTATGATCTTGATTTTGAATGTCCATCTGAAGGAAGTGATGCTGAATACTGTGCCTTAGAACAATTTGAGTTTACATTCATTGTTGATACTGAAACTTCATATGCTTTCGCAGTGCTTCATTCGCTCAAGCTGTCTGTCCATCATCATCAGGTTCGTCATCAATTTACCCAACATCCTCAGTTTATCCATCCTCATCAGATGTTTCATCTTCAGTTTACCCATCATCATCATCATCAGTTAACCCAACTGGTAACAGTGATAGTATAACTTCCACCACAGGTGCTTCAACTTCAACTAAACATGATGATGGTGAATCAACAACTACAATCACCACTACTACATGTGATGGTGAAGGTCATTGTACAGGTGTTCCAATTACTACAGGTATAACAGTTATCACTGAAACAAGTAATGGTATTGTTACTCAAGTCACTACATACTGTCCATTAACCACCACTCAAGGTCATGATTCAACTACAGTGATCACTGTTACTTCATGTGATGGTGAAAACCATTGTACACCATACCCAATCACCACTGGTATTACTGTTATTCCAACAACTAAAGCTGATGGTGTTGTAACAGATTATACTACTTATTGTCCATTGACTACTCAAGGTGGTAACAACAATGGTAACAACAATGATGAATCGAGAACTGTTATTACTGTTACTTCATGTGATGGTCAAGGTCACTGTTCAACTTATCCAGTTACTACAGGTGTTACTGTTGTTTCAGAAACTAAAGCTGATGGTGCTGTTACTGATGTTACTTCCTTTAACTTCAACTGATGTTAGACCAACTGGTACTTCTTCTCCAGAATCTGGTGATAATTCAAACAATGGTTCAAATGGTTCAAATGGTTCAAATGGTTCTAATGAATCTAGTGAATCTAATGAAACTAATGACTCAAATGGATCAAATGGATCAAATGGATCAAGTGAATCTAATGGTTCAAATGCTGCAAACGGTAACGGTGCTGACTCAAACAATACCAATGACACATCAGATAACAGTACAGACTCAAACGGTTCAAATGCCAATGATTCTAAAGACTCTACATCTGATTCTAACGGTCCATCACCAATGACTCAAACCAGTACTTCATCAGATGTTCAAACCTCAACCAATTCAATCATGACTTATGAAGGATCTGGTTCTAACATTGTTAATCCTTGGATTGTTTTATTTTTAAGTCCTTTTGTTTTCATGCTATGATATTTTAAAGGGATATAAGTTTGAAAAAGGAAGTTTATAAAGAATGAAAGTAATTAGTGTTTACTTATCAATATAATATAGAGTTATAATTACTAAAGACACGTAAGATAACTGAGATCTAATAAACTACAACTTTTTAATCCATTCTAAAGCAAAAAAATAAAAACTTTTATTAAAGAAAACTACATCGCTTATAATCAAACACAAAAATTTGATTATTTTTAAAAGAAATGTGAAATCTTATAATTACAATTGCACCCTGGGTATTTCAAACCTTGGTGAAATCGCACTCAAAGGAAGATTTCAAAATCATTATAGCCCATTAAACTAAATTCTTTATCTTGTAAAGAAGAAGCATCCAGCTCAAGACCTAAATATGGAAAAATTAGGCCGAGCGAGGCACAGGGCATGATTCAATTGAATCATTGTAAAACAAAAAAACACTATATATAATGACAAAAGAGAATAAAGGTTCTTACGAGTGGAGGTTTAATGCATAATTAATCATTATTGATTTGAAGAGTCTATAAAAAGAACTAATCAAGATCAACATCTTCACTTTTGTAATTGTCAAGGACAATACGATAAATGAAACTTGGGGCATAACCACCACTATAAGATATATGTTAGTAAAATTTCGCCCAAAAAACCACAGGGAATGGATGAATGAATACATACATGTTTGTGATGTAGATATCAATATGTTCAGGTGGGATATAATCAAATAATGGATTTGTAATATCAGCATGTTGAACTAAATTACTTTCAGAAAAATTTATAACTTTACCAGAATTACCAACTTCAATTAAATTTTCAACATCAAATGGATAAGTTGGACTTAATTTATAAAGACCTGCAACTGAAAAAACAGGAGTTTTATGTTCTTTAGCACATTCAGCAACTGCTGCAACACCTGCACTTGATACAGTACCACCATTTGCGAAAACAGATCTTGCACCAACTATAACTTTACCAACTCTTGACATTACTGCAAAGACATGAGAATCAGGTATCACCACTGTATCAATTTTAGCATCTGATAATTCTTTTGCAAAACTATGAGCGATGGAAGTTCTATTTGGGAAACATTCAGTAACTAAAACAGTAAATTTTCTTTTTTGTCTAGCTTTTAATAAAAATTTTAAAACAGTTTTGGAATCAGGAGTTGGAGTTAATAAGATTTCATTATCATGAATTAAATCAACAGACATGGCTTCAATACCATCATCAATATTTGAAATTTCATCAATTAAATCTCTAATACCTTGTATAATAATTGACCTTAGATCATGATTTTTATTATGATGAATTCTTGGATTTGTAGGTACAGGAGGAGCAATAGGTTCTTTTTTTTCAACATTAGTACTTAATAAACTAAACATTGAAGAAATCATTGGTGTCATATTTTCATTTTCAGTAGTCTCATAAACTTCATCTCTTATTATAGCTAAAACTCTTCTTATAATGTTACCACAAGTAAATTCTCTTGGTTGAGCATTAATCAAAGTTTTACCCAATTGCCGTATTTGTTCAATCAATTGGTTTGTGTTATTCCATCTAGCAGCAGAGATGACTCTCATTAATAATTGACAAGTTTCTAAAGCAACAAAATATGAACCAGAGATTTGACGACGTTTTAGCTTTCTATTCAACATGTGTTAGTCATCTGTAGCCCTAAAAAAACACTAAAAGAACCATCAATTGGGTGTATAAAGATGGGAAACAGGGTGAACTTACTCGATGAAAGCATCGATCTGGTAGTTAATGTCCTTCACTTGTGTGGACATTGTGTGATATCTCTTTTGTATGTAATAAATTAACCTTATTCAAGATTCAAATCAATGAAATGTTGGTTTTTTAGTGCAAAGTTTATAATTTTTTTTGAGATTTTTTTCTGTGAGGGAATGGGAAAACTTTGAGCCGGTTAACACTTTGAAGTATGGGAAAGCGGTAAGGGCAGGATATGTTTTTATTAGAATTGAATATAACACTGTGATTATCTAAGATATTGAGTTAGTTAAAGAGCTGTGTGATACTAAGATGAATATTGGTGATAATTATGTTTTTTCTGGGAGAAAATCCACCATTACCTCGCTGTTATCTAAGTGTGTAGTGGTTTTCCCATAGTTAATATTTCGTGTTTTGTTTCGCGTTTTGGCATATAAAGAGATGAGTATTAACTATTGGAAAACTTGATTTGATTTGATTTGATCTGAGTTATAATTGATAAGACCCCAGGCAAAATGAAGCTAAAGATTTATATGACACAGGTTGATAAGCTACGAAGTGCGTATAATCATGGGACTTATAATTGATCATATATACTAACAATTGAGCTTTTAGATACCCTTGCTTCAATCATTGGTCTACGGAAATATTGTGTATTAAGATTCACTCCAACTCATTTAAACATCATATCTGCTGCTTTGAATGAACCACAAGTATGGTGTAAACTATCCAATAACCTATTTGAACACTATGAAGTTGAATCATTACGTGATAATACCATAAGTTTTGAAATGAATATTGAACAATTATTACAAGTATTGAAACAATTTGAAAAATCAAATTCTGATAAATTAGCTATACGATTACAGAAAAAGGGTAATGATTCTGGTAAAAGAAGTGCAAGTCTTGCTGTTTTCTTTGATGATACTATATCCACTACAAATACAGTGACTCATACTTTTAGTATATCTGTTAGATTATTAAGAAAAGAAAGTGATGAAAGAATTAATGAACCTGAATTATCAAATGTTGATGTATTGATGAAATTACCACCTGATATTAGTTCATTATTCAAGAGAATTGATAGATACAGAAGTGTCAATTTCCTTAAGATTATAGGTTCAAAGAAAGGTTCATTATCATTAAATGTTCAAGAGGAAAATAATTTAAATGTTACAATAACATGGAATGAAAAACTTCAAGTTCAACAAAAAAAAGATTCTTTAACGAATATTGAAGATGATGAAGATGATGAAAATTTTGAAATATTAGTTAAATTAAAAGATTGGAAATTAGGTTCAAGAATCTGTGATATTTGTAAAAATTTAGTTTTAATTATAAGTCAAGAAGAAGCTTTAGTTTTACATTGTTATCTTGATGATGATGAATCATGTGAAATTATCTACTTTATAAGTGGTGTTAATCAATGAACAACATGGAAAAAGCATACAAAACATCAAAACTCTATATTTAAAAACTAACGATGAAAATTTAAACTAATAACTAATAAACATGACCCTTATTTATGAGCTTCAGCAAATTTCTTAACAAAATCAACTAATAAATCAACAGTCTCTTCTGTAACAGCATTATATAAAGATGCACGAATACCACCAACTGAACGATGACCTTTCAAACCAGTTAATTTAGCTTCACCAGCTTCTTTCAAGAATGATTCTTCTAAACCTTCACCATTAATTGTGAAAACAACATTCATATTACTTCTAACAGATTTATCAACTGGTAAATTAAATAATTGAGGATATTGATCTAATACTTCATATAATTTTTTAGCTTTACGTTCATTAATTTCTTGTTGAGTTGTTAATCCACCTTGTTTAATTAAATTTTGTAAAACTAAATCCAAAATATGTAAAGTGAAAATTGGAATTGTATTATAAGCACTATTATTTTTAACAACAGTTGGATAATGGAATGCAATTGGTGATAATGGAGCGTTTAAAGCTTTTAATTCATCATCTGAAGCTTGTTCTAATAATGAATTCTTGATGATATAAACAGTTAACCCAGCTAAACCAACATTTTTTTGAGCACCAGCCAAGATTAAACCATATTTACTAACATCAACTTTACGTGATAAAATATTTGATGATAAATCAGCGACAATTTCAATACCTTCGAATTGTGGTTCTGATTGGAATTCAACACCATTAACAGTTTCATTATCACAATAATAAACATAAGCTGTATCTTTTGGATCTGGTTGTTTCCATTCAGAAACTGGTTGAATTTTACCAAATGATCCATAAACTTTTTTAGAATCTGTTAAAACTTCAGTTTCAACTCCTAATCTTTCAGCTTCTTCATAAGCTTTTTTACTCCATGAACCAGTTATAGCATAAGCACCTTTACCCTTTTTACCAGTTTTTTTAACATATGAAGCTAATAAATTAGTTGCAATTGATGAAAATCCAGAAGTACCACCACCTTGTAAGAAGAAAACTTCATGAGTATCTGGAATTGATAACAATTCTTTGAAATGTTTCTTTGTGTTTTCAATAACATCATTTGCTGGGCCTGAACGATGAGAAATTTCACCAACACCTAATCCAATACCTTGATAATTTATCAAATCATAAGCAGCTTGTTGTAAAACAGAGGTTGGTAAAACAGCTGGACCAGCACCGAAGTAATGTGGTTCTTCTCTTTCTAATGTTTGACTCATGATTGATCCTTATAATATCTTCTTCACCTAAAAGATCTAATTGATATAATGGTTCTTTCTTTTTGTCGCTTAGAGTCATCTCCAGACAAAGTCAACTTTACAAAATAATTTAAATTACTTACGAAAATCGCGAATTATGTAAGTGATTACAAAGCAGTATAACCATTTTCAATAAATAAATATTTATATTCTAATATTCTATTATATGCAATTTTGTATGGGATTCTATATATACAGAGGCGATGGATCAACGACGTAGGAAGGATTGGTAGGCATCCGAGTTTATAGAGACATTACCCACGGCTCTCATTCTCTTTTTACCTTCTTTTTGATTCACCAATAATTTCTTTCTTCTTGAAATATCAGAGGCATGTAATTTTTGTAGGACATCTTTTCTTTTCGCTTTGATAGTTTCTCTTGCAATGATCTTACCAGCTGCTTTAGCTTGGATGGCAACTTCAAACATTTGATTTTTAACATGTTCTCTAAATTTTTTACACCATGCTCTACCAACTGATTCTGTTTGTGATCTATGCATAACTTGTGCCAGGGCATCAACACCTTTACCATTGACTAATAATTCTAATTTAACAATATCGGATTCTCTATATCCACTATCTTCATAATCTAAAGATGCATAACCTCTTGTTGAAGATTTTAATTTCCCGAAAAAATCATCAACTAAATGTGCTAAAGGTAAATCATAAGTTAATAAGACTTGACCAGTTGTTAAAAATGAAATTTCCTTTTGGATACCTCTATTACCATCACAAAGTTTAATCACTGTACCTAAATATTCTTGAGGGAATGTCATTATAGCTTCAACATAAGGTTCTTCTAAACGTGAAACTGCAAATCTTTTACTCAAGACATCAGGGAAATCATCTGGATTTGTAACAATCTCCTCGTTACCATCTTTATGAACAACTTTATAAGGCACGGTTGGTGATGTTAAGATTAATGAAGCACCATATTCATTTTCTAATCTTTCTTTGAAAACTGAAGCATGTAATGAACCTAAAAATCCTAATCTCCAGCCTTGACCTAAAGCATTCGATGTTTCTCTTTGTAGTGTAACTGAACGATCATTCAATACTAAATGTTGCATATGATCATCAAATGCATCAAATTCTGTATGATCTGCAGGGAAAGCACCAACGAAAACCATTGGTTTTGGTTCTTCAAAACCTGGTAATGGTTCAACAGGATCTGAAACATTCATAAATGTATCACCAATCATGGCTTCAGATGAATCTTTCATCCCTGGGACAATATAACCAACTTGTCCAGCACTTAAAGTTGTAGTTTGGATTTTATTAGGATACATTATACCAACTTCTTTACAATCATATTTTTTACCAGAATGTGGTGACATAACTTTGGAACCCTTTTTAATAGTCCCATCAACAACATGAACCAAACAAACAACACCAAGATAAGTATCATACCAAGAATCAACTAATAAAGCTCTTAATGGCAGTTCTAATTTCCCAACTGGTGGTGGAATTCTTTCAATAATTGCAGGTAAGATTTGTTCAACATTTTTACCAGTTTTAGCAGATACTTGAATAGTTTCATCAGCTAACAATTCAAATGTATTTTCCACTTGATCCAAAGCTCTTGGTATATCTGCATTATCCAAATCAATTTTATTTATAACTGGAATTAATTGTAAATTCATACTATAAGCCAAATAAAAATTTGCAACAGTTTGAGCTTGAACACCTTGTGAAGCATCAACTAATAATAAGGCACCACCACATGAGGCATAACTTCTTGAGACTTCAGCTCTAAAATCAACATGACCAGGTGTATCCACAAGATGCAATAAATAATCCTTCCCTTTATAATTATAAAACATTGTACAAGTTTGAGCTTTCACAGTAATACCTCTTTCCCTTTCAACATCTAATTTATCCAACACTTGTTTTTGCCCCGGTTTCACAACACCAGTCATTTCTAATAATCTATCACTTAATGTAGACTTCCCATGATCAACATGTGCCACAATGGAGAAATTTCTATAATTTTCAATGGGTATTTCATTTATACGTTGTTGTAATGTTTTTTCAACTGGTTTTTCCTTGTGATTTGAGGCAATACCACGCCGTATTACCGGGGTTCTTCTAAATAAAGTGCTTATGTTTGGGATCTTGGACCTGAGCATTATCATGAAATATACCTTTTTAACGAAAATAACGCTTTGTTGATGAATCTTTGATTACGTTAATATTGATATTTTTTCAACTTTATTGACTTTTATTCGCGAATTCTTTTTTTTTATTTAGATCTCGTTAAGAGCCACAGCGATATAAAGATTTTTATTTTTTTTTTTTTTTCAACAGAAATTTAATATTTTAGTCTGGATTTTTTTGACACAAATCATACAAAACAGAAATAACAATAATACAAAAAGGTGTCCAATATAATATACCATGTCATCTTATGGAAAACTAGCAGCTGCTGGTATCACAGGTGCTGCTTTAGCCCTAGCTTTAAAAGAAGCATATCATCAATATTATGAAACTAATACATCATCATCAAAATCTGAAAAAAAATTACAAAAAATTAGAAAAGGAGAAATACAACATGATGAAGAATTAATCAAAGAACAATTAGCTAGAAATTATGCATTTTTAGGTGAAGAAGGTATGGCTAAAATTAGAGAAGAATTTGTTGTTGTTGTCGGAGCTGGTGGTGTTGGATCTTGGGTTGCAACAATGTTGATCCGTTCTGGGATTTCAAAGCTCAGAATCATTGATTTTGATCAAGTTTCATTAAGTTCATTAAATAGACATGCTGTTGCTACTTTAGAAGATGTGGGGACATCAAAAGTTGATTGTTTAAAACAAAAATTATTAAAAATTGCACCATGGGCACAAATTGAAGCTATTAATCAATTATGGCATTTACCAAATGCAGAAGAATTATTATTACATGGAGGACCAACATTTGTTGTTGATTGTATTGATAATATAGATACAAAAGTTGATTTATTAACATTTGTTAAACAACATGATTTAAGAATTATTAGTTCAATGGGTGCAGCATGTAAAAGTGATCCAACAAGAATTAATATTGGTGATATATCAACAACTGAAGAAGATCAATTAGCAAGATCAGTTAGACGTCGTTTGAAAAAAAGAGGTATCACACAAAATATTCCAGTTGTTTTCAGTGCAGAAAAACCCGATCCTAAAAAAGCTCAATTATTACCATTACCTGAAGATGAATTTCAAAAAGGTAAAGTTGATGAATTAAGTGCCCTAAAGGATTTTAGAGTTAGAATTTTACCTGTTTTAGGTACAATGCCTGCAATGTTTGGATTAACTATAGTTTCATATATTTTGACATCAATTGCAGGTTATCCAATTGAACCAATTGAAGGTAAGAATAGAATTAAAGTTTATGATGGTATTTTCCAAAGTCTTGCAGGCCAACAATCAAGAATTGGTCATGATCAAAGAATCCCAATTGCATTAAAAGAAGTTCCATATATTGTTGAAGAAGTATTTAGAGGTAAATCACCAGTTTCAGGTTTTAGTACAAGATTAACATTATCTAAATGGGATCCAAAAAGACCAGTTAGTTTAACAAATGTTGTTGTTTTAACTAAAGAAGAACAAAAATTCCATGAAGATCATGTTTTAAATGGTGGTAAAGCACTTGAAGATGTTTATGATGAACAAGTTTTAAAATTAGTTGAAAAAAGATTTAAAGAAGAGGAATATTATGAAAATTTTAGATAAATTTTTAAGAAGTTTTGTACATAGATTACATTGATAGAATATTGTATTTTATAACTTGATAACATTGCATTAAAAGATGATTTCATGTAAACCTAAATGACCGAATAAAATGAATTATATAATTTTTTTTTGTATCTCTCTTATAAGAGAAGGGGGTATATATGATAAAATTGAATTGAATTTAAGCAAAGACTGAAGCACCCATTGGAACTGAACTTTGTTGATGATATTCTTGAGCAGTTTCAGATGATTCTTGGAAATAAGGATGTAATAAAGCACGTTTAGCAGAGATACGACCAGCTGGATCATAAATTAACATTTGTTCTAAAAGATCAACACCTGCAGCATCTAATGAAGGAACAGCTTGTTGTAAATCCTTTCTATTCCATTTAGGGAAAGTTGGTTTAAAATCTGGTAAATAAGTAACATCAGGCCAAATATCTTCATTTGGTGTACCCAAGATTCTAAAAATTCTAAAAATTTGATCAATTTCTGAATCACCTGCAAATAAAGGTTTTCTATTAACCATTTCTGCAAAGATACAACCAATAGACCATACATCAACACCAGTAGAGTATTGTTTCCCACCAAGTAAGACTTCAGGAGCTCTATACCATAATGTAACAACTTCATGAGTATAAGCTCTTAATGGAACACCAAAAGCACGAGCAAGACCAAAATCAGCTAATTTTAAATTACCTTCTTTATTAATCAACAAGTTTTGAGGCTTCAAATCTCTATGTAAAATTCTATGACCATGACAATACGCAGTACCTTTAACCAATTGCATCATAAATCTTTTAATCATATCAGCACCAAGTCCAACACCAGCTGGGATAGATTCCATATATTTTTTCAAATCCAAATCTAAAAATTCAAAAACCAAATATAATTTATGTGAATCTGAATGAATGATATCGTATAATCTAACTGTGTTTTCATCTCTCATTTCTTTCAACAATGAGATTTCTCTAATGGCTGTTGATGGAACACCTTCATCTTCTGATTCCAATCTAATCTTCTTTAGAGCAACCACTCTGTTGTTATGCTTAATATCCAAGGCCTTATAAACGACCCCGTAGGTCCCTTCACCAACCTTCTCCAAGCGCTGGTAGTTTGACAACTCTGGCATCCTGGAATCTATTATTACTGATATTTTCTGGTATTATCAGCCGCTGAGTTTCTGAATTTGAATTTGTTTTTGATTTAAAAACGCGATTTTTTTGGTATGTAAAAGAAATTGAAATCCAAAACAAGAAAAATTGAAATCAAAACATTGGATTATGTAAGGGTGTAGCGGTGTGCTTAGTAAGAGTAATACATAGTTAAGTAATTATTATTATATTATTATTTATTAACAATGGTCTAGTACTAGCTATAACCAATATATATGCAATATCGAACTAAATAAGTTGTTTTTATCATAAAGCTCATGGGCTTATACCAATCCTTCCATGAAAGTTTCCAAAATGTTTATACCTTGAACAATTAATTTCAAATCTTTTTTACTTAAACTTGAATTCAATTTCATTTGTGAATATTCTTTATTAGATCTAATCATCTTAATAACACCAATACTTTCTAATGCAGTCAAGACCTCTAAAAATTCACCTTTTTTCAAAACACCAATCAATTTATCAATTTTAATATTTTGAATATAATATTCAAATAATGAATTCATTGTTATAATACCTTGATTTTCAGATTCTTTCTTAATTAAAACACAAATTATAAATTTTTGTTGTAAATTTAACCTCTTCAATCTTTGAGTTTGATGATTATCGAAAACTAAAGCACAAACTCTAGCAATATGATTAATTTTAACTTTTGGTGCAGTTTCCCAATTCAACATTAAATGATTTGAATTTTCTTGTAATATATTACCACGAACTTCTTTTTCCACAATTTCAATTGAACTTCTACATATATCAAATGCTTTTCTTAAATCACCTGTGTTATTTGATGATTTTTTAGCAGCTAATTGAATAGCAGCAGGATGAATTATTGGAATTTCATTTGAATTTGAACTTGATGGAATTAAAGTTTTCAATTTTGATATTATAATTTGTTTGATTTGTTCTGAAGTATATGGTAAAAATGATAAAGTATTTGGATTTAATCCATTAATTTTCAATCTTGGTAATAATCTATCAATCATATCTAAAGAATTTGAAATCCCAATCAAAATAATTTTAGAATTTGGTTGAATTGTCCAAGAAAATAATTCAAATAATATTTGTTGATCTTGAGTGATTAATTTATCTAATTCATCTAAAACAATAATATTCATTTGATCATCACCAGAGGTTAAATAATTTAATAATTCAGTTTTTGAATTTATTATTGATGAACAATTTTTCCCTGTTAAATTTTTATAAATATCTTGAAAAATATATTTAATTTGTGGTAAAATCATACAATTAATCATTGTATAACCAATTTTCAACTGTTGAGAATCAACCGAACTTAATTGAACACCATGTTGATTTGTATTTATCCATTTAGATAATGTTAATAATGTTTGTGCAGTTTTACCAGTACCAGGTGGACCACTTATATATAATGAATTTGAAGTTTGAGATGAAAGGTTGTTTTCAATGAATTGTTGGAATGCTTGAGATTCTTGTTCTCTTTGTGGGAGTGTAAATGTATTTGTTATTAATGAACTTCTTTGGAAAAGTGATTTAGCTTCTGCATATATAGATTTTTGAGGTTGAGTTTGTTGTGGTTCATGAGTTTTTGGTTCAATATTTTCTTTATCTTCTTCTGGATTATGTTCAATTAAATTCAATTTTTTTGTAGTTAATAAATTTTCAGATATTAAAACATCTTTATCAGATTTAATTGGTGTAACAGGTGGTGAAATTAATGAATCATTTGGTTTTGTTATAAATTGTTTGAAATCAAGTTTTTTAACAGGTGATTGAATAGTTGTTGATTGAATTTGAGTTGTTGTAGTTGATGGTTTTGATTTTGTTGGTGTATTTGGTGGTGATTCTAATGAATGTTGAATTTTTTGTCTCTTTATAGGACTTTGTTCAAGATTTTCAAAATTTTGAATATGAGATTGAACTTTAACAGGACTTTGACCAGGACTCATTGGAATAGAAATCTTATTCCCATTAATTGTTGAACTTGATCTTTTTCTTGATCTTGGTTGAATTGAATTTGGAGTTAATGAAGATTTTAACATTGATAAAACTTTTGAAACTCTACCAGGAGTAGTTGGAGTAGTTGGAGTAATTGTAGTTGATGGAGTTGATTGGGACATTGTAAATCTATAGTTTATAATGGAGGTGATAATGATTGTTGTGTTTAAAATGGTATGTAATGGTATTCCACGGATCTTTGGTTTGTTTTATAATTGAAATAGAAATCGTATGCATTTAATTTAGTTCAAAATATTTCCCAATTCGGTAAATTGAAAGAATTTAAAAAAATAAAAAAAAAAAAAAAAAGCGCGTCAAAAAATAATTTCGCGAATGTTTTAATTTTTACGTGTCGCGTTTTTCTTTGGTTATGTAATACAAATGGATTCTAATTGATAGTGATTTATGATTTGATTGTGATTTGATTATTGTGAATTGTTTTATCATTGTTGATTGTGTTATTGGTTATTGTTACATTACTCTGATTTTCATGATGGAGATGCAATTTGAATTAGAAAGATGGAAGTATTTAGCGCAAATTGGAAAGAAATATAAAATAGATACTTCAAAAGGTAAAGGTTAGTATATCAAATAACCTTCAATATTATATTGACTAACCATTAAAGATCGAATTGAATTAGTTCTACTGGAGAAAAAAACAGAAAATGAAATCCCTGATCCCAGGCTCAATAGATCTAAACAATTACAAGATGCTTATGATCAATTATATAAAAATCAAAAACATCAAGATCTTATACTTAATTTGAAAACCAAGATATATGGATTAGATCAAGAAAAACAAATCCTTATGAATGAAATAAACAAATTAAATAATTTAAAAAATGCAAATGATATCAAAGTTGAAAATGAAAAACTTGAAAATTTAATATCAAATTTAGAATTTGGTAATAATATAATAACTGTGGAGACATTAGATGAAGAATTCCCAACCAAAAAGAGGAAATTGAATGAAATTAATGCTAAACCAAAAGATCCTATGAGGATTAGAAATATTGATGGAACGTTAAGTTTATCATTAGATCGTATTAATGAACAAATTTGATTTAAATTTGAATTGAATATATTATTCTTAAGTCAATTGGTACAAATAAGAAAACTGGCTAAAAAAATAGCTAAAAAGCCAGCTCAAGAAGCTAAAAGACAGCATACACACATACAAGCAGGACTTGTCACTCACTCATACAACCATATTAATCTATATTTAATTTGCATTTAAACTCATATAATTTGTAGTTTATATAATTCAAATCTGGAACACGCTGACATAATCAACAAGATCCATCACTTATTCGCGAATTGAATTAAAAAAAAGGGAATCGCGTTGAAATATATCTTTACATTTCTTCTCCTATTATATACCCATTATTCAAACAACTACCTCATAAATATTCCTAAGATGTCATTTTTTGAAGGAATAAAAGAATTAACAAATGATTGTAAACTATTAAATATTTTATTATATACCGCATTATCCATTGGTATTTTTAAAATAACTACATTTTCATTAAGTTTTAGTTCATTAATTTTTGATATTTTTTTAAAACCTTCAATTAATTATAAAAAATATGGTGCTGTTAAGTCAACCAAGGGTGATGGCAAAGGGGGAGCCAAATGGGCTGTTGTTACTGGTGCTTCTGATGGGATTGGTAAAGAATATGCTAAACAATTAGCATCAAAAGGTTTCAATATCTTGTTAATTTCAAGAACTCAATCAAAATTAGAAATTTTATCAGAAGAAATTTCCTCTGAATTTAAAGTTGAAACAAAGACATTAGCTATTGATTTTTCTACTGATAAACCATCAAATTATGAATTAATTAGTCAATTTACTAAGAATTTACCAATCACTATCTTGATTAATAACGTTGGTCAATCTCATTCAATTCCTGTTCCTTTTTTACAAACCCAAGATGAAGAATTAAGAAACATAATTACAATTAATAACATTTCCACTTTAAAAACAACCCAAATAATCGCTCCAATTATTCAAAACACTATCAAATCTTCCAAGGGAATCCGTGGATTAATCTTAACAATGGGTTCATTTGGTGGATTATTACCAACTCCTTATTTAGCTACATATTCAGGTTCAAAAGCCTTCTTACAAAATTGGTCCTCTGCATTATCTGGTGAATTAAAAAATGAAGGTATTGACGTTGAATTAATTATATCATATTTAGTCACTTCATCAATGTCCAAAATTAAATATTCATCAGCAACAATCCCTAACCCAAAGCAATTTGTCAAAAGTGTTTTATCAAGTGTTGGTTCCCGTTCAGGTGCACAGGAAAGGTATGCTACCTCGACTCCTTATTGGACTCATGCTTTAATGCATTTTGGGATTGAAAATACAGTGGGGATTTATAGTAAATTTGCGAATGGGTTGAATTTTAATATGCATAAGAGTATTAGAATTAGGGCTTTGAAGAAACAAGCTCGTTTAGAAGCAGAAGCTAAAAAACAATAAACTCTTCTCTACATGACATATATATGTATATATGTATATAACTTTATACAAATATTTTTGAAAATGTTGGGTGTTTCTTCATACACCTAATTTAAATTTCGTCCGTTCATAAACAAAAAATGAACAAGCAACCATTGGAATAACTTTTATATAACCAATACTTAAACCAACATAAAACCCCTTAACACCACGTTCTTTCCAAATTTTCAACGCCATTTCTCTTATACCTATAAATTTCCCATTATTAACACCACCAACTTGTAATCTTCTCCTTATAACTTCAAAAGGATATGCTGCAGTTTGTGAAAACATACCTGCAAGACCACCAGCTAATAATTGAGCCCATGTATTTAATGGAGTTCTACCTCTTGAGCCTAAACCTCCTGAGGTTTGTTGTTGATCAAGTGTGGGTATTTCTTGATCTAAGGTATATGATGATAATAAAGGATGACGGAAAATATCATGGATTAAATCATGTGTCCAGAATGAAACTCCTGCATAAGGGATCATACCCATTATAGTTGGTATAAAACCTCTATAAAAATTTGTTAAATTTGATATTGAATGTGGTAGGGTTTTTTTCAATTGATTTATAAAAACTAAATCTTTATTTAGGGTTGGATGTTCTTTATAAATTTGTTTTATTGTTGTTATTAATCTTCCATTGTGGGATGAAGTTTTTTTGGTTTCAAAAGCTAATCTAACACGAATAAGATCTAATGGATAAGTTATAAAAACTGAACACAAGCCCGCTATGGACCCAGATAATAATCTTCTAATTGAAGTTTCATAAGAATCATTTGGGATCAAGATTCTTCGTACTTGTTCATAAGCAACAAATTTTATAGCAGCATAAGGGAAAATTCTTAATAAAGTTGCACTATGACCTTGGAAAAACCCCAGGATACCATCATTTTTAAAAATTTGATTCCCAGCTTTGATCATACCAAATATTGAACCTGAATATTTTGCATATTGGGGGTTTGAAGTTTGAAAAAGGATTTTGATACGATCTAATGGTGCTATTAAAGTCTTTCCGGTACAACCTGCTAACCCACCTGCAAGACCTGTCTTGATGATGTATTCAATACTTGATTTATCTAGGGAAGCTTTTGATTCAAATGGTGTTGAATCATCAGTATGTATTTTGGTGTTGTTTATGATGGGTGATAGTTTTGTATCTTGATTTATATATAAGTTTTTAGAAGACATTTTAAAATCATTTATGTATATGCTCTGTATTGTATTGTGATGTTAACTCCACTTTGATTTTTGGTAGTAGTGTGATTTGATAATGTGTGATAATGCAAAAGATGAAGGGTGTTGTTGAGTGGATATGAATATGAAGATTAAATGCAAGTATAAATAGTTTTGAATATAGTACTCAATATTGTTTATGAGTTGTTTATTGAGTTGATTATTTTCTTTCTGTTCTGTTTTAATTTTAATTTTTTGTTTTTCATGGAAAGTTAAAAAAAATAAAAAATCTGTCAAAAATTAAACGGGTCATTTAAATTTTAGTGCTTAGAGTGGGGGTTTACGTCATATTAATATTATTGTTGTTATAGTAGTATTATTGTATTATAGTGTATTTATTGTGTATTGTATATTTATTTGAATACATTACTAACAGTCCACAGTTAACACTTATATCAGTCAACACCTTAGCCAACACAATACCATGATCAATATGTAATTAGCATACTTTAGTAATCATATTATAATCATCATCTGAGTTATATATATCTACTTCAGAACCCCATACATTTATCTTCTTTAATTATCAATATTCCTTTGATTATATAACAACAACCACTATTTATTAACTCTTGAATTCCTCTTCTTTTTCAACTTCTCCATCCTTGATTCCTTCTCTTGTTTCTTCACCTGTTTAGAAATCTCCAATTGAGTCTCTTTATCAATCATCCCCCCTTGATATTGCCTTTTCATCAAACTAATATCTTTCAAAAGACTATATAATTTTAATTTATGATCTCTTTCAACATCTAATACATCTTTAATTTTTAAATCCATGAATTTCTTAGGAATTCTTTGAGATCTTCTTTCAATTTTATTTATAAATGTTTTGGTTAATTTTTGAAGTTCTTCTTCAAGAGATTGTTTCCTTTCAGCGGCTTGTTTTTCGAATCTGGTGGTGAGTTTGTTCTTTTCTTCTTGTGTGTAGGTGACCATGATGATGATTGTGATAGTTGATGATAGTTGATAGTTGGTGTTCTAGTTGTTGAAGTTCTTAATGATTTTATTGATCTTATTTGTTTTTCAAAAGTAAACAAATAAAATTCGCGTGTGTTTTCATTTTTTTAATTTCTTCAATTTTATTTTTTTTTTCCTGTCAAAATGAAAAATGATTCATACAAAATCTAAAATCTGATAAGATTCAAACACTGAAAAACACCAACATTCAATATTCACATACAATCAAAACATAAAATGAGTACCCAAGACAAGAAAAAAGTATGTCCAACTCTTACTCCCATTCAAAACTCTGAACACCACTAACACTACGCTTTTAAGCAAATTGATCCAATTCATTCATTCATTGCAGGTGGTACAGCAGGTGCCATAGAAGGTGTAATAACATATCCTTTCGAATTTGCTAAAACAAGATTACAATTAGTAGACCGTTCCTCCAAAGCATCAAGAAACCCATTAGTATTAATTTATAACACTGCTAAAACCCAAGGTATCTCATCCCTTTATACTGGATGTCCTGCTTTTGTTGTTGGTAATACAGTCAAAGCTTCTGTTAGATTTTTAGGATTCGATTCAATTAAAAAATTATTAGCTGATAAAGATGGGAAACTTTCAGGTCCAAGAGGTGTTATTGCTGGTCTTGGTGCTGGATTATTAGAATCTGTTGTTGCAGTTACACCATTTGAAGCTATTAAAACTGCCCTTATTGATGATAAACAATCAAAATTACCAAAATATGGTTCAGGTCCATTAACACCATTTAGATGTGTTAAAGATCTTGGTCTTAGGGGTTTATATGCGGGTATTTTACCAGTTTCTTTACGTCAAGCTTCAAACCAAGCTGTTAGATTAGGTTGTTATAATCAAATCAAGACTTTTATACAATCAACTTCAAATACACCACCTAATCAACCATTAAGTTCTGGATTAACTTTTGTGGTGGGTGCTTTTAGTGGGATTGTTACTGTTTATACTACAATGCCTATTGATACTGTTAAAACTCGTATGCAAGCCCTGGGGGCAGGGGATAAATATAAAAGTACTGTTGATTGTTTTATTCAAATTTTTAAAACGGAAGGATTGAAAACTTTTTGGAAGGGTGCTACTCCAAGATTAGGTAGATTGATTTTAAGTGGTGGTATTGTTTTCACTATTTATGAAAAAGTTTTAGTTGTTTTGGCATAGATAACATAGACAACAATTACATTAATAAAAGTATAGAGTTTTATAACTATCTTGTAATTACTTGGTGTATTTATTTAACATACTTATTCAAAAACTTTTGATGGAAATCAGATCTAAGTAAATCATTAACATAATCATCATCAGTCTTGGATTTTTCTTGATTATTCTTAAAATTGAAAACTTTATCTTGTCTCCAATTCTTTCGTATTTTATTACCCCCTTCAATAGGGGTTATATTTATTAATGGATTTGAATTCATAACTTCTAATTCCCTTTTCCGTAGTTCTTCATCTTCAGCAGCTTTTGCACGTTCTTTTTTAATTTGTTCTAATTCTTTTAATAACTCAGCTTCATCATCGTCACTGTCACTGTCACTACCATCTTCTTCACTATCATCACTATCTTCCTCTTCCTCCTCCTCTTCACTACTATCATCTAAATCTTTAATTTCAGAAGCAACTCTTCTTCTTCTTTCTTCAAAAGTTTCTTCTTGATCTTGATCTTTAATCCTTAATGGTTCACCATGATCACCTTGCTTATCACCATAATGTAATTTTTCTCTTTGTATCAAATCTTTCTTTAATTCATTAAATTTCTCCTTTGCATCATCTTGATTAATCCCTGTGGTATTATTATTAACTTTCCTATATTTTAATTGTTTATGAGCTGCTATACTTCTAGAATGAACTATAGAAGTTGGTTGAAGGTCTCTTCCCTTTCTTGTTTCGAATGTGGGTCTATGAGAAGTGGTCATTATGAGCTTTGTCTTAATATACTCTGTGTTGTATTCTTTCTAGTATTTTGTTGTTCTTTGTCGTATAAAACAATTTAAATTTAACTTTTTAGATCTTGAAAACTAAAAAATATAGATACACTTTTTGAAATGACAGTGAATAATTACCCAAATTTTTTAATAAAGTAATAACTAAAAGATCCAATACTCAATATACTCTTATAATAATGATGGGTAGTTGATATATATATAGTTAAATAAATGAAAAACTATTCAGCTCCATTTTTTACCATGTGATTATGTTTGTTGGAGCACAAATGCTTTAATGATGGCATGTTTCATCTTTAAACAACCATTCGAGAACCCTTATAGAACCATGATATAATATGATCAACACCACTGAATAACACATAGTATATAGAACAACCTAATCAATGATGATCAGCTCTATCAACTAATATCTATTCACTTTCATTCATTTCTTGTGTAATTCTACTAGTTCTTATTATACTTCTTCCTATATTTCTTCATTTCCGGGTAAATTTTTATAATTTTGATAATCGCGATCATTTTTATTTATAGAAAAATTCAAATTTCAATACAATCAACAAATTTCAATAAATATATTAATTTCAAATTTCCACAAGTCTTTATTAAAGAAGAGTGTATATACCTTTGGTTCAAAAGGTTGTTGTTAAGTACTAAAGGATAATCTGTGGTTTGGTTGTGCTTGTTAACTAGAAGAAAATTGGGTTTTTGAAAGCAGCGCATTTGAAGTGGCTCTGTTTAAGATATTGTTTGATATTTGGTGATTTGTGATTTTGATTTATTTTAAAGTGGTGTGTGTGTGTGTTGGAAGTTAAAGATTGACATTTGGGGTTCATTTAAAAAGTGGTGATTTTAGTCAATTGGTGGATTGATCAAGAAGATAATATAAAATATATATACAATACAGTTTAAATATAAATGTCACAACAAGAAATTTCAATTGAAAATAATGAAATCAATAATGTACAAAAAATTAAATCAAATATAGAACCAACAACTCAAATTAAACCTTCCACAATGATTAGTGTTAAAGATTTTGCATATGATGAAAATGATGAATTACATTATGGTATAATAAATTATTCACAATATTTAATTGATGAAGATTCTGATTGTTTTGAGGATGAAGAACATGAAGATCTAGATGAATTATCAGAAGAACAACGAACCAAAATCATAGAGAATAAAAAAAATTTCAAAAATTCTATAATAAATATACCGAAAAATTATTATTTTGAAGATGGTCCTCCATGGAAAGAAGATCCTGATTTAAAAACACCAATGATTAAAGATGATTCTAAAAATGAATTTGAATTTTCCATATCATCAAGTGATGAAATTCATGGTAAAGCTATAGCATTATTTGATTTCCAACCTGAAAATGATAATGAAGTTGCCCTTAAAGAAGGTCAAATCATTTGGATCTCTTATAGACATGGTCAAGGTTGGTTAGTTGCTGAAGATTCTCAAACTGGTGAAACTGGTCTTGTCCCTGAAGAATATGTTCAATTAGTTAATGATTTAGAATATTTTGATGAACCAAAACCTTTTTTACCTGGGATTATACAAGGTGAAAATAATGATGGTATAATAGAGGATAATGAAAGTGATTGGATTGATGAAGATGATGATGAATTACCAAATGTTGGGGATATAAATCTTGATAAATGATTTGTTGTTGCTGTTGCTACTGTCTAAGTGTGTGATGTTTGTTTTTAATTGTGGTTTTATTTTTTCCTTGTATAATTATTTGTTTTAAATTAAGAACGTTTTGAATTTGTAATTTTAATCTACATGTATTGGTTCCTTAAAAACGATATAATTTACATTATATTATATAGTTATTTAATCTACTCTTCATCACTATTAATCTTATCTTCCCAATTATTTTCATCAATATTTATATCCAAATCATCATCAATTTTAAAATCTCCAATCTCTGAAATTAAAAATTGTGAATGATTTATAATATCTTCATCAACATCAAATTGATTTGAAATTTTTAAAACTTGTTCTAAATTTAATTTAACTTGTTTTAAATTTTCATTAAATTTAACATCTCCAGAATTAATTATAAACCCATCAAATTGATCAGCATCATAATTTGGGAATTTTGAATCATATTGATGCTTCTTAACAATTAAATAATTTGCAAAACCTTCTAAATAAAGACTTTCAACATTATCTTCATCAATATCACGAACATTTGAAGCAATAACTCCACCTAATTCATAAAGTCCCAATTCTATAGAAAATCTAGCCAATGTAATCAAAGGTTGTATCAATTCAACATATTCATTACTTAGGTCTTCTGAATCTAATTCGCCAGTATTTATATTGTTATTATCTTCTAATCCAGTTTTTTTAGATTCAAATAAATCCCATGCTTTTGTAATAGCTTCCGAAGCTTCCTGGTCACGTTGTTGACTAATTCTAATTGAAGCTAATAATGACCAACTTTCAGGATTTGAATCATCAATAGTTAATGATTGATTAATTAATTCATTACATTTTGTCTCGGCTTCAGGTTCCATACATAAATCAGTCATCCAAATTTCAATCTCTGCAAATAAACCTTGGTTTAATTTCTTGATCAATTGTTTCTTTGTTATTTCTGATGATTCTTCATTTTGTTGTAATTTTGTAGTTAATTGATTAATACCATGATCAATAAATTCAATCCCCTTGGAACCACCAATTATTTGTCCTAAATAAAAAAATTTTTCTGATCCATAATGACCTTCTAAATCCATTGAGCATGATTTTTCCAAGAATTCATAAGCTTTTTCAACTTTACCATTTTCTAAATAAGTTTCACCAAAAATTTGTAAAAATTCACATGATTCATTAAATTGAGATTTATATTTTTTTAATAATTTTAAAGCTTCTTTGAATTGTGAAAGTCCTAGGAATTTCCTGGTTTCTATTATTAATTGACTTAATTCCATTGTTGTGTGTGTGTGTGACTGTCTTTGAGTACTAGTTATTTAAATAAAAAGATCAAAAGTGATTATCACCATAGTATATATGGGTTTTCTTTATGATGGGTATAAAAGAATTTATTAAAAAAATTTAAAAACTTTGGTTATGTAATCGATGATCTTCCGCGAATTCTTTTTCGACCCTTTGAATATTTTGAACATTTTGAACACCTTTATAACAATTATACTAGAATTCATACAAAACACAGTCTTTATGAGACTAAGATGAAGTTATTATCTATATTCACTGCATTATTCTCTCTTTTAGCACTAGTCATTGCTGAAGAAAAATTACAAATTGGAATCACCAAAAAAATCCCAACAGATGAATGTTTACGTAAAGTTCAAAAAGGTGATACAGTTCAAGTTCATTATTCAGGATTCTTAAAAGAAGATAATTCAAAATTTGATAGTTCCCTTGATCGTGGTCAACCATTAGAAGTTAAAGCTGGTGTTGGTCAATTGATTTCAGGTTTTGATACTGGTTTATTAAATATGTGTATTGGTGAAAAGAGAAAATTAACAATTCCTTCACATTTAGGGTATGGTAAAAGAGGTGCTGGTAGATCTATTCCACCTGATGCTGATTTGATTTTCACTATTGAATTGGTTGGTATTAAAGGTTATACACCACCAGTTAGAGATGAGTTATGATTTTTGAGCTACAATTATTGTATAAAAGCAAAATAAATTTATTATAGGAATAAAGATTAAAATAAAAATCTAAAATCTGGTGTGATTTTAGATCCATCATTACCTTTACCCAATTCTTTTTCCCAATTCATTGTACCTCTTTCAATTCTATTATTTAAAACCATTAATCTTGTTCTTAAAATTAAAGCAATACAAATTGCACAAACAACAAAAACACAATTACAAACAAATGCAATTAAATATTTTGGAGCAGCTGAAGAAGGATAAAGATAAGAATTCCAAATAGATGCAGAATTTGATAAACAATTCATTAATGATAATGCAATAGCTCTTTTTAATGGAGGTCTTGGAACACAATTTGACATCCATGATAACACTGTTGTAAATGAACAATAAATTGATGGAATCATTAAACACATTGCAAAATATCTTGCACCAACATTTGTTGTTGCTACTGCAATAATAAATGAAATTAATGAGAAAAATAATGGAATAACAACATGCCAAAATCTTTCACCTGTTTTATCTGCATGTCTTGCCCAAATCCATGTTGCAATAACTGCCAAAATATATGGTGGAACTGTTAAACCCAAAGTAGTAAATCTATCAAAATTTAAAGTTTCCACAACTGATGGGAAAAAATTTGTAACACCAGCTGCACTAACAATAAAACTTAAAATACCAGTAACACACCAAACTTTAATATCTTTTAAAGCTAATAATAAAGTAGATTTATAAGATTCTTGATTTTCAGAATCTGAATCATCTTGACCAACTTCAGCTCTTAATTTCCACATTATAATATCTTTTTCTTGTTGAGATAAGAACTTGGTATTTGATGGCATATCAGGTAAGATAAAATAAGCAAATGGAACAGTACCGACAGTGATACAACCTTCAATAATAAATAACCATCTCCAAGATCTTAAACCTCTAACATGATCCATTTTTTCAATAATACCACTTGCAATTAATCCAGATAATGCACCTGAAAATAGGGACCCACTGTATAAGATTGAATTTCTAACACCTAATTCTTTTCTTGAATACCAACATGAAAGATAATATAAACATGATCCAAAAAACCCAGCTTCCACAAACCCTAATAATAATCTAACAACCATTAACCCCTTGTAAGATTGAACAGCACCTGTACAAGTTGAAATAATAGCCCAAGCAGTCATAATAACAGTGATGAATAATGAAGGTTTACCTAATTTATTTAAAATCATATTTGATGGAATTTGCATCAAGATATAACCAACAAATAAAATTGAAATACATGTTTGATATTGATTTCCCTTTAGGCCTAAATCTTCTTCAAGACCACCTAATCTTGCACTTGCAATATTATTTCTATCTAAATAATTTAAAATATAAATGAATACAACCATTGGTAAGATTCTAAAATCAATTTTACGACGTGTTTTGATTTCCAAAGCTTTAAATTCTTCTTCTGATAAATGTTTTAAAGAATCTGGGATTTCTAAATTATGTTGTAATTCTTCACTTATTATTGGAACATCAGGTTTGGTTATTGATTCTGTTTGTGATATTGTTGGTTTGATTTCATCCATGTTGTAGTTTTCCACATGGGTGGATTCACCTTTTGTTTCAGCTTTTGAACTCATGGTATGTTGTTGAATATTGATATAAGTACCAGCTTAATATAGGATAGTATAAAACATAAAGATTCAAATTAATCTGGGGAAAGTTGAGTATTTATATTACCAGACAAGGAATCACAAGGCAATTACAAGGAATGCATTAAACCACTATGCATAGTGTAACCAAAGACTAGACTACACTGATATCATTGCTTTTAAAATTCAGTATGTATATGACTCTCGATAATACACCATTAACGAGAAGCTAATTTTTTTTGTATGGGGCGTGCCCCTAAAATTGAAAAAAGTCGTGGCCGTAAAAAATGTAGATTTTTTTGAGGGAG